TTTATTACAAGTCAAATCCAACAGGAAAAAATGACGATTAATTAAAAATCCGCCATTTTGGATTACATTTTAAATTTCTACCATGTTGGATTCTCAAACTTCATTTTTAAATTCAGAGACATCAAAAACTATATAAAAGACATAGTAAAAGTCATATCTTACGAGATAGTTTTCTTCGGTACTTTTCGTTTTTCTATCCACTATGTATTGTAAGAAATTTTTTATAAAAATCTTTTTAGTGTCCTAGAAACCTCCATACTGAATTATGCTAATTACTTCATTTCGACTCGGCCGAATTTGAGTATGATTGAACCCAACTGCATTGATTTCTTTTGCAATTTGTTTGGGGTTACTCCTCTTTTGAGAATAGCTTGCCTCACCTAGAAGGCCCCATAGCAATAGAGTTCATCTTCGCATTACCTCAATGTTTTCTACCAAGTTTTAAACAAATCCGTTAAAAAATAATGTCTTTATTGTTCTTACAATGTTTTCGGAAAAGGGGATAACTTCGTAACGCAAAGTCACAGAATGTTGAAAATCAATATTGTTCATCCTCTCATGATCCCAATACTATCGCTTCTATCATGTTCATAAGGCTTTCGGCAAATCGGGGATAACTCCGGAGAGGAATGTCACGGTACACTGAATATCGAAAGGGCTTGCCCTCTCATGACCCCAATGATCACACCAAATTTGAAAAAATATATATCCAAAAAGAGGGGGAAAATTTGAAACTGAAAGTTGCAGAACACTGAATATTAATAGAGTTTATCTACACATGACCCCAACAATTCAACCCAAAATTTGAAGAAAAAACATCTGTTAAAAATGGAAGCCTTTGTCGCGTTCACGAGGTTTTCGGTTCAGGAGGATAAGTCGCATAACGCTGCAAATCGGTCCTCTCATGAACAATGCGTCACATCGAATTTGAACCGAATCCGTAGGAAACTATAAGCCTCTACCACGTTTACAACGTTTTCGAAAAAAGGGGTATAACTCCGAACGAAAAGTTGCGGAACACTGAAAATAGATAGGGTTCGTCCTCTAAGACCACGATGCTTCACGTTAAATTTGAAAAGAATCTTACAAAAATGGTAGCCTCTATTGCGCTCAGATGTCAATATGTTAAAAGTTTGTTTATATCGCCTTAACAAAGATTTCGGTAACGGGCGGATAACTCCGGAACTGAGAGTCGTGGAAAGCTGAAATCGAGAAGGTTAATCCTCTTATGTCAGCAATGCTTACAACCAAATCTGCAAAATTTCGTTAAAATACTGTAGCCTATATCGCGTTCACAGGGTTTTCGGCAAGTGAGGATAACCCCAATAACGGAAAGTAATAGACCGCTGAATATCGATAGATTTCGTCCTCTTATGATCACAATGCGTCACACAAATTTTTAAAAGTCTGTCGAAAACTACAGCCTCTATCGCGCTCACAAGGTTTTCGACAAGGGGGAATAACGCTGAATATCGATAGGGTTCGTCATCTCACGATCCCAATGCTTCACATCAAATTTGAAAAGAATCCGTAGAAAACTATTGCCTCTATCGCGTTCACAATTTTTTCTGCAAAGAGGCCATAGCTCCGAAAGAAAAGTCGCGGAATGCTGAACATCGAAGGGTTCGTCCTCTCATGAACACGATGCTTTCAACCAAATTTGAAAAGAATCCGTCAAAAACTCTGCCTCCATCGCGTTCGTAAGCCAATTCCTGATGGACCAAGTGACGATATAATACGCCCGCACTGAAATATGTGTTTGAAAGATTAAAAAAATGTGTTGTTTTTTTAGGGTTTTTTTTCAAAATGACACCACGGCGATAATAATAGTGTTAAATTGATTGGGTAAATTGGATATCGCAAATGGTGATAAATCGAATAACGTCAACTGACAACACTGCAAGAATTGGCCGTGGCACTGCAAGATGAGTGGGTCAGATTGCCCCAAATCGTGATTGGATGGTTGATTAGGAGCATGCCACGAGGATTGGTGAACCGCCTATATGAACTGTTTATGTTCATATGTAGGCAATTGGCCTGTTATTAACATACACTGGTTACCTCTAATAAAAACAGCAGTGCATTTCTGCAGTTTTGTATTGTTTCTGAATATGTAAATTTTGCCTTAGGCCAAATGATCCATTTACACTTAGTTAAATAAGTAACTACAGAAAAACACACATGGTTGTTTTCTTTGATACACCCCGAACCTTTATGGGGTATTTTTTTATTTGTATGTTTCAGAAATAAAGTTGAATGGTTTCAACTGGGTTGGTCTATTATAAGTATTTAATAAACCACACCTTTGGGAGAAATAAACATTGGCTTCTATCTCATAGCATCTTCCGAGAATGTACAGATCATTGACGATTAATCCTTTACATTTGTAAAAAAAAAAATAAGACAAATAATAAATCAATACTTTAAATGATAGAATACTGTGTAATTTAGTATTGGGTATTTTAAATGATATTATATGTCTCCAGTGTTTGTGAAAGTTATCCAGTGGTTCGGCTTTCAATTTTGTTCCGCCAAAATCGATAATAAAACAATCTTCATATTTTTTTTTTCCGCCAACTGGAATATTTTACCTGCCAAAAATGTGTGAAAAAAAGACAAGTAACAATTTTATTTCTCGGGTAGGCTTATTATTATGAAACAATTACCGATATATGCAATATGCAACTACTTACAAAATTTGCCTTATAATATATTAGCACACTGTATGGCGTATGCCCGTCTTCATTAACCCAGTTCGGAGCAGAACAGTAGGACGTTAGTTAAACTCCATTTCATTTCATTTGAGATTACTTAATAAAATCAGATTTTAATTTTGGTGACTTTGGTCTTCTCGCACACCGTATTGCACAGTATATTTCCAGTATTTACACGTCATATTTCATCCAAGGATTGCCAGTTTTCTATAAATTTATGTTTTGCGTGTGCAATAGGCCTGTTGTTATTTCCAGGTACCGTAAGGTATCATAATCGGAATCCCTTATATAATGATAGAAATCAAATTTCATTTGTGAAAGATGCTTATGATCAGACTCGTCGTTCACGTTAGAGCATTTTTGTGACGGTAATGAAACAAATGGTGGACCATTTTCTCATTCGAGAATCGTCGCTATTTGACTCGTTCGTCACTCCCACATTTCGGACCAATAATGATAATTAAATTTGAAATATAGCCGATTAAGCATGTTTGTATATTATACATGCCGTATGAAGCCACGGTAAACGGAATTCAGCTATCAAAATGTTTAATTCTGTTCGAAAACAATTGTCGACCAATTTGATTATTTCAATTTATTTTTTCAGACGAAACCTTAATCACCGCTTTGATTAATTAATTGGAGTAAATAATGATGTTTGTATTACAAATTTAACGTCCAATATATTAAAATGATGGACAGAATGTAAATAATGACTTAAGATAGACTTTATATATGTCATTGACAATTGGTTTGTAGTACTCATTGACACGATCCGGATTACCAGCGATTGGATTAATATATAGTATGCCACCACGTGATTGACACTCAATGTAATGGTCAAAATAGAATATATACTGTCAGAATTTTAAGATTTTTTCCGCCAGTTCTCAAGAAGAATCGGCATTGTAACAAAATGTGTTCCGTCTCTCGTTTGTTCTGTCTGGATTCGGATGTGATGGAAGTCCGAGGTTCTGTGTATGCCAATGGCTGCACGTCAAAGATCCCTGGTGGCTGCTTTGGTATTATTTTCACCAAGTTACACCGGTTCTGAATTAGCACGGTTGGTGCAAACTAGTTCCCACGTTCAACCTCATTTCAAAATCATCAGCGCCCAGGGTGTCTTTTAAGTAAAAGTTTTGATTTTGATATGTTACTGTTTCGTCTCAAGGGATATTTCAATCACTCACACAAGGACGTCGTTTAGAAATGTACCTGTTGGTGGTAATTCGACAACAAATTTAGATGTCAACACGTGTGCAATTAAATCTTTCAAAAATCACGCTTGTCTTTTATTTAAAATAGATGGGATGAATGTTTATTGCGGATGTAGAAAAATTGTTTAGAAACACTTGAATTTTGCTAAATAAAGGAAATGCACGAATTTAATGTTGTAAAAGGGGTGGGAATTTGACCCAAGTTAACACAGTGGAAAAATGGCACCAACCCGTATCTCGAACTTTGTTTACATGCCTCTATACTGTACATTATTAGCACAATGTTGCCAATTTCGGCAGAAAATCTGAAGCACTTTTAAATTCTGACAAACTTGTTTAAATAATATTTTATTCAAAGGAAGACTAATACTTCCAAATGGTAATTTTGAAACATAAGTGAATATGATGGAAACATGCTTATAAAGACCTGTTCGGCTAATCTGGGCATTTTTTTTTTAAGGTTTTGCACTTGGGGGCAAGAATAGGGGAAGTGGGAGCGGTAGTTTCTCCCGCCAAATTTAAAATTTTGACCCTCTAAATTACCAATCGTGCACCCACACTTTGAAGATTTTAGCTTCACCAGGGGGTGGGGCGGGGGCAAAAATATATAGTACGGAGGCACTTTTGCCTTAAGAAATGGGCTGCGGTTAATAATGATCAAAACATATTTGGCAACTTAAAAACTGTATATCTATAAAATATTGTGTAAAACATGTATATATAAAAATTGTGTGATTTAAAGGACATGTGACTATTCTTTGGAACCTTAAAATAGAAGAAAATTTTCCTAAAGGTACATATTAATGTAATATGAATGTATATAAATTGATATACACCACTGACACGGGGGAACCACGACGGAAAATCCCGATGAACTTTCTTAACCAAGACTGGAGATCGAACACGGGACCTCAAGTTTATCGAACCAACGTCTTACTCACAGAGCCACCGCGACTCCAATGCATGCCCTTTAGTAATTCAATTTTCATAGTAGTGTACTTTGCAAGGACAACAGTGGCGTTGTAAAATATTTAAATTTAATTATAACCCTGCATACATTATTTTTCAGGAACAATCGTCGCAATATCACCATGGGGACATTTAAATCTAGAAAGCTGTTTACAGTTCCTGTGGCTGTGGGTTTACCCATACTATTCCTCGTGGGAACCATGTTTATAATCACCAATTATACCACCATAAAGATTGAAACCACGCCCTTGTCGGTTTCAACTAGTTTACGAAAAAAAACAACACGAGTTTCAAATATGAAAGCGACAGAGGTTATAACAGTTCGGTGGCACAAGAGACCATCCTATATAAGTACTGCAAAAATGGTTGGCTGGTTTTCCTCATGTAATCATTCATGCCAATATACAAAGGACATAAATAGCCACATCCTTCTATTTGATGCTAATATAATAGGAAAGCGACCCAAAAGAATAAATCCAAGACAGATATGGGTTTTTTATAATCCAGAATCGCCCCATATTACATTTTCACATAAATGGAGAGACCCTTCATGGAATGGACAGTTTAATAGGACAATGAGTTATCGGTTGGATTCAGATGTGAATGCGCGTTATGGATATCATATCAAAAGACGACATCCTTTGAGAAAAAACAGAACCGAGGTGATGCAGAATAAAACCAAAATGGCGGCTATATTACGCAGCAATTGTAAAACCCCGGGTCGGCGAGAAGATTATCTCAAATTATTGCGTAAATATATACCGGTTGACAGTTACGGTCGGTGTGAAAAATTGTCCTGTCACATGGCCAACTACTGTAATATTGACAAGAAATACAAATTCTACCTAGCATTTGAAAACAGTTTTTGCAAGGACTACGCAACAGAGAAATTTTTCCGAGCTGAAGGGTGGGACTTGGTAACCGTTGCTAGGGGAGGCGCAAATTACTCTCTTTTAGCTCCCGAGAAAAGTTACATTCTAACCAGTGATTTTAAGTCGGTAAAAGAGCTAGCCGAGTATTTAATCTATCTCGATAAAAATGATACAGCCTATATGGAATATATAGAGAAGAAATGGAAATATGAAGTGTTTTCGACCTTAGTTCATGGCAGTGCATACGTGAAACGATGGTGCAATTTTTGTGAACAAGCGCATTCGTGGCTCAAAGAAAACAATAATCATTCTTATGAACACATTAAAGAATGGTATGAGACAGATAAATGCCACAAACCAACTGATTTACATTAAAACCCGTTATTAAAATCTTTATTCATTTATAATATGTGTAATATAATTGGGAATTGATTCCATATAGAAGTCTCATGTGGATCTGATAACAACCTGGCCTAAATCCTTGCTTCATTTTGAATATGGTATTATTAATACATGAAAGGGATTATTTATTAATATACGCCCGTATGTTAATGCCGACCTTATATTGTATAATTACCGTTGCCGTCTGTCGGCTACAGCTTGTACCGATTGGTTGGTTCGTCAGGCTTAACGTGCCGGATTTTATTGAAACTTTTATTGAGCACAATTCCTTTTCAACAAAATGGGATAAATATTTTTTGAATTGGGCCCCTTTTTGCAGAAACCTGTCCACATTGATTGTAATGCGTATAAAGGCCGGGGTTTTCATCAACTGTTTCTGAACTTTCAAGAAACATGTATTATGATCAGGTAAAGATGCCTATTTCTTTTTACCAAACCCGATTAAAATGTTTTAGGGTTATGCCCATTGTCTCCGAAAACTATTTGATATCACAGAGGTCGCAGTTTTTATTGACTAACACCTGGTAGGGTGCCCCGTGAAGCGAAAATTTTCTCTACTAAAAGTTGAACTCGACACGGCGAATGGGCACCTTCAGTGGCTTGTCTCGAAGTGATTTTTGGCTAGTCACATCGCACGTGAAATTCTCTATACATTTATCAACTTTTACAGCCGTAAATAATCTGTTATTGACGATTCTGAATATTTAGTAATATTTAACTTTTTGGTTAATACAGCAGCTTTAAAAATTACGCTCGTTTTATTTTTTAAATTGCTTTATCATTTATAGGAGCGGCATCTTTTGATTTAGTACAAATAATATCTCTGAAACACTCGGGTAAGGCAAGAACATGATACTAGGAAGAGTTTCATTTTACTTTTACAAGGTTCTTAAAAGAATTGTTGAGTTGCCTAACGCTAGTGTTTCTAAATTCAATTTCTTGTTCTACTTTCTGTTATGTTTCGTAAAAAAAAGCAGTCTTGATTATCTCGGCCTGTCAATCAGACGAAGAATAATCGGTAGACTGGTTAAGGGAGACTAATTTCAAAACAAGGGCACGTAACCTATTTTTTACACAAAAGTGCTCGGATGTTATGGCTGACACTCGTAATCATTTTTCAGTCTATTATTTATGGATGGTTAAATGGTCATAGCTTATTAAGTTATTAAGTACAACATGATCGTTTATTTAGTGACTATAAATGTGTGGAACTGATTTAAGGTTTGGTATATACATAAATATTGTAGTGTAATTGTCAAGATATTTATTAATGGTGGGGCACCTTACACATGGTTCAATTCTATTTTAATAATTCTCTTGAGTGTAGGGGTCTTTAGCAGTGAGGGGAAACCGGAGGAGATGAAGAAAACACTACTCCTTGTCACGTACAACCTGGGAATCGAAACCACACCAGTTGACTCAATGACAGACTTTATGATACAGCGCGCACGTGCTAACCATTCAGCCAACCAACCCCAAACGTAGAATGGGGTCTCTAGATAATAATGTAGAAGTTGATATTTTTAAACTGTTTAAAAATGTAATTAAACATACTTTATACATTGTAAGTAAATATTTTGAAAACAATCGGCTAAAGTTTACTCAAACTTTCATTAAACCATCTTATAAGCTATGAATTAGACGGTACAATAACCGTTGACTTGTAAATGTATACCAACTAAAATCTACTAACCATGTTCATGTTTAAAATAGCCTATTAGAAAAGGGAGATAATCAAAATTAAATATTAAGCTTGTACTTTTCGGAAAACAGGTTTCCTTCGAACGCTCATAAAGTAAGGCCTGGCAAGGGACAACTTATACTCGTTCGGATGGGACAAAAAAACCGAGGTCCCGTGTACACAGAACCCTTGGCAGTTGGAATTCGATATAAGAGTATGCCATATACTTACGTTGCCATATCAACATTTTCCTCATATCACACTGTATGGCGTATGCCCGTCTTCATTAGCCCAGTCGGAGCAGGGCCCTGTTTCTCGAAATTTTAACTAAAGATAAAATCCAATTTTAATAGTTACTTCAATTTTGATGGGCTAAGCACTAAAATCAATCTAATATTATCCAATCAAATTACTAAAATTTGGATTTTATCTTAGTTAAAATTTCGTGAAACAGGCCCCAAAACAGTAGAACGTTAACACCAGTTCATCTCTCTCTATCTCTCTCTCTCTCTCTCTCTCTCTCTCTCTCAAACTCTATTCGTCCATTCTAGACCAAAAATCAACAAAAATGCCCATGCAAAAAGAGAGAAAAGAGAGAGAGGAAGAATTGCTTTAAATAGACGAACTATAATTTGTGGATACCAAGAAGGTGAAATTGAATAGTGGTCTGCATCCCGAAGATATACAGTAGTTGTCTCCCTACAATCGTTTCTCAGTCACCACAAAGTCTCCATAAGCAAAGAGGAAGCATAATTATACATTGTTACATAGTTTCTTACTTTTGCTAGGGTTATTCATCATTGATCAACTTGCCGAAATGGTCCAGGGTAGTTGGGTGGCTGAATAGTTCAACATGAGCGGTTCAGTTTATAAAGTCTGTCATTCGATCAACTGGCTTGTACGTGACAATGAGTCGGGTTGTCCGTCTAACTTTGTGGGTTTTCTCCTCTCCGGTTTCCTTCCACTGCTAAAGTATCCTACGCACGAACGAAATATTTTTAAAAAAAACCAATGAACCATATTATTATGTTAGTAAGAAGCGACATGACCTAGTTTGTGTATAGATCTTTTTTTCGTTAGAAAAGAATAAAATCTTACCTTTTATGAATGGAAAATAATTGTTTACCCACACAAAACAAAACAAACAAACAACAACATTCCTCAAAATCTATAAATAAAGCATCTCGGGTATTATTTTGTTTTATACACCCCCACGCCCCCTCCCCCCTCACACACACACCCACACACTTAGCCTCCACAAAACAAACAATCACACAAACAGACAAATAAATAAATCCTAAACCCAATGCATACCTAATGTGATGAATATGATAAACATTTGTTTTTCATAGGTTTTATGTTTAGTGGTTGTTAGACATAACCTCTCGAATAGAACGTATCATTTCTAACTTTCAACTTAATATATCAAATTCATATATTCTTTGGTCCTCTTTCCGCGAAAAAAAGCGGACCGGCTTCTTGATAAGACTAACAGCAGTTTATGGGCCTTGGTTTGTTTGTTTGTTTTTTAATAAAAGGATTGGTAAGATAGTCTTACATCGGACTAGAGTTAAAGTGACGATTTTATGTTGTCCTTGTATTTACTTCTATTTAACTAAATTGTTATTTAAACGACATAAATATGTCGCCATGTGTATAATGTCCAATAGTTTTATAGTTGAATAATTTATATCCAGTAGTTGAACAATGTGAGTCCAATAGTTGAACAATTTATGTCCAATATTTGAACAAAGTGTGTCCAATAGTTGAACAATTTGTGGCCAACAGTTGAACAATTTGTGTCCAACAGTTGAACAATTTGTGTCCAACAGTTGAACAATTTGTATCCAACAGTTGAACAATTTCTGTCCATGATTGAAAAATATGAGTCCAATAATTGAACAATGTGTGTCCAATAGTTGACTTATTTATATCTAATAGTTGAACAATTTGTGTCCAACAGTTGAACAATTTGTGTCCAACAGTTGAACAATTTGTGTCCAACAGTTGAACAATATGAGTCCAATAATTGAACAATGTGTGTCCAATAGTTGACTTATTTATATCTAATAGTTGAACAATTTGTGTCCAACAGTTGAACAATTTGTGTCCAAAATTGAAAAATATGAGTCCAATAATTGAACAATGTGTGTCCAATAGTTGACTTATTTATATCTAATAGTTGAACAAGGTGTGTCCAATAGTTGACTTATTTATATCTAATAGTTGAACAAGGTGTGTCCAATAGTTGACTTATTTATATCCAATAATTAAATAATTTGTGTCCAATTATTGAATAATTTGTGTCCAATTATTGAATAGTCCAATTATTGAATAATTTGTGTTCAATAATTAAACAATTTGTGTCCAATAGTTGACTAACTGGTGTTCAATTGTTGAATAATTCATATCCAATTGTTGATCAATTTGTGTCGAATAGTTGAATAATTTGTGTCCAATAGTTGAATAATATGCATCCAATAGGTAAACAACTGCTGTCCAATTGTTGGATAATTTACATCCAATAGTTGAACAATGTGTGTCCAATAGTTCTCCAGGTCCCCCCCCCCCCCTTTACTGCTAAAGACTCCTGATGCAAGCGAATTATTGAAATAAAATTGAACCAAATGTTAGTCCCTAAATGACCTAGACTGTCGACCTTTTTTTCACGAGAATTCGAGCTGAAATAGTTTAAGAATATAGTGGGTTTTTGTTTGGCTAACAGTTAAAATCTTTGTACAGATTTTAAAACTCTCAGTCAATGAAAAAACTGTATTCATTTCATTCATATTCTCGATAACCTAAGCTAAAATATTTTAAGAATTTAGCTTTTTTATTGGCTGAAAAGTTAAAATATTTGTACGAATTTCTAGTTCTAAGCCAATGAAAAAAATAACTGTATCCTTAAAATATACAAACTGGTTAACGGTTATAATATCTCTGACGTGTCTAATAGATTTTGTTCTTATGCAGGACCTTAATTTTGTTCTTATGCAGGATGTTAAACCCCACTTTATTTCACAATTTGTATTGTCTGAGTTTTTGTGCAGACCCATCTAAAAACACGGAAAACATGACATTAGTATCTTTTAAATTAAAAAGTAGATAAAACTAGTTGTGTTTGCCTGTCTTATCGCAATTCAAGAAACCTATAAAATCAACGTTAGTGAATTTCACACCATTATCAAGATGAAGTTATTACTAGTATTAATAGCCGTGGGTAAGTATAGTTCACTAATATAACGACAATTTATTTATTTATTTATTTATTCATTTATTATTCTAAGAAACAGACACACGTATGACAATGGAAAAAAATCATGAATGATCTACTTCTTAATAATAACCCATGAAAACAAGCATAACCAGTAAATAATCTAAATAATAGTGTTCACCCATAAGCATGCTCAAATGCTCAAAGCATTGTTAAAAGCAATGAACTGTATACATGTCTATTAACTGGGATTTGAAACCTGTAAGCGTTTTGCTGTCGCGAATTGTTCCGCCGTTTTGGTGCAGCCACAGTGCTTTAATTTTGATAATGAAATGTTAAACAATTGCAAGTCTTTCTTTAGGCCTGAAATGTTATCTAAATTATTAATTAGACATTAATTAAATTATCCAGACCATAATCAACCCTCGGTGGCATCTCTAGTCTGTGATATTTACTGGATTAGAACACTGTATGCTGCTTCTGATTAAATCAAAAACTGGATAATCCAGACTATGTTTTTTTATCGTGCCGACTTTAGTAATGATGATCGAGGCTAGGCCCAAAATTCAATTGCTAAATACTCGTTTCAGGGTGGATCAATTTGACTGAAAGTTAACTATTATAGTGAGAACTACAAGCTCTGTTGTACCTAATCTCCCATAATGTATTATTAAATGAATGAAATTGATTTTTATGACACTGCACAATATGTTTTGATGCCGGAATTTCAAATTGCAAGCATAAATGAAATGGAATGGGGTTTAACGTCCTACTGTTCTGCATCGACTTGGCTATTCAAGACGAGCATAGCCATATAGTGTGCTATTAGGAACAATTTTGGCCGGACAGTCACTGGTTCTATGGCCTACTCTTATATCGAATTCCAACTGTCAAGGTTTATTTTACGTGCACGCCAATGTGTACACAGGACCTCGTTTTTCGTCCCATCCGAGCGACTTTACGTTGTCGAACACGGCACCTCCAAGTCAGCGAGTCAACGTCATTTTCACTGAGCCACCTCAGCTCCCAAATTGCAAACGTATTCCTATTTTATTTCGTTTTTGTTTTTTAACAGGCGCAGCCCACGGCCTGAGTATACAAGGTAGGGATACACATTTTGTATTAGTGATTATATATCGTGAATGTTTATACGAATATTTAATTGAGTAAGAGAAATGACACAGCGGCCTTTCGTGCTTGGTGGGTACAGTGGCGGCGCCAGCCGTCGGTGGTTGGAGGGGCAAAGCTGGGGCAAAGTCCAAGGTTAAGGGGGCAAAGGCACGAGCTTCAACTAGGGGTAGGGGGCCTCCCCCAGAAAATTTTGAAAAACAGGTTGCCGGAAATGCAGCCTGGCAGTATTTCAGGCACTGATCGATGAGGTGAAGTGTTAAACGAACGAACTTGCGAATCACGACGAAGCCCACTCACGAGCGTCAAAGTAGGGAGTCCTTCTCCAGAAAATTTTGAAAAATAGACTGCCGGAAATGCTGTCTTACAGTATTCTGTCAGGCACCGATCATCGAGATATATAGATCTGCCCAGATACCGTTCGTCGCCTGATCACTAGTTTATATCCGACTACAGAACAAAATGTCAAACGAACGGACTTGCGAACCTCAACGAATTAACGAATTCCCCTTGTGAGCGCCAAAGTAGCGAGTCCATTGCGGACCTCGCCAAGAAAATTTTGAAAAATAGACTGTCGGAAATGCTCTACAACATGCAAGTTTATGACTGAGTGGGGATGTGGGATTTATTAACCTTAGAAGGTATTGATTACCGAAACGTATCACAAATACTTTTTTTTTATTTTCTAAAATTATTGGGGGGGGGGGGCAAACAGAGGGCAGACCAGATTAATGGGGGGCATGTCCCCCCCCCCCTGGCGCCGCCACTGGGTGGGTATTGTGGTTGAAGATCATAAGAAAGATACAGAGAAATGGTCTTTAACGTCCACTCGACATATGATTCAATTTTATTTTAGTGATTGGCTTGCGCGCAAGGGTTTTTTTAGCAGTGGGGCGTAACTGGAGGACCCAGAGAAACCTCGAGGTTGGACGGGCCACCCTGTCACGTACAAGTTGGAAATGGAAACCACGCCACTTGACTCAATAAAAAAAACGTATGATGTAACGTGTTAGACCATTCGGCCAGTGTGCTATGAGGAAAATTTTGCCCGGACATAGGCGCTACGGCCTACTCTTATATCCAGACCTTTTACGTGCACGACAATGTGTACATGTAATCTTGGTTTTTCGTACCATCCGAACGACTACACAGCTTTCCTTGTCAGGCCCTGCTTCCTGCACCACTGACAAGGGGAAACCCTAATGATCATGTTAGGCCAACACCGGGAGCGAACCCTTGACTTCCAGGCTAGCGTGCAACGTCTTACTCGCTTAACCACCGTGACACGTCGATGATACCAAAAGTTAGATTAAGTTCTCAGTTGATGGAATATACCAAATAAATTTACAACCATTGATCATTTTGACAATATCTAATTTTCACGGTTTAATCCATGCTAATTGTCACTATATGCTAGTTTACATGAAATGAAATGAAATGGAGTTTAACGTCCTACTTTTCTGCTCCTAACCTGGGCTAATGAAGACGGGCATACGCCATACAGTGTAGTATGAGGGAAATTTTGCCCGGACAGCGGCTCTACGGCCTACTCTTATATCGAATTCCAACTGCCAAGGGATCTTTTACGTGCACGCCAATGTGTACACGGGACCTCGGTTTTTCGTCCCATCCGAAGGACTAGACAGCTTTCCTTGTCAGCCCCTCCATCCTGCATCACTGACAAGGGAGAACCACGCCGGAAAATCTGGATGAACTTTCTCGGCCAATGCAGGGATCGAACACCCGACCTCCAGGCTAGCGAGCTAGCGTCTTACCCACTTAGCCACGTGATCCCCTGCTAGTTTACAAGGTATGAACGGGTGATGCGGTGGCTCCGTGAGTAAGGCGTTGGCTCGCTATCTTGGCTGTCCCGTGTTTGATGCTAGTGCAGGCCGAGAAAGTTCATCGGGTTTTTCCTTGTCAGTGGTGCAGGACGGAGGGAGTGGCAGGGAACAACGTATAGTCGTTCGGATGAGCAAAAAATCGAGACCCCATCTTCATTAGTCCAGCCGGGGCAGTAAAGTAGGACGTTAAACCCCATTTCATTTCCATTAGACAAACAATATACATCAACATATCTGACGAGATGTTGATCTTGTGGTATGGAATCAGACCATTTCAATCAGGTTTTCGCATACTGCTCATCTACCCCAGTCGAAAAGTCGCTCAGCAGTACGCATTTTAAAATTGCATTATCAAATTCGATTACTTCTATGTTATTGCATATTTTAAGATTGATTTCAGAATTTAGAATGTTTAAGGCATTCTTAGGGTTTAAGGTCCGCTTCTATCAAGGGTGATATTTCAGATAAGCGGTGTTATTTAAGTATATTCATGCATGAGCAGGGTTCTTTCATATGGGAGGGAACTCTAGTACTCGGGGTAACCCACGAGGATATGAATCCGCATGCGCTCACACCAGGGATGGAAATAAAAACCACAAGCCAGGTGTGACCCGTCAGCTGGAGCTCGAAGCGCGACATTCTAGACCACTATGCCATCAAAATCCTCCCATATTAAGCTTTCTAAAATATCTCAATATAACTTTTGTAGCTTAACAAAAAACGTTGTCTGTCTAAATTTGTTTGTGTATTTGTGTTACAGAACGAGCAGGTGCTGGTGAGGCATGTTCCTCCGATGATGTTTGCCACTGCCCTCCGGAATTCCATGGCGAATGCCATGACAACATTTGTAGATGTCATCACCATGGACATGAATTGCCAGACCACTCCGGACCCCCAGACCCACACCATTCTCCTCCTCCTGACCCACACCATGACTCCCCACCCCCAGACCCACACCATGACCCACATCATTCCCCACCACCAAATCGACGCCGTATCCCACACGAAACCCCACGTCCAGATCCGCACCGCGTTCCTAACAGTAAGTATATTTAAATTTCAACATCCAACAAATTTTGTGATTAGAGCTTAATGTTTTTCATACGTCATGTGAATTTCTCTAATGACAATTGATATCAGATTTCATAACCCGCCTCGTGCATGACACTAGTGTCAGTTCGTTATATAGCGCGGGGCCATGGTGGCTCAGTGTGTAGGGCGTTGGTTCACTAACCAAAATGTCCCGGTTTCGTTCCCAGTGTTAGCCGAGAAAGTTCGGATAGGCAAAAAATTGAGGCCCCGTTTTCATTAGTCCAGCCGGAACAGTAAAGTAGGACGTTAAACCCCATTTCATTTCCATTAGACAAACAATATACATCGACATATCTGACGAGATGTAGATTCCATGGTAATCTTGTGATATGGAATCAGACCATTTCAATCAGGTTTTCGCATACTGCTCAACTATCCCAGTAGAGAATTTGCTCGCGAGACGCATTTTAAAATTGCATTATCAAGTCCAATTACTTCTATGTTATTGCATATTTTAAGATTGATTTCAGAATTTAAAATGTTTAAGGGTGATATTTCAGATAAGCGGTGTTATTTAAGTATATTCATGCATGAGCAGGGTTCTTTCATATGGGAGGGAACTCTAGTACTCGGGGTAACCCACGAGGATATGAATCCGCATGCGCTCACACCAGGCATGGAAATAACAACCGCAAGCCAGGTGTGACCCGTCAGCTGGAGCTCGAAGCGCGACATTCTAGACCACTATGCCATCAAAATCTTTCCATATTAGCTTTCTAAAATACCTCAATATAACTTTTGTTTGTAGATGTGCTTAATTGTGAAGCTTAACATAAACGTTGTCTATCTAAATATGTTTGTGTATTTGTATTACAGAACGAGCAGGACCTGGTGAGGCATGTACTTCCGATAATGTTTGCCACTGCCCTCCGGAATTCAATGGCGAATGTCATAACAGCATTTGTAGTTGTCATCACCATGGACATGAACTTCCAGACCCACACCATTCCCCGCCTCCAGACCCACACCACTCCCCTCCACCAGATCACTCTCCACCTCCAGACCCACACCATGACTCACCACCCCCAGACCCACACCATGACTCACCACCCCCAGACCCACACCATGACTCCCCACCTCCAGACCCACACCATGACCCACACCATTCCCCACCACCAAATCGACGCCGTATCCCACACGAAACCCCACGTCCAGATCCGCAACGCGTTCCTAACAGTAAGTATATTTAAATTTCAAGTGATATCGTGCATGACACTAGTGTCAGTTCGTTATATAGCGCGGGGCCATGGTGGCTCAGTGTGTAGGGCGTTGGTCACTAACCAAAATGTCCCGGTTTCGATCCCTGTGTTGGCCGAAAAAGTTCCTTGGGATTGTACAGCATAGTTTCCACTTGTAAGTCGTGCGGGACGTCAGGTCTAGCAACCAACATCGGCTATTAGATGGAAAGCAAAAGGACGTTCCGTGTAATGTACATGTTTGGCAGTTGGAATTTGATCCAGAGTAGGCGGTAACTCCGCTGTCAAGGCAAAGTTTCCCTCATAGTACTTGGCCGAGAAAGTTCATCCCGATTTTCCGACGTGGTTTCCCCTTGTCAGGGATGCAGGACGGAGGGCCTGACAAGGACAGCTGCCTAGTCCTTCGGATGAGACGAAAAACCGAGGTCCCGTGTAAACATTGGAATGCACGTAAAAGATCCCTTGGCAGTTGGAATTCGATATAAGAGTAGGCGATAGTGCCGCTGCCTGGGCAAAATTTCCCTCATAGCACACTGTATGGCGTATGCCCGTCTTCATTAGCCCAGTATAGGAGCAGAACAGTAGGACGTTAAACCCCATTTCATTTCATTTCATTTCCCTCATAGTACACCACGTGGCGTATACCCGTCTTCATCATTCGGCAAACCTCGGCAGATTCTACGAGCTAGATGTAGGGTACCGGAAAAAAACCGAGGTTTGCCGAAGGCCGTCTTCATGAGCCCGGATTATACACAAAGGTTGGATGTTTAACTCCATTCATTTCATTGTATATTCCATTGACGTAGATTAAGCAATTAATGCTCTAATACAAATGGCGTAGATTATTCTTACAAACCAAGTCCCGTGAAAAATCAAACAATGGGTTAAGTAACGCCGCTAGGCTAATCCACATATTATTCTCGAAATGCTCAACATTGAAACTTGAAAATCTTTACGTGATTTGCATATTTTAACTCACTTGCATTTTCGATGTGTCCCGTTTGCCTAGGAGAAAGGAAATGAAATGAAAATTAATGTGGTTTAACGTCATACTGTTCTGCACCAAGTGGCCTACTCTTATTTCGAATTCCAACTGTCAAGGGGTCTTTTAAGTGCAGGCCAATGTATTCGCGTGAGCGTGGTTTTTCGTACCATTCCAAGGATTACACGTTGTGCCTTTGGCTCAGAGAAGGGGGGAATAATACTTACATTTCAATATTTCAGAGAGAGCCAATGTAGGAGAACTTTGCACAGCTGATGCTCAATGCCAATGTTTCATTGGTTATAGAGCAGCCTGTCATGCTGGACATTGTACTTGCCATCATATAAATTTTAAGCGAAATATTTTTAAAATGACCGTAAGTATAATTCAGATTGAATGAAGAATATTAGTAGCTTACAGAAACAGGGAAAAGAGGTGACTATTGCCCCTGGTATCCCATCTAAGAGTTTTGGCATATTTAAAATATGTTCAATTCTCACATTTTTGAGAATTCTATAGACCCTATACTTAAAGATGCACCGTGTAAGATTTATATAAAGAACTGACTGCTCTTGCTAAAAACAAAAGGTTCACAAATTGATAATGAGAATGAATATTGAAAATTTTCAGTCAAATTACTCGTTTCTCAGTGAAATTATCAGTGTCTGAAGGTTTTACAATATAGTCATGATTTTCAAGAACATCTGTCACGATAATAAACAAAGTTTCGCTTTCCTTTTCTTTAAAATTAAATTATTAAATGGCGAGCATATTTCAATCCATTGAAAATTGTGACAGTCCGATGCTCTACAGAGTTGATTATGATCTTGTCATGTGAATAGATGTCTAATGAATAATTTATATAACATTTGAGGTCAAATGGGAGCAACGGTGGCTCAGTAAGTAAGACGTTGGCTTGTTAACCTGGCGGTTCCGTGCTGGATCTAAGTTTTGAACGAGAAAGTTCATCTGGATTTTGTGTCGTGGCTCCCCTGGTCAGTGGGGCGGGATATCGAGCCTGACTAGGGTCAATTCACAATCGTTCGGATGGCATGAAATAGCGAGGTCTTGTGTTCACATTGAAGTGCATGTAAAAGAACCCTTGACAAATAAAATTCGATTAAAGAGAGTAGGTCGTAGTGCCGCTGTCCGGGCAAAATTTTCTTCATATCACATTGTATTGCGCAAGCCCGCCTTCATTAGCCCAGTCAGATAAACGCTCCGCTTGCGAACAGACACTAAGCTAGTTGACCGACATTTTAAGTCCTAAATCGACGATTTTATTCGAAAACACTAAGTATACTTCAAAAATTCTGTTAAGTATTTATTCTGCTTCCATTTGATAAAAATGAAAAAGTTTATTAAGTCTTTGGGTGTATGACAGATGTAAAACAGGGTAGAACCGCATTACCAAACTGATAATAAGTGGCGTGATTTCAATTACCCGCTTGTACGTCACGTGAAGTAGAGTCGCTTTTCCAACCTGGTGGGTTCTCTCCCCCCCCCCCCCGCCCCAGTTTCCTCTCACGGCTGAAGACCGTGAACATAAGCGAATTATTGAAATAAAATTGAACAATGTGTTAGCCCTGAAATGACCTAGTTTGTATCGAGTGGACGTTAAACTTCATAACTCGGTCTCTCCTCGTGTTGTTAAATAGTCACAACATAATTACTGTTTGTATTTCAGAAAAATGGTAATAATATTTTCTGTAGTTGAAATCTATTTAGAATATAACTGAATGCTGGTCCAATCGGTATTATGTGCCAATAATGATTATGTCAATAAATGCAAAATTGCTTTTATCAATTTTGTTATACATTTGAATTCAAAATTCCTTAAATATAATTGAATGTGGTTCCAATCACTAGTATGTGCTAATAGTGATAATGTAAATGAATAAAATATTAAACACTTACAGACCTTTTTTTGTTGTTATTATTATTATTTATACATCTTGGCGTTGATATCGTTTATGTTATGTGGTAATCTTTCATGAATTCATCGCTCAACTTGGTTCATGAAAATTCCATGGTGTCAACATCCATATATATGAGGAGATAAAGCAACTATAGATATTTCTTTGAAAAAAAATAGCCTTAATCAGTAAATTCTACTTAAATATGAGGCATCAGGTGTCACAAATCGAATTCAAAATTGAGATACAGAAGAAGGTCGACAATTTGTCAGAAAATAACAATAGGTTACCTCTCTTCTGTACTCGATAGAGGCTAAAGTTTTAAACAGATGATTTGTTCAAATTGCAAAATTTGGGTCAATCTTGCATGGCAATCTCTTGCTGGTGTCGTGGTCAGTGCTTGAAATGTCATTGGTAGGACTCTCTCGTGTAACCAATCTCCCTATGTCATACAAGTAGAGTACCGTTTCTATTACTCGTGATAAAATTGTCCCCTGTGTTGGTTGCACTGGAATGAAATACAAGTTTAATTATTCAAATAATAATTAACTAATGACTTAAAAAGCTCCAGATTGACAGTGAACCGTGTAGCGAAATAATGTATTCAGCGGGTTTGATTTCATATAACACAACACAATTAAAATCTAAATCCCAACATACTTTGATATTTTGGGTTTAATAAATTATATAATTATTAACTACTGAAACCATTCCAGGAACCAGCATGGACTCTGGGTACCTATTCTTTTTAACAAAAAACATTATTACAGCGAAGTATTTCAAACAAACGGGAGTTTAATTGATTATTGGATTATTGATTAGCTAATTACTCAAAAGCCTCCATGCTGACAGTGATCAAGCAGCGAAGATTGAATTAACACGATTCCAAATAAAAACGTTCAGATAAAAAACTTGGGTCCCCAGCTTTGGCCGCCATGCTATAGTGTCTTATATAATAATCTTGGATACTGCTCTGGGTATTTCTGAATTACATGGAATCTAGCGTTATTAAGAACCGGATTTAGTTAAATCACTAAATAAACCTGGTTGCCACGTTCGCTATTTATCTATTGGTATTGCTGGTTCTTAAATTACCTTGACATGAAACCCTCTCTTTATCGTCGTCTAGTAGAAAATAATTCATTGATTTATTATAACATATGTCGTTCGTGAAACGGATATTTAAACACGGCTGGTCACAGCATATTATGAAAATGAGACGAAACGTCAATAGATTACACACATTAGAGAAATATACTTAATATACACAGTGGTGTACTTTCTTAGGATCGTTATATCAACATGAGAGTCAGGTGTTTTATGATTTTGTTAGGTTCATGGACTATACTGTGGTTATTATTCGCATCCAACAGAACATTGTTTAATATAGCGAAGAACAATTGGCTAGTTTATCAATGCTGGAGAAATATTTCTGCTACAGGTTAGAAATAGTTTTAAGAACTAAACTTTTCTCCGGGTTCTTCGGTTTCCTCTTACTGCTAAAGACCCCCTACGCGCATTATTGAAACAAAATTGAACCACGAGTTAGTCCTGAAATGATCTGGTATGGGTCGAGTGGACGTTAAACTCTCTCTCTCTCTCTCTCTCTCTCTCTCTCTCTCTTTTGCGGTGGGTTGATCGGTCTACTCTTATATCGAAGGACTAAACCCATTTAGCGCCCACTTCTCTCTGAAATGACATATGATGCTTCTTTATTTCAATAGCATTTAGCTGGGAATTCACGATGCTTCAGTGGGCATAACGCTGGTTCAGTAACCAGGGTGTCCTTGGTTGGCTCCCGCAGCTGGACGTATCGATTCCCTTCGATTTTCCAACTGTCTCCTCTTGTTGGTGGTGTAGGACAAAGCACCGCGGTCCACGTATGCACGTGTTAACTTGTTCGTAAAAGAACCCCTGACAGTTGGAATTCGATGAAGAGTACACGGCAAAGCCACTGACTGTTCAGACACAATTGCACTGAGAGAATACTCTATGGCGCATTATTTTCTTCTATAGCCCGGTGGTGCAAAAAAAGTTGGAAATTAAATTCCATTTCATATTTTTCGGGTCGTAAGTGCCCAAAGCTTGCCCTCAATGCTAGCCGCCGTGGTTTATATACAAATATTGACCATATCAATCAAATTATGGATTAGGTATTGAGTCAATTCAAGAAATGTAAACACACTTCAGGGTATGTATATATATATATATTAATACTATTGAATTATTACTTCCTACAGGTTAGAAATATTACGGCAATTAAACCAGAACATAGAGTCATTATTAGTATCATCTTTATATAAACTTTTTATTTTACAGATAGTCGTTTGTTCTCTGTAAACCATGGTAAAAGTGACGGACTGTCGTTATACAACAATAACACCAACCCCTCCTCGTTATTTAGTAAGAAAATAACTAGTCTAAAGTCATAGTCTTAACTGCGGTTCATGCCATTATTGCTTTATCCATCTTCCATATCTATTTACCCGCCCTGACCGGTCTATCTACCACCACTGTCCTGTCTTTCTAATCTGTCATACTTGCTTTGGCTATCTGTAAACCTTGCTCTGCTAATCTACCACCCTAGCTTCGGGTCGTTGTTTTCAACAATTCGTAATGTCAGGAAATCTAACCTAAGTCCATATTGTTTCCAATATTTACATTATATTCGTCCGTCTATCTACCATCCTTGCCCCGTCTACCTACCATCTTTGCCTTGTCTACCTACCACCCTTACCCTGTCTATCCATGGGCGTGGATTTAGGGGGGGGGGGCGAATAGGTCTCTGTCCCCCTCCCCCATGATTTTGATCGCCAGGACAGATTTTCGGGTTTATATCCACATGATGGTGAGCTTGTTTCTACGTATCTTGAACTCAATCGGGACTTGGAACAAGAATTGCCATTCTTCAAGCGCCAGTTTTCGGCCAAATCTATTTCACTTGTGCACGAAGCGTTCATCATTATGTCACCTGAAGTGAGGCAGATGTTCCCTTCTGTCGAAGCTCTTCTCATCTCACACTGCTGAACCCTGCTAGTTCCTGCTCAGACGAGCAATCCTTTAGCACTCTGCGCCGTATCAAAACTTGGCAACTCCATGACGCAAATCGATCGGCGAGCAGAATCGTCGTCACCGTGAACGGGCTCACGGGCGATTTTTTCGAGCGATTTTAAAAATTCAAAATTTCCAAAGCCTTATGCATAATAACATTTTGTAACCCCCCTCCCCACATGGTATTTAACCTATCTTTTTTTTATTATTCATATTACAGGATTTCCCGGTGACCACAGAATTTGGTCCGTGAATAATAGTGACGTGTATTGTTTTGTTTACGTCACGAAAGCTACAAATAGATGGTTGCTTGAATTGATACCAAAAACATGGGGAAGTCATTGCGGCCATCTTGAATTTATTTGTAGTTATAAATTTCACGAAAATTGTACTGTTCCTAATGGCGTGATTGTGCAGGGCAAATTAGTGATCACCAGAGAATCTGACGTCATAAAGAAAGTCTTCCAGTATTGTTATTTACATTATTTACAGAAATTCAAATGGTTCTTCCGGATAAAAGAGCGAGCTTACGTCATTATGAATAATTTAATAGATATTTTGGCCTACGTTGACTATCTTCAACCTAGATACTTAGGACACAGATTTCTCGAAGGAAGTAGTTTTGACGCAAATGCCAGTTACGTTTTAAGTCAAAGCGGCCTTCGGTCATTGGTTGAATCCAGTCACATGAATAATAATGTAACCGAATACGGGTTTAGGTCAGAGGGTGAAATTGTCGGTGATTGGTTGAATAAATCTGGAGTAGAGTTCGTGGATACAGTGGATGTTTATGGTAGAGAAACGTTTCACTCTGATGATATGAGGTCGTTACTTGGCTTAAGACGGACCGATACAAGATCTCTTCATCCTTATCGCGATGTAAGTACCAATTATTAGTATACATGTTTCATATGTCTCTCAATCTGTTTCTAAACCTTTCATTAAATTCTATCCATGTCCATGTCCAAGGGCCAGTTTCCACTTTTCTGATCGATACTAAGATGTAAATATTCTGCTGATTAGGTTTCAATGTACGCGCTTTTGCCGGCGAAAAAGTCGGTCTAATTGCAAATAATAATAAGACCGTTTCCATGTAACAAGCGAAAACGCGCGCAGTAACGCCGCGAATACGCATACATGGAAAACGGGCTTTGGCCATACCTAATCGTATATTTGGCCAGGAATGTTTTGCAAATTTTCTAGGAATCTGAAACATCTTTGTACCGCCACTGAATTTGAGGGTACAACCAAGTTTAGGTCAATGCTCTATACATTCGAAAGTCCCGAGTTCCTGCCAAATGGTTAAATTATTATATTAATCAACATATTTTAAGGAATAAAACTTAGAATTTAATACAAATAATTTCATCCAGAATTTTTATTTCTATATGTGTACATGTTTAAAATAATATGACAACTGTTTCAAATGATCTAATATGACAACTGTTTCAAATGATCTAATATGACAACTGTTTCAAATGATCTAATATGGCAACTGTTTCAAATGATCTAATATGAAATTAAATGGGGTAACGTTGTACAGTTCTGCTCCGACTGGGCTAATGAAGACGAACGTACGCCACGGTGTACCATGAGGGAACTTTTGCCCGGACAACGGCGCTACGGCCTAATCTTATATTAAACCCCAACTGTCAACGGATCTTTAAATAGCTGTCCTTGTCAGGCCCTCCACTCTGCACCACTAAAAAGGGGTAACAACGTTGAAAATCCTGAGGAATTTTTTCGACAACGGGAGCGAACTCGTGACCCCCAGGCTAGCGATCCAGTGTCTTACTTAGCCACCTTGACTCCCTGATCTAATATGGCAATTGCTTAGAATGATCTAATATGACAACTGTTCTATTACAGGGTGTATGTTGTAGTGATTATACAGTAACGTTTTTAGCTCCATCTGTCAGAACGTACTGGGAAAACGATGCTTTAGTCAGACAGATCAGAGTGTTTGGATATCAGAAACCTTCTTATTTAGCTTCAAGATTAAATAACACAGGTATGCCAATCAATTATCGACTTGTTCAGTCTGACGCCCCCATGACGGTTGGGGGGTGGGGCGCGCGAATGGCTTGACATATGCGCGTTGGATCATAAGATCCTTCATTGCGTCAAGTGGCGTGGTTTAGATTTCCGATGGTACGTGACAAGGAGAATGATTCCATATCCAACCTTGTGGATGGGTTTTTCTCCGGGTCCCCCCCCCCCTCCACTGCTTAAGACGATATGTTAGTCCCGTAATGACTAGTCTGTGTCCATAAACTCCATGATGAAAGCATTTAGACATTTTAAAACATTATTGAGCCATAGATATTAAACTTGTACTTTATATGAAAGCTAAATTCATGTTTGATTTAGGCACTGATATTTTTTTTTTCAGCTGTTGATTCAGCTCCCGACATTGACGATCCAATGCTAACGAGAACGAAGAATGTTAAAATTTTATGTTGGATTTTATCGATGCCAAAACATTTCAAGATTTATAAAACCGTAATAGATAGAACATGGGCAAAACGTTGTGATAAATTTCTGGTTTTTGTGTCGAATCCCGTGAATAAAACAGCAAATGTGATTGGTCTAAATATTACAGAAGGTCGAGAGCATCTAACCGAAAAAGTTTATGCGGCCTTTAAACATTGTTACGACCATTATGTGGATGATTACGACTGGTTCCTGAAGGCTGATGACGATACTTTTATCATAGTCGAAAATCTTCGTTATTTCTTGGCACACCAGGACCCAAAACTGCCGGTTTTCTTTGGTTATGAGTTCAAGCCCAAGTGGTCGCAATATTCATACATGAGTGGTGGATCAGGTTATGTTCTGAGTAAAGAATCGCTGATTAAATTGGTTTTAATAGGAATTACACACCCCGGGGTCTGTCCGCCTAAAGGAGGTGCCGAGGATGTAACGATCGGACACTGTTTAGGAAATATAGGAGTAAAGAGTGGACATACCTCAGATGTATTCCATAAAGAAACTTTCATTCCATTAGGTTTTAGATATCGTTTAACTAATACCCCTCCATGGTTTATAGAATACAGTGTGCAACCAGTTTCAAAGGTAGGTTAGGGGGTAGTCCTAGAACAGGGGTGGTGGTAGAGCGGTATTTGCAGCTTAATACGGAACGGTGGGAGGACTTCGTCCTTCTCTTCACTGTTAAAAATAAATGTAAAATTACAGTGAAAAATATGTAATTTCTTTAACATAACGCTGTAAAAATACCACTGCATGTTTTTATACTATAAATTTACTGTATAAGTGAGGTAACATGGGATTACTGTAAAAAAAATGGTAAATTAACAAACAAGGTGTAGTTTTACAAGTTAGAACTGTATTTTTGTTACATGTAATCTGTATTGATACAACTATGTTGGTTAAAAGTATATTTATGTTGTACTTTAACTGTTTTATGGGTAATTAGACTATTCAAACATGTTTAAAAACGGGATTTGTGTACAATTACAGGAAACATGTAAATGTACATCTCTTTAGAACTTTAACATTTATAGACCTTTTAAGTATAGTCCACTTATGAGGGGATCACGGTGGCTAAGTGGGTAAGACGCTGCGCTCGCTGGCCTGGAGGTCGGGTGTTCGATCCCTGCATTGGTCGAGAAAGTTCATCCAGATTTTCCTGCGTGGTTACCCCTTGTCAACGATGCAGGACGGAGGGCCGGTCAAGGATAGCTGTTTAGTCGTTCGAATGGGACGAAACACCGAGATCCCTATTAAACTGTTAAAATTATATGTATATTTACAGTTAATATACTTAAAGTACAGTGTCCGATTTGTAATATCACATAGTTTGTTAATTTACATTTAAAAAGATGTAAATGCATATGAATACAAGGCTTACGTAAGATTACATCAAACTTAATGTAGAAATACAACCATATGTCAGTTTACATTATGTGAGCTGTTTATTAACAGAATTGCCATTTGAATTATTATTTTTACTGTAAATTGTAAATTAACTTTCAAATAGTGGCCACATCGGTTATTCCCTCTTTGGCCACATGTAAGATTACATGAAACGTAATGTAAAAATTCAACCATATGTCAGTTTACATTATGTGAGCTGTATATTAACAGAAATGCCATTTGAAATAGTATTTTTACAACAAATTGTAAATTTACTGTCAAATAGTGTTCAAATCGGTTATTCCCCTTCGACCACATATCGAATTCTGTGCATAATATTTACTGTTATATCAGTCAGATTAGTCCTTTTTTTTTTTAGAGAAGTAGGTTATTTAAGATCTGAATGCATCTAACTGGCGTATGGAGACAGTGATATGCGATACATGGGGTTGTGTGGGACATTTTGCTTCGTGTCATGCCTCCTACTCTTTCCATTGTAAGAAGCAGAACAGTAGGACGTTAAACCCCATTTCATTTAATTTCTTTCCATTATCGAATGATGTTTTGCATGCTCGGCTGAAAGGTCAGCAAAACTTTATGTGTTCCCCAGGACCTAACCTAGGACTACATAGCCGAGTGGGGACAAACACGTTCAAAGTATATTTCAAGTAAATCTACACTTCAAATTGTATTTTTACCGTAAAATGACTGACATAAAGTTGCCAGTAAAATCACAGTATTTTAACAAATGACTTGTAAATGTGCCCCTAAATGGTAGATTTACAAACACCACGTAAATTTACAGCGAGTGTAAAATAACTTTGAGGTGAATGTACAACCACAGTGTAAATTTACAGTGAGTGTAAGATAACTTTGGGGTAAATTTACAACCACAGTGTAAATTTACAGTGAACGCAAATTTACCTCACTTTCTATAAGAACAAGTTATTTTACGCTCACTGTAAATTTACATGCTGTTTGTAAATCTAAATCTACCACTTAGGTGTACATTTACAAATCAGTGTTTTAAATACAGTCAATTTACTGGCAACTTTCAGCCAGTCAAATTACGGTAAAAATACACAAATATTATTTACAGTGTTCGCTGACAACTGGACTAATGAAGACGGGCATACGCCCGCCACACAGTATGCTATGAGGGACATTTTGCCCGGACATCGGCGCCACGACCTATTCGTATGTCGAATTCCAATTACCCAAGGGAGATCTAAAGAAGAAAATGCACAGACTCTCTCCACTTGTTCAAAAAAAACAAAGGTTCCATTGCAATTGGTCAACAGAATTTTGTTTGAGGGCAGATTCGACTGTCATCAGTTTGTCGCCATAAAAACTACTATAAATAATTGTGTCTTTTATTTAAAAACCTTTATTACCCCAGTCGGAGCAGAAAAGTAGGACGTTAAATCCCATTTCATTTATCTAATAGTGGGATGTTTCGCGTCAAGCTTTGAAATTAATATGATTGTTTGTATTTTTCAGACCAATACTTTCAGTAGCCGATATTCCATCAGTTTCCATTATACGGCCGGTCTATATATTGATATATATCATACGTTACTTTATGGTATAAGTCCTAATAAACACAACCAGGTGGGGACCAAACAGTATTTTAAACCGTATCAACCAAACAAAACATAGATCTTTTCTAATCATAGATATCTCGACCCATTGTGATCAATATGTACTGTAAAACCATAGATATCTCGAGCCATTCTGGACATGTAATGTAAAACCATAGATAACTCGAGCCATTGTGGACAACATGTAATGTACAACCATAGATAACTCAAGCCATTTTGGACATGTAATGTAAAACCATAGATAACTCGAGCCATTGTGGACAACAAGTAATGTACAACCATAGATAACTCAAGCCATTTTGGATCTGTGATGTATAACCATAGATAACTTGAGCCATTGTGGACAACATGTAATGTACAATCATAGATAACTCGAGCCATTGTGGACATTATGTAATGTATAACCATAGACAACTCGAGCCATTGTGGACAACATGTAATTTACAATCATAGATAACTCGAGCCATTGTGGACATAATGTAATGTACAACCATAGATAACTCAAGCCATGGTGCACAACATGTGATGTACAACCATAGATAACACAAGCCATTATGGACAACATGTGATGTAAAACCATAGATAACTCGAGCCATTGTGTAAACCATTGAACCATTGTGAGCAGTATATTATGTAAAACCATAGATATCACGAACCACTGAAAACAGCATGTAATGTAAAACCATAATGTGCACTACACCTATATAACAAAATAGGTCTACCACCTATAGCGATTTATGGAATATTCTTCGGGATCGCATGAGCCTATTAGTGACCGGCGTGTACATCTCCAGGTGCGTCTAATGGCCAACGTGTACATTACAGTGCCGAGCAGGTACGTGTTGTGGCATATGCAGCATTTACATTACAGTGAAGGGCGGGTACGTGTAGTGACGCATGCAGCATGTATACTACAGTGACGAGCAGGTTCTGGTAGTGACTCATGCAGCGTGTATATTACACTTATGAGCAGGTACGTGTGGTGTCCAGCATGTACATTATAGTGACCAGCAGATGCGTGTAGTGACTCATACAGCGTGTATATTACATTGACGAGTCGGTACTTGTAGTGACCAGCGTGTACATTATAGTGACGAGCAGGTACGTGTAGTGACCAGCATGTACATCATAGTGACGAGCAGGTACGTGTAGTGACCAGCATGTACATCATAGTGACGAGCAGGTACGTGTAGTGACCAGCATGTACATTATAGTGACGAGCAGGTACCTGTAGTGACCAGCATGTACACTGTGGCCAGCATAATACTTATACATATATATTATTACCAAAAGTTAAATACTTATGCGCATGTGGACATTTTAGTAGTGAGGTGACAAATTAGTATCGTTCAATACATTCTCAGCATTTATGGCACACATGTCACTGGTAAGCTGACACCATTGGCCTATGAACCTTGAGCTTTTTAGTAATGACAAATTTTGTCAATAAATCATAAGTAATCATTATTCTAAACTAGTGTTTAGTGTGTATAGAAAGTGTTTAGAAATTATACAGTAGTCATTTATAAGCAGGTGTGTAAACCAGCTGTAAAAGATGTACATGAAATGAAATTTATGTTCTGCTACGACTGGGCTAATGAAGACGGGCATACGTCATACAGTGTGCTATTTCGAATTCCAACTGTCAAGAGATATTTTACGTGCACACCAATGTGTACACAGGGCCTCGGTTTTTCGTCCCATACGTTGTCCCTTGCCAGGCCCTCCGTCCTGCACCAATGACAAGGGGGAACCACTCAAGAAAATCGCGACGACTTTTCTCGGCCAATGCAGGGATAGAATACGGGACCTCCATGTAAGCGAGCCAGCGTCATACCCACTGAGCCACCGTGGCTCCCTGTAAAAGATGTCACTAATAGTGTAAACGCGTGACTAATTAACACACATTACTATCAATAGTCACTATTTAACACATGTGGTAAGCAAGAATTTCAAAATAGCCTTACCGCTACAGATCGCAATTATTATCCGATTTCAATGAAACTTACCTATTATGATAACACTGATAATATCTCAGGGTAGCCAAACTTTCGTCTACATCCGGTTCACGGTTTCCGAGATATGGGATTACCATACATTTCATGTGGCACGGTTATAATCAACCGATTTCAGTGGCACTAACGGATTATTTATGATAACACTGATAATATCTCAGGTTACTACACATTTTATGTGGCACGACTGTTGAGCGCAATTATCAACCGTTATCTATGAAACTTACAGAATATGATAACATTAATAATATCTCAGAGTAGTCAAAATTTCAACCATTTCATGTGGCACGGCTGCAGAACGCAATTACCAACTGATTTCCACAACACTTACAGATTATGACAACACTAATAGAGTAGGCAAAATTTCGTGCTACATGAAATATCTGTTAACCTGGTATCTCGGAAACTGAAAACCGGAAGTGGCCGAAATATTGTCTGCTCTGGGATATTCTTGACATTATCATAATCCGTAAGTTTCGTTGAAATCGATTGATAATTGTGATACGCAGACTAGCCACATGTGGCAAATAGCCCCCGAATTGTTATACCAGCAGGGGTAGTTGCCTGCAATTACAGTGTTGTGGGAGGGATTTGAGGGATTTGAGGCTCACTTGTGATAGATCAATTGTTTTTTTTTTTTGGTTTATTTAAACTATATTTTATTCAATAAGAATAGGATTGGGGAACAGGCGTAACGTTTCTTTGAAGGGAAAACGACGTTTGGGGTATGGGGAGCTTGGTATCTCTGCCACCAGTGATCAATTCCTGGCTGATCACGAGCCACCGGTAAACGGAACTTCGGAAGGGTGTGTAAGGACCAGCTAAAAAGTGGTCAGTAACGGTGTTTTGCTAAAATTATAATAAACTTCACCATACAAATTCCAGCCATCTAGACGTATCTATAAGAGACATTTATTCCTACTGGCGATTCACAAATATTGCATGAAGAAATTCAAATCATAAGAACATAAACACGACTAATAAACAGTATCATATTGATTATAAAAGTACAATGTATATATTGGTTACACTATATATGTCACAAAACACTAATCATTAGATAATAATAATTATTTACTAATTATATAAATCACTTTAGGAGGTAGGAGTTATCCGTTGTTCAATTTAACAGTTATATAATTACCCTGGTTATAAAGGTACGAACAATTAAGGTATTTAAACAAATGATTACGAAAGAACATAACACTATAGATTTCTATGATAAGACATATAATACATGTTTAATATATATATAAATGACAATGTCCTACGCTAACAAATAATGAAATATGATAGTATCAGTAAATATAAAAAAACAAAGTAGTCGCGATCATCCTGGCTCTTGACTGCTTCACTACCCACGCCTTCGTAACTTCTCACTCATCCTCGATGTATAAATCAAGCCTTAATTCCATCATTTGGCTAACTTGAACACCTACAGTTCTTGAAGATTTGTTTGTAGCCCGGGTGGTTGTTGCTGATTATGTGGGTGGATTTGGGACCCTAACAAACTCTCCGGTTGTTCCGTTTAATATATACATTTCTTCTCGGCTGTCATTAAGTTGACTGACAGTTTGTGAAGTTTCAGACATTAATTCAATTTCGGGGTCCTCTCCAATATCATTTCTTGTTAAAGTACTTTCTGCAAGACGTTGTGTGGGAGTAGATACAACCTGAATTGTGCTTCTGATGCGAGGCTGTGGAACTGAAAGTTGCGGTCTTGTCGGACGTCTGGTTGCTACCATTTCCACTTGATGTTTAGAGAACATGTGGTTTTCTAAGTTTAACTTAGAGGTATATGATCTACCACAAACTCGACATCTCGTTATTCTCTGTTGACAAGATTTTTCGTGACTCTTTCTGTCTTCCACTTTTTTACCGCAATGTCTGCAAAATTCAGCCATTTCAATACAGGACGTATTCTTTAAATCTCGAAGGTAACTTCGTTTGTCGATTATATTTTGACCGAAAATAACTAGGGTTGTCTTCCTGATTTTGACGAGTAGTTTCTGTTTCGATTTCTCCCTGACTATGGTCAAAATCCTGAAAAACACTGGTACCGGAAGTAGGCTCATCACAAGTCTCTTTGACAGGACAAAGTTTTAATCTGTCCGTATGCACTACTTTCTGTTTTGTACCAAAATCAATTTCCATCGTTGTATCAGTGATTTTCTTTACAATCTTGAAAGGTCCTGTCTAAGGTTTATGGAATTTTGGCGGAATGCCTTTTTATGCACTTGGGAATGGACATAAACCGTATCTCCTGTTTGGAATTTTCTAGAAAACGACTTTAAATCGTAATATTTCTTCTGTCTAGCAGCTGAATTTTCCAGGTGGTCTCTGGTAAACGCAAAGGTATCCTGAAATTTTTCTCGGATATTAGCAGCAAAGCTATTGATATTTTCTTCTACGTCTGGTGGAAGTCCATAGTGGAGTTCGAGAGGGGTGTAAACATCCCGACCAAACATTAAGAAGTTCGGTGAACACCCGGAACTTTCTTGCAAAGTGCATCGATATGCAAACATTACATACGGTAGATAGTCATCCCAGTCATCTTCCTTCGTGCGGACGTAAGCAGCTAACATGTTCTGTAATGTCCGATTAAATCGTTCTACCTGTCCATCAGATTGGGGATGATAAGCGGTTGTTCGAGTCTTAGTTATACCAAGTAATTTACAAATTTCTGCAAAATGTTTACTCTCGAACTGGCTTCCCTGGTCACTATGGATCTGAAATGGTAGCCCAATCCGTAGGAACACCTCTTCAACTAAAATCTTTGCGATTGTTATTGTCTCCATATTAGCCATTGGAAAAGCTTCCGTCCATTTTGTAAAATAATCTGAGATTACTAGTATATAGCAATTGCCTGACGACGTTGGTAGGTCTATCCTACCCATAATATCAATGGCAATTCTTTCCAATGGTGCGCCCGCTAAAAATGAGCTAAGTTTACCTCTTTTCTTGTTTCCCTTTCTTCTGTTACAGACATCGCAACCCTTTACATAATCTTTTACAGATTTGTTGATCCCTGGCCAGTAGTAGGTTGTTTTAAGTCTGGCAAGAGTCTTGGTTACCCCCAAGTGTCCTCCAGTGGGTAAATCGTGAGCCAGACTAATGGCAGTCTGTCTGTGTTCCTTCGGTACTAGTTTCTGGAATCTTTCTTGTTTGGCAGGAGATTTAACTTTTCTGCTAAGAATCCCATTTACCAACTCGATATATTGCCACTGGTTGTACAGCTTTTTAATACATTCTGATTCTGGGGAAACGTCTTCTAGACTGGGCTGTACACCGGTCTTTTTCCATTTCCTAAAGAGCTTAAGATCAGCATCCATTTCCTGCAATTCCTCGAATTGAGTTGGATCTGCGCCAATTACATTTATTACCCGTTTTCTGGATTTCCCTTCGTTCCGACCACACTGCTTGCAGGGAAGTCTTGACAGGCCATCGGCATTTTTGTGAACCAAACCAGGTCGATAAGTTATCTTAAAATCATAAGAGGATACGACTTCTAGCCACCTGGCTAGTTGTCCCTCTGGATTTTTGAAATTCAAGAGCCATGTCAAGGCTCCATGGTCGGTTCTGACAACGAACTTCTTTCCATATAAGTACGGTTTAAAGTATTTCATAAAATGTACTATTGCTAACAGCTCCTTCCTGGTAACACAATAACATTTTTCCGCTTTTGTCAGCGTTCGGCTACCATAGGCAATTACTCTTTCTCTACCATCTATCTTCTGCGAGAGCACTGCACCGATTCCGTATCCACTGGCGTCTGTATCTAAAACGAAGTCTTCACTCGGATCTGGAAATGCTAGGATCGGTGATGTAGTTAGCCTTTCTTTCAACGTACTAAAAGCATCTTCCTGCTCTTGATTCCAAATAAACGGTACTTCCTTTTGAGTAAGTTTATGCAAGGGAGCAGCAATATGCGAAAACCTTTCAATAAAGCGGCGATAGTACGAACAAAGTCCAAGGAAACTTCTCAGTTCTTTTAGAGTTTTTGGCTTTGGACAGTTCTTCACGGCTTGGATTTTCTCTGGGTCAGTAGAAATACCATTTTCTGATACAATATGTCCTAAGTAACTTACTTTTTTCTGAAGGAGGAAACATTTATTTGGTTTCAACTTCAGACCAGCATTTTGTAACCGATGAAATACTTCTGTTAATCTGGCTAGATGGTCTTTAAATGATCTTGAAAATACAATTATATCATCAAGATAAACCAGACAAGTTTCCCATTGAAGACCTGCTAAGACTGTTTCCATTAACCGCTCAAAAGTTGGGGGCATTGCAAAGGCCAAAGGGCATTACCCGGAATTGAAACAGACCTTTAAATGTGGTGAATGCTGTTTTGTCTTTATCATCTTCCGACATTTCTACCTGCCAATATCCAGAGGCAAGATCCAATGTTGAAAACCATTTAACCCCGGTTAGTGAATCGAGCGTCTGGTCTATCCTAGGTAGTGGATAAGCATCCTTCTCTGTAATATTGTTTAGCTTCCTATAGTCTACACAGAAGCGAGTACTTCCATCTTTCTTTTTTACTAAAACTATAGGTGACGACCAAGGACTATTGGACGTTTCTACCACCTTTTGTTTTAACATCTTCTCCAGGGTTTCTTCAACCTCCTGTTTCTGAAGTAACGGTATCCGTCTGAGCTTCTGCCTGATAGGAAGACTACTATTCAACTTAATGTTGTGTTTTACGGCCGACGTTCTTCCAAGATCGTACTCATCTTTTGCAAAAAGTGTTTGGTATTTCCCTAATAATTCTACCAGCTCACTTTTCTGCTGACTATCTAAGTGAGTGCTCGATCTTTCCCGTAAATCTTCTAAATGTTGCGGCAAACTTGTAGATAGCGATTCCTTTAGATCCACTGTGCATATGGACGAACAGCTTATGGGGCTGAATCTACCAATGGTGCTGCATTTGTAGACATTAACTGTATTTGGAGAAGCATTCATTAATCTCACTGGAACGAGAGGAGTGTCATCAGAAACATTTGCTAGAACTCTGGCAGCTATGACACCACTCTTCTCACACATATTTTCTACAGATTCCACAAGACCAATGTTTTAGTCAATTCTTGTTCAGTATCTGGCTTTACCTTTCCCATTACAATTTGTTCGTGGTAAGCAGGAATCTGTATGTGTTTTGTCGCCGTAATTCTACATATACCCAATCCTCCTTCCATCTTTAGAGGTAGTTCTTTTTCGTGAATGTCCAGTGTGTTGTCTTTGACATTAATTTTACAGTTATGTTCTTTGAGGAAATCAAGTCCAAGTATACAGTGTGAACCAATGTCAGCTATGACTACTTCCTGAGAACAATCTATACCACCAATTTTAAGATTTAAGCGACAAGCTCCCTTGGCATTCATTCTTCTACCATCTGCTAATGTTAAGGAATGAGACAATGGTCACAGTGTTGGCCTATCTTTAATAGAGTTAAAACTTCTGGTGGACACTATGCTCAAACATGCACCAGTATCGATTAGTCCGTGAGTTTGAACATCTTCAATCATCATGAGCACATGCAACCCTGCCTCAGTTGGTTCATTCGAAAACTTCCGCCTTCTATGATTACAGCGGTTGTTTACGGGTCTAATGTTGGACTTATCGGTCTCTTTCTTAGCATATTTGGTGCTTCTATCCGGGCAATGGATAGATAGATGTCCCGGCTTCCTACAATTATTACAAACGATCGGGTTTGGTGGTCGTGTGTCTCTTTCTTCAAATTTACTCTTTAGTTGCTCAACCATTTTAGTAAGAGAGTGAATCTGTTCTTTCATTTCCTTCACATCGTCCGTTTTAGGGTTACCCTGTACACCTCTGGTATACTTTTCCTTCGGCAGTTTAGCTTCATGTGAAGCTCTGAAAGATTCGAGCTCGATAGCCACTTGAATACTTTGCTCAATGTTGCATGGTCTAGTTTGTTGTACTTTCCATACCATATCACTGACTTCTTGAAGTGCGTCCAGAAAAGCATCTCTCGCAAGAATATCTTGTAAACCTTGCTCCGCCGTTGGATATGCCATGTGCACAAGTCGTTTGATTGACTGGCCTAACTCTGTGAGTTTTTCTCGTGGATGTCTTCGACGGGACTTCAACTCTGTACGATACAGTTCTGTCTGATTCCTTGGCTGGAATCGCCTCTCCAGGGCGTTCACCAAGATTGTGTACTTGTACCTCTCTGTAGACTGGAGCGAACTCAACACTTGCTGGGCTGGCCCTGTTAAGCTTCCAGCTAGATATAGACCCTGCTCTTCTGGTGTCCATCCGTTTAACTTAATACATGTCTCGAAGTGAACTAAATAGTCCATTAAGGGCGTGCTTCCATCAAATTTTGAGGCAACCAAAATTGGCTTTTTATAAACTGGTGGCACCAATGGTCGGTTACGTACTGTTCTCTCAGCTTCAACATTTGCTTGATATCTGGGAACCATTGGGTTTAGCACAGGCGGAGACAATGAAGTCCTGAACTCCGGGTTTTCAAATAATGGAGGAGTTGGTAAACGTCGTCTCGACTCTTGCTTTAACGGTGTTGGACGTGGCAGATAATGTGTATCTTGTGGCACTTCGAAATCATCAAGTAACCGCCTAGTCTGCTGAGTGATAAAGGATGGAGGTCTTCTAGTTGTGCTCTCGTCAACTGGATTAAAACCACGAAAGCCAGCGCGCTCTTTTTCTTTCTGTTCACCAGCACCATCCTCCAAACCCAAGCTTTTACTCAGGGTTTTTAATTCACTAGAGATTTCTTCTAATTTCTTTTTTCCTGCCTTGTCCGCCAAACTTGTTGGTGTATCGGGGAGTTCTGCCATTTTGAAAGATTGTCAAAAAGTTCTAATACTGAATGTCTATTTTTATTCCTTATTCCATACAATTATCCCACCTCTGCCACCAAAAACGTGTAACGTTTCCTTGAAGGGAAAACGACGTTTGGGGTATGGGGAGCTTGGTATCTCTGCCACCAGTGATCAATTCCTGGCTGATCACGAGCCACCGGTAAACGGAACTTCGGAAGGGTGTGTAAGGACCAGCTAAAAAGTGGTCAGTAACGTTGTTTTGCTAAAATTATAATAAGCTTTACCGTACAAATTCCAGCCATCTAGACGTATCTATAAGAGACATTTATTCCTACTGGCGATTCACAAATATTGCATGAAGAAATTCAAATCATAAGAACATAAACACGACTAATAAACAGTATCATATTGATTATAAAAGTACAATGTATATATTGGTTACACTATATATGTCACAAAACACTAATCATTAGATAATAATAATTATTTACTAATTATATAAATCACTTTAGGAGGTAGGAGTTATCCATTGTTCAATTTAACAGTTATATAATTACCCTGGTTATAAAGGTACGAACAATTAAGGTATTTAAACAAATGATTACGAAAGAACATAACACTATAGATTTCTATGATAAGACATATAATACATGTTTAATATATATATAAATGACAATGTCCTACGCTAACAAATAATGAAATATGATAGTATCAGTAAATATAAAAAAAACAAAGTAGTCGCGATCATCCTCGCTCTTGACTGCTTCACAGGCTAGGCCTATATCACCCCTCTCCCTTCAACAAAACAATATAATTACAATTAGTTTACTTAAATACATGTATATACATGGTTTGAATATGATTATAGTCCAAATATGTCACCCAATCACACAGTTTGTCTATGGGGGTGCATCTTTTTATTTATTTTTTTATATTGTAATAATATTATAAAGATAAATGGTCTATTATAGGAATAACTAGCGGTTGGCCCGGCATAACACGGGTATTTCCATGTACCGGAAGTAGCATAATCCCGAAAACGGAAGTGGTGGTCCATCGCCACCAGCCCTATGTTACTCTACGGCATCCCAAACTTAGGCTGCCTATCTACAGCTAGCTCCGGCTGAGAATAGGCCCTAAGCTAATTAACCGACATTTTAATTCCTACATCGACGATTTTAGTCGAAAACACTGAGTATGCTTTTAGAAATTTTTAAAAGTATTTATTTCTCTTCTATTGTCATATTGAATGAAATTAAATATGTTTATTTAGCCGCTGTGTGTATGAAAGATGTCAAACTAATCAAAGCCGAATCACAAAATAGTCCTCTAATTATTCAATATGGCGGCGCCCATGAAACATAATTTCACAGAGGCGGTTTTGTTTGCGAAAACAAATTTAGGAGTATCTAACCTTGTTTTGAAAGATAAACAGATTGAAACTCTAAAGACAGTTAACAATGGTAAAGAATTTATATTATTGCAATATTACCCATAGCACATATTATATATCGCTTTTACGCGAGTGTCAGCGACATGGCGTGTTTACATAAAACACACGTGCTTGGGTTATTTTTACTCTGCTGTCTAAACAAAACAGTGTTTAGTCGATAAGTCCCGCCCCAAAATGATCACGTGAACGTTTTAAATGGCGGGTAATCAGTGCAGTGTCACATTCTGGGATGTATGACGTAGATGGGTCGCTGCGTGCAGTATGACTCTACGGCCCGAGCTACCCCTATACACTAAATTTCAACATCAGGACAGCGCTAGTGTAGCCACCAACCCTGAACAAACAAACAGACAGGCAATCAAACAAACAAACAAAAACAAACAAACAAACGACAGTCACAAATATTAATATAGATAATGAATAGGTTTACATTAAAATAGTGTAATCATTTTAAGTAAGTTCTATATACATCATTCTAAATTACGAAATGAAACACTAAATATAAAATAGTATGAAAGCTTTGTTGTAGAACATGCTAAACTGCAGTGAATATTTGCTAGGCCGCTACAATCACTGATAAGGATGACATCGATGCGGCTTAATGAGCCAGAAATATTAACTTTTTTCCTGCGACAAATTAAATTCTAAAACATTTTTTTTATGTATTGGAAAAATAAATAAAGGCGTTTGACGTATTTGTAGGTAAAAATTATTTCCTATTTAGTGTAAATGGGTATTAAAATGACTAAAATGCAGCATTCTCTCCGAGGCAGTAACGTCTTATGTAAACAATGCACGCGCCATTCAGCCAATGATTGACGCCGCGTGCTGTGACGGCCCGTGTTAAGACAGTCATTTTTGACAGAGATATATGACTAGACTCGTAATTCTCTGTGAAACAGATTGGCTAAACTGGTTACTGACATATCCCCGGAACTATGCATAAATAAATGCAAAATATATTTTATTTGAGAAAATTTTGAAAATTTGAGCCAATATCCTGGCCATTGAGGTCAATGCTGAGGGCAAATTCTTGTGAACGAAAGGATCAGAAATGGGAGTCAATGGGACAGAATCTTGAGATCTGCCTGTCAATTCCGTCTGTTTTGTGACAGTTAACAGAAAATCTGTACAGTGATACTACTGGGCGGTTCACTATAACCATGAATATGATAGCGATGAGATAGTATAAGACCACAGAGGAGTAGAGGAAGAATGATGGTATAATGGAATTGAGCGCCGTAGGCGCGAAAAAAAATCAGATAGCAACGTATAACATTATGTAATTAAGCTTTTAATTTTTTAGGACAGGGCCTAAATTTCCTGAAATTGGAATAAATTCTTGTGAACGAGAGGTTAAGAAATGGGAGATAATTTTGAGACCTGCATCTTACTTCCGCCTGTTTTGTGAGAGTTGCCAGAACATTTGTACAGTCTGTCACCCCACTGGGGATTGGATGGCCGAATGGTTAGCGGGTGTGCGTTGTATCATAAGATCTGTCATATTCGCGACTGATATTAAGTCAGTCTTTTATACGTTATGACATATTCGGGATACACCATCCTACTATCATAAACAGCAAACTCTCGAAACTTCCCTTTTCTTTCTGAGATAACAGAGTCGTAAAATCCATGAAATAGTGTACATCCTGTATCTTGATGTTGTGGGTCTTTACATGGAGGTTTTTTGCAATCTTTTGATCGCATATCACAGATCATGGCATCACCAAATAATACCCTACAGAGTAATAATTTCTTGTCACCATCATTTCGATCCTTTCTATCTATAAAAGAAATCAAAATATTTTAAATGAAAAGGAAAAGAAATGGTATTTAACGCCCTACTTAGCCGGATTAACGAATACGGACATACGACATGCAGTGTAGTATAAGGGGAATTTTGACATGACAGTGGCGTTTCCACCTACTCTGCATTGATTTCCAAAATAGGTAAATAAATTTCAAATTCAGTTGTAATGTATTAATTAAGACTATAATACCTGTTGCGCTAAATTGAGTGAACAAATTATGATGGCAAGTCGTTCGATATTTTCCGTCTTCATTAACCGGAATAGGGCAGAATAATAGGACTTTAAACTCAATTTAGGATGTCCCATTAATTGTTTTCCATATTTCATATCAGACCAACAATTGTTCGCTAGAAAATACCTCTTCGAGTGGCCATGTCTCTAGCTTAAGATGATAGGCATATCTGCTTATGGGGCCTTACTTTTCCGGAAGTAGTAATGAAGTCACAGGGAGAAACTCCAGACAAATTTGGAAGTTATGGTTATGGCGATTAAATGAGCTAAACCTCATACTCAATATTTCCATAATATTTGAAATTAAAACCCCGAATTAGGATTCAACATTGGTCTATTTCAATCAATATTGATGTTGTTTTCTTGTCGTGAAAATATAGGGTCCTAATATCCAATATTTAAGAAACAATGACTACTTTAAAATCAGTACACGAATCGTGTTATCGGTGGTTTCGGGCGCCACTTGTAATTAACAATGAAAAACATATTATACAAAACAATGTGGAAGTAATTATTGTTGACTGATTCAAAAACGACAAAATAATAATTCAAAACGTGCAGAATTGACATAGAAATTACAGTAACTTTTTTTCAAATGTTACATTAATATGTGCCGTTTGACCCATTTTCGTCTATTTCAAGGTTCCAGAGACTAGAACCATACTTCCTTTAAATAAAGACTAGATGAGTTATGTTTCGTCAGAAAAATGTATTTAGTTAAAGGTGCATTATGTAAGATTATTATAAAGAGCTAACTGTTCTTGCTATAATAGTTAAAAACTAGATAATGAAATAGGATAATGTTGAACATTTTAGTATAATTACTTTATTCTGAGCGGAGTTATGGCCGTTTGAAGAATAATGTAGTCTCGTTTGTCATTGATACCGTTGTTACGATAATGAAGAAATTCTCGATTAATAACTCGCAATTGTGTTTAAATCCGGTGAAAATCAAAATCATCATACCCATGGTCTATAGAGTTGATAATGAACTTGGCATGTAAATAAATGTGGGGGGGGGTTGGGATGGCCTAGTCATCTAGAGTGCGCTTCGATTGGGGTGCCTTCTGAACCTCGTTGGTTTACTCCGGGCACTCCGGTTTCCTACCACAGGAAAGACCCCTGCGCGTGCGCTGAGATAATACAATGAAAAATAAGACTTGTCTGCGATATCACCTTCGGTGGAAGCGGACGTCAAACACTAAGAACATGAATAAATGTCTTATTAATTATTTATATAACAATTGAGACCTAACGAAGATTCTGCATTGGCCAGATTTAGCTCTTATATAATGCATCTTTATCTTAACTGGATGAGTTGCGATTTTATTTAATAATCAGTGGGACATACCTGCATATTGATCAGATTTTGTTGATTCTTCAGCAAAATATATAGCATGTCCCAGCATCCCGTTGTTAGAGTTACGAACATCGAAACCCTCTACGCCAACAACTTTCGCTACCTCTGGCTTAGTTCCGTGAAAGACATAATGTTCGTTTACCTCTGGATATAAATCATCATGTTTAAGGGCGGTGTGGGATTTTTCGGTTGTGAGAATAGGACCTCGACTGCCTGGTAAACTTCCGATATCTTTGTAAGATGATCTATTTTTTAAGGCTTCCTTAAAGAATTCTTGTCTTCTATCATGGTATTTACGATAAATTTCAAAGTTTTCTATCCGTTCGATGCCGATAACTTGAATATCTTTATGTGAAAGACCCTTGGCGTCACAACCTTGTCCCACTAAATCCGATTTCCATGTTATTTTTACTAGGCCTTCAATGGCTTTGTAGATGACACTGCTTGCTTTTATTTTCACTAAACCAGGTTTAAAAATCATTTTTTTCATTTGATTAAACAAGCCAGTATAAGATTCCCAGTACGGTGGGGGTGACGCGTCTTTCTTTGCCATGTAACGAAGAAATTTCACCGTTCCTCGTTTAGGTGCATCACGTCCACTGTATAGTAGTTCCTGTAATGCTGCTTTCACTTTCAGGACACTTTTCGTTTCACCTTGTAGTCGAATCTCTGGCACCATAAGCGCACCTTAAAAAAACAGACATTCTGTCATACAATGAACTGTGTGTACGCATAGTTGCCCCCCGCGCAGGGAGAAAGAAAGGGGGGGGGGCATAAGAACTACAGAGCGCTATGAGGGATTGTTGCCAGGACAGCGGCACTATACGGCCTATTCTTAAATCGAATTCCGGCTGCGAAGGGTTCTTTTAGGTACATGCCAATGTGTACACGGGACCTCGGGTTTTCGTACCGTCCGAACAGCCCTGATGAACTTTCTCGGTCCCCAGGCTACCGTGGCCGTAGCGCCAAGGAAAGAGAGAGAGAGAGGGAGAGAGAGAGAGTTGACTCAATGATGAGACATAGTATGATCTAATGGACACGCGTTTAATCATTCGGCTCCCTCCCTCCGCCACCCTCGGAGATCAGTTGCCTGGGTTATTATATAAGTTTGTGTGAGTGAGAACCCATCAACACAATTTGTCCTGCATGTCTATGAAGTAAACTGAAACATTCCCCGGCCGGCTAATTCGTGAAATCAAATGAAATGAAATGGGGTTTAACGTCCTACTGTTCTGCTCCGAACTGGGTTAATGCAGACGGGCATACGCCATACCGTGTGCTATGAGGGAAATTTTGCCCGGACAGCACCACTACAGCCTACTCTTATATCGAATTCCAACTGTCATGGGATCTTTTACGTGCACGCCAATGTGTACACGGGGCCTCGGCTTTTCGTTATATTCGAACGACTAGACAGCTGTCCTTGCCAGGCCCTCTGTCCTGCATCCGGCTATTTCGTGTTGAGGCCAAAGTTTAAAAGTGTCAAAACTATCTTTAATGTACATTCAACAAATTGAGATTAAAATTGAAACCTCTCGAGAGCTACCAAGGTTTCATTGCAAACGGGGACAGTTCTAGAATCTTTGCGAATCAATGGGTTTCGTCCTATGCTATGTGACAGAGAGCTGGGAGGACTGACAGGCGGATTGGACTACGATATACACCCACAATGAAATGGAGTTGTGTTTACCATGTCCAGGGAGTTCTGTATTACATATCTGCATATCAACATCTAATTTACTTGCTTCCCTTTTCATGTCTTCTTGGGTATCTCGATCGAAATGTGTTTTACAGCTAGTATCAATTTTAAAACAATCCTTGTATAAGTAATTTTCCTTCAGGAATGTCTTCATGGTTTGCTTCGCTTGTTTACATATATCTTTACTAGAAGCGTAAATGCCAATACCAGTATCTGTAATTATAGCCATATCTGTTTTACCGTGTGTACATGACTTTAGTTTGCATAAATAGTTATAGCTGTTTCGCCACGTGTACACGGACTAAGTTTGTAAATAGAGCTATAGCTGTATTACCATAGATACATGTTCGTTGTTTGTAATGATAGGCATAACTGTTTTATCACGTGTACGCGGCTTTAGCTTTTAATTATAACCATAGTTGTTTTACCATGTATACATGGCTTTAATTTCTGATTTGTTTTACCACCATCTGATATTGAATATACCCCTGATTAGTACACGGTGAGTTTGGTGGAGAAGGAGGTTTAACGCCTCTATAACATAAATTGGTTAACCAAGAATCTATATATAACTAGTTGCATGCATGTGTAATGCGTGGTTGGGGTAGGGTGTGTTATTTTGATCAGACAGCAGCCTTTCGTTTCCGTGTCTTTAATATAAAAGGGGTTATTAGTTCAGAACCCGAAGGCACTACACCTAAGATTCTTCTCGACCCAAGCAGGGATTAATGTCAATAGGGTTCTTCCTTATAACTTAAGAACAATCTCTTCAAATTACAAATTGGCCCGTCATAAAATCTGATCTGTAGCGTGTTTACAAGAAATTAAAAGAAAATTTTTATGATTGTATTTGTTATGTTCGCATGTTCAATATTGACAAAGAACTGATTCCAAGACTGTGAATCATATTCACACCAAATGCTCTTAATCAATAATCCAATCGTTCTCTAAAATACAGTCAAAATAGGTCATGGAGTGTTAACGGGGGGGGGGGGGGGGGGGGGGGGTGTTAGTGAAACAAGGGGGGATAACTCTCCATTTATAGCAAATCTCTCATTTTCAATTTTCTAGCTCTTTTTCATTACAAGAAGGTGCTTCCAAGTTTTAATGAATATTTATTATTTTGGAACAGAAGGGAAATCACGCGCGATTGTTGCTTTTAACAAAACGATAGGAAGGTAATTGACACTCTGGGTAACGAGAATATACAACTACAAAAATGACCTTATTGCCATCTTTGGGTAGAAGTTATTTTTTCTATGTATGCTCAAATTGTTTTTATTTTATCATCGCTGTTTCCTTTTATTCTTACCTGCAGTAAAAATGGCTGCAAATTCATCTGAATCCTCATCCAAATCTGTTGAGTCACAGGTATCATGGTCTGAGTCAGAATCATCCGAGCTATATGCTTCTGCTCTTTCTCCCACAGCTCCGTGTATCGTAGGCGAAAATCTTTTACGCTGTACCAAAAACTCATCATGAACACTATTATCGTAAATTACAAAAGTTATTTTCTAAAAACAAAAAATAAAGAGAGATAACTAAACTCTATGAAGCATTATTGATAATGGGAAATTGAATTAAGAATTGGCTGTATCCAACAGACACAAAAATTTCAAAGATAGCCACGCAAATCGTTGAAATACTCCCAATCAGCAGCTATGTCTTTACAACAGCCCATCCGAAAGGAGAACTTGAATGTTGACCAAATTTGGTAAAGATTCTTGATGCCTTCAAGACATCTGACCTCTATCGTGTTTGCAGGGTTTTCAGAAGGTGGGGGTTGGGGGTAATTATGGAACGGATGGTCGAAGAACAATGAATGTTTACAGGATTGGTCTTCTGATTATCCCAATGCTTCACACCTGTTTTGCAAAAATTCCATTAACGACTCTAGCTTCTATCATGTTCATATCAGGTTTTCGGAAAAGGGTTGGGATGAACCGCTGGTTGTAGAATGCTGAATATCGATATCTTTTGTCCTCCCGTGACCTGAATGCTTCACATCAATTTCCAAAAGACATCTGTTAACCAGTGGTTGTCATGCAAGATACGTCCACATTTTGCAAGAGATGGGCGGAGAACAAGCTAAAATCAGCGGTTGTCAGACAGGATACGCCCACATTTTGCAAGAGATGGATAGAGAACAAGCTCAAAAAAAGAAGTGATTTTTCGTATAATCAAGGGCCATAATTCAGGAAGTTACGATCCGATATGCATGAATATTGAAAGGAACCAAGATCTTTGGGTTATAAACATGTATTTCAAGTTTCATCGAAATCGGATTAAAATTGTGTCCTCTCTCTAGAGGGTCCAAAACCTTGATATACCATATATTGACAATATTTGCGTACGAGGGGCAGCCATTTTGTCCAGCAGGTTTGGTCCGATTTGTACGAAATTCGGACTCAGCCATCATAAGGGTGTAACAGTGATATATTCAAACGTTTTTTTTAAATCAGATAAAATTTTGACATCTAGAGGGATCACATCCTAAAAACGTGACTTTTCGTACAATCAAGGGCAGGAAGTTACTATCCAATATGCACGAATATCGAAAGGAACCAAGATCTTTGGGTTGTAAATAATAATAATAATAATAATGACTTTATTTTCTGAGGGAAAATATTTAGTACATGAGTTCTAATTTTCAACATGTCCCCCCCCCCCCCCGCCCCCCTACTCTAAAAAAACTAGCAACTACACAGTAATAATATTTACAAAGTGCATATATATATCATATTATATAAGCTTATAATAAAGAAATATCAAACAAACAAACAATAAAGAAAGAAAAAAAGGGCGAATAAACATACATTCAGAGGACAACAGTAATTAACAAGGGTTCGAAGATTTAACGTGTTTTACTAACTCCTTTCTGAAGATAAAACTTGAAGACGCGTGTTTCACAGTTTGAGGTAGTGAATTCCAGAATACAGAGGCGGTATATTGGAATGTTCTTGTCATTTCCTTTTTCTTACTCTTTGGAATTGCTAATTTAAGTTGACTTTCTGATCTCAATGTCATGGTAGTTTCGGTCAATTTAGAATTTTCACAGAATGTGTTATATAAATATGATGGTAATTTATCTCTTAGAATTTTGAAGGTGAGCATTCCTTGGTTATATCGAATGCGTTGGTAGATTGTAAGCCAATTTAGAGACTCAAACAAAGGTGCCGAATGTGAATCAGGTTTTTCATCCAAAATGCTCCTTGCCGCACGCTTTTGAAGTTTATACAGGACCTCTAGTTTACCTTTATTGGCATTACCCCAAACTGTGGAACAGTAATCTAAGTATGGTAAAATATAGCCGTTGAAAAATAAAATTCTAAGATGGTGTGGTAAATAAGGTTTTAACTTTGTCAGGAGGTAGATTTTGGAGGATATGATTTTGGAAATTTGGAGATTCCAATCTAAATTTTGGTCAACAGTAAGTCCTAATAACACTGCTTCAGATACATTTTCTAACGATTCTCCATTAACTTTTAGTGATAAGCAGTTTGTGTTTGTTTGGTGTTTTGAAGCGATTAGCATGGCTTTGGTCTTTTTGGCATTCATTACCATACCATTATCATTACACCAATTAAATACCGGGTATATTTAGTAAATCTTCTTGAAGGGCAATCTCTATATTAGCTAGATTGTTGCTAGAGAAGTCAAGGGTACTGTCATCAGCAAAAAGTTCAGTATGGCATTTACTGACATGAAGTGGGAGATCGTTTATAAAATCAAGAAAAGTAATGGACCAATATTGGATCCCTGTGGGACCCTACATTTCACATCAGTAACAGTTGAATGGCATGCCCCTAAGACTACTTGTTGCTTTCGAAATTCCAGATAGGATGAAACTAGTTCATGCGATTTCAAGTCAAATTTGTATAATTTTAATTTTTAGAGGATTAATCTATGGTCTATAAGATCGAGATAAACAACTCCGGTCATATTACTTGAGTCTATTTCTTTCAGCCAGCCAGATATCTGTAATTCTCAATACGGCTGTTGAACACGAATGATTTTTCCTAAAACCGGATAGAAGTTCATAAAATAGTTTGTATTTTTCAAAATATTCTGTAATTTGAAAACTAATGTGTTTTTCAAATATTTTTGATATTGTGGGTAAGACAGAAATTGGCCTATAATTATTTGGTAGATCATTGTCTTCCTTCTTGTGGATTGGGATAAGTTTAGCAAATTTTAATTGTTCAGGGAAAATATTTTTTGAGATGCATAAATTTATTATAGAAGTTAATGATTTAAAAATATAGTCTGTCGACATCCTTAGAATTTCTCCGTCCTATAGAATCAATACCGGTTGCCTTACTTGGATCGAGCATATTTAGATATTTGTGTACATCTGCACATGAGATATAATTTATGATAAATTCTTTGTCGGGAGGAATCGTTTTTTGAACAAATTTATCAATCTTTTCACAATATTTATTGGAAAGGGGGTTATATACAGGCTTAATATCATCGGTAACATTGGTAAAATAATTATTGATAATATTAGCAATATCAGATAAATCATCATATTCTTTATTATCTGATTTTTAGACATCGGATAGGTACAATTCGTTTTATTTCCCGTAGCATTGTTAAAATATTTCCAAATATATTTTGAGTCTTTGTTCTCTTGAATGGCAGTTTTGATATATTTAGACTTAGAACTTGTTATTAAATTTTTGGTTTTGTTTCGCCAAAGTCAGTAGTTGATATGATCTCTTGTTTTTCGAGCTTTATTAATTTCTGAATTAAACCATTCTGGTTGTTTTGATTTTTTATTCGTTTTCGTTTTTGTTTTTTTTTTGGTGCATGCAGATTAAGAATACCATTAAATAATTTATACCATACTTCCAATGCCATATTTGGATCATCTATAGTTTCAATATCTGAAAAGCTTTGAAGAGAAAGGTCATTTAAAAAAGCATATTCATTGAAATGTTTGAAATTTCTATATTCGATTTCAAGATGACAATGCCGCCTGATGTTTTCATTATTTCCTATGATAAATATAATTGGATAACGGTCACTAAGACCATAAACTGGAATATTTAATTCTATAACCGTATCGGGAGAGTTTGTATATAGATGATCTATTATTGTTTGACTATTCTGAGTACACCTTGTTGGAGAATCAACAAGTTGATGTAAATTGTTTATAGTTAAAATTTCAGACCATTGTTTAGTCATGTTCAGTTTAAAATGCATATTAATATCACCCATAATATATAATGGTATGTTTGAAATATTAACAATATTTAACTGGCTTTCAAAAATGTTATAACACTTTAGATTGGAGGTAGGAGGTCGGTAAACCAAGCACAATAAAAATGATTTTCTATATTTGGGTGTAATTTCGATCCATATTGTTTCAATATCCCCAATCTCTAGATCTAACCGTCTCTTAAATATGATGCTAGACTTTACATACATAATTAATCCTCCACCAATTTTATTGCATCTATCTTTTCGAATTATTTCAAAATTAGAAATATTTATATATGCGTCATTAATCTTTGCGTGTAAAAATGTTTCAGTTAGACCTAAAATATCTATCTTATTAGATTCACCAAGAATAAAATCATTAACTTCATCGAATTTACTGTAAAATCTGTTAATATTTAGATGACAGAGTTTGAATCCATGACGTTTAGTAATAAATGGATTGGAAAAGGAATCTCTCATGTTATAAGTATCAACACCTGTTTTATTACCCTCATAACTAATTGCCGATGACAGTGTAGTAGACAATGAATCAATTATATCATCACTAACGCTAGACTGTGAATGATCAACATTGTTTGTTGGATTTTGACAAATATGAATATCTATTTTAGACGATTTAGCAATATTAATATGATTGTTATTAAATGAATGATTTGAACAAGTATAGGTTACGTTAATTTTTTCCTCGACTTCTACACTGCTTTTGGGAGTGATTAATGTATCATGAGGAGGGACATTAAAGTTATCAAATAAATGTAAAAGAAAAGTTTCATATTGAATGTTATCATACAGATAAAGCTCTTGTGCTGGAAGATGTTTCAGTACTACTTGTTCGGCATTAACAACATTGCCTATGTTCTATTGATCATACATATACCTGTAACTAGAATTGTTATAACAGTTCTTCGCTTTGTGGGCCCTTACTCCACACGAATAGCAATGCACATCTGGTGGAAGCTTACAGGATTTTGAAACATGTCCAGTTTCCCCACAGTTGAAGCAAATGGGAGTTATATGCATTTCAAGTCTCTACAGGGTCCACAACATTGATCTACCATATTTTTACGCTATTTGACTACCAGGCGTGGCCATTTTGTCTGTCAGTTTTGGTTCGATGTTTACGAAATTCGAACTCAACCACCCTTAGGGTAGGGTATAACGGTGATATATTCAAACGTTTTTTTTAAATCGGATAAGAGGTATGACCGCTATACGGTCCACAAGCTAAAAACGCGATTTTTCGTACAATCAGGGGTCATAATTCAGGAAGTTACGATTCGATATGCACGAATATCGAAAGGGGCCGAGATCTTTGGGTTATAAACTTACATTTCAAGTTCCATCAAAATCAGAAGAAAATTGTGACCTCTAGAGGGTCCACTGCAGCCTTGATATACCATATTTTTATGCTATTTGAGAAAGCGGGGCGGCCATTTTGTCTGTCAGTTTTGGGCCGATTTAAATCGGAAAAAAATTATGACCTCTATAGGGTCCACAAGCTAAAAACGTGATTTTTCGTGCAATCAGGGGCCATAATTCAGAAAGTTACGGTCCGATATGCGCAAATATCAAAAGGAACTGAGATCTTGGGGTTATGAACATATATGTCAAGTTTAAACCAAATCAGATAAACATTGTTACCTCTACAGTGTTCACAAGCTAAAAACGTGATTTTTCGTACAATCAAGGGCCATAATCCATGAAGTTACAGTCCAATACATGCCAATATCGAAAGGAACCGAGATCTTAGGGGGATAAACCTATATTTCAAGTTTCGTTGACATCAGATAAAAATTGTGACCTCTAGACGGACGGACAGACAGGGGCGTTGACAATATACGTCCAAATGAAAATGTGGGCGTATAAAAAGTGTTAAAATTCGGCAAAATGGCATAATTATAACCCAATATTTATCCGATTTTGCCCAAAAAGAAATATACAGTGGACTCTGTCACATCCGATCTCTGATCACTCCGGATTGCTGTGACATCCGGTATGATTTTCATGTCCCGATTTATTTCCTTATTACTTCAGCCAAAAAATCGCTGGTAAATCCGAATTCTGTATGTTCCGGATTCCGAAATCAACCAGCCGTCCCGTCACATAATTTCCATTGAATCGACACCGTATAATCCGTACTTCAAACGGCGGGTGTGAAGCATCCAATTATCGGTGAGATTAAACCTCAATGGGTGTGAAGCCAGAAAAGATTAACAAGTAATCACCAATCAATTATCGGTGAGATTATCGGTGTGTTGATTACTTTGATCGGTAAAGCAGTTAACCCGAGATGTTTTAAGGGAGTGGACAAGATCAACCTGCCAGTCAATTGGTCGGCCAATCGCAAAGCTTGGATGACAAGTTCCGTTTACTTTGATTGGCTTGAAAAACTGGACATAGAACGACAGATTATAAATGAACACGTAACAGAGTGGACAATTGGCTGAAGACGGGGACGATGAAGAATATACATTAACGACAGTCTTGACCTATTCAAAATTCCTACGCATGCTCAACGACATTAAACACTTCGCACAGATTAAGGACGAAAAGATGATCGCAACAATTCATTTGTTAGAAGATGTTGCCCAGGACTCCGCCTTACGATATGCTTCCGGTAATCTTAAGCAAACTACTTTAAACGATTACATGCATTGATATTTATAAATATATTGTGCGCATGCATTGATATTACATGTAAACGATTTTATGAATATATTGTACGCATGCATTGTTATTGTTAATTATTTAATATAATAAAATTTTGAAAGTACAGAAAAGTTTATCATTTATAAAGGGAATATCATTCTGGTGATTCGAAGCTACAATATAAAAATACTTTCGGTTTTCGAAGTTACAGTATTTCCGGTTTTGGAGAAAGCTCGGTATTCCGAAACACTGTGTGATCCGAATTATTGTAACGATCCCGTACGATGTCGGATGTGACAGAGTCCACTGTAGATCCGAAGAACAGACTGACATTGCAGCATGTGTAGCAAATGTCGAGTTACTGGCATGACAACTTCTGCAGCTTATGAAGCAACTGGTCAGGTACGGGCATGACAGTTTTTGTAGCAACTAGCAACTGTCTAGGTACTGGCGTGACATCTTATGTAGCAACTGTCCATGTACTGACATGGCAACCTATGCACCAACTGGTTTGTTATGGAGACATGGTAGCATGAGACACAATTGTCTAGGTACTGGCATGGCAGTTTACGCTACATCTGTCCTTGGACTGACATGGTAGCATGTGAAGCTACTGTCCTGATATCCACATGGCAGCTTATGTAGTAATTGTCTAGGTACTGATATGGCAGCTTATGCCCCAACTACACTGGTATCGACATGGTCGCATGTGTACCATCGGGAGACTGTTAAAATTAGATATTGATCCAAAAGACTTTTGAAGCAAAAGCCACAACACAATTGCGATAGAGGCCTATCCAAAGGTCATACTAGATTTCAGAATAACACACTTTGGGAATGAATATTTTCTAATTGTGTACCTTTATTGTTGGGTGTTTCGCTACCTCTTGTTGTAAGATAGTCAGAGCTGTCAACGCCATTTGATCTGCAGGAAAATTAAATAATCTACCACAGCCAAGAGCGGGGAATGCAATTGATGTCAGTTTGTCTCGATCCATGAAGTCTAAAACGTGCTTTATCCCAGTTTCTAAAACCTAAAATATAACAATGATAAAGGGCTTCAATATTGGGACTAACATAATATTTTTTCAGTATATTTCATCCACACGAGGAGCGTTAGCAGTGAGAGGATACCGGAGAACAGGGATAAAACCCACGAGGTTAGGCAGACACTTATCACAGACAAGGCTACTCTTTGTCACGTACAATTCAGTGACAAATCACGCTTTACACAGATCTACAGAAAGCATAGCTCGCTGCCGCGATGGTTTCACAGCACATTACAGGTATTTTGGTCTATAAGGAGATTTTAAACTATATTTACGTTTTTGGTATCTGGTGCCCTCCATTTGTCTAAAATCATGTGATAAATATGTTGACAACCAAGAGGTTTACAGGCTTTTGTTTTTATAACTGAACCAGCGGGTAATCTACCACCATCATCTAATTTTAGTTTAGCTTTCTCTGTGTCTAAAATCTAAAACCATAAACAATTCATTAATCAATTGAAAGGAGTTAATTCCAGGTCGAAATAAGTTTTAATTCCTCCTGGATTTATCTAGGGATGTGAAACATTAAAAAGGAGACCGATTGTCTAACCACAAGATAATTCAACATAATTTAAATCCCCCAAATCGATATTTATTACATAGATCAATGAGCGACTGCTATTTTATGATAGAGAGAGAGGGAGGGAGAGAGAGAGAGAGAGAGAGAGAGAGATGTTAAGTTTATTTGTAATACTCGTCGTAAATAACAAAATGTTATTACCTTTACAAACTCCGCTCCACAAGCACAAGCATTATAAAATGACTGACCAAGTTTTGTGTGTTTTGAGTTCAGAGATGAAGTTAAAACGTTCACCAGGACATCAGCCTACGGTAAAAAAAACCAGGTGAAAGTTGATATTGTAAATAAATTGTAATTAATCATGGCTAATTCGTTTTAATTTTCCGGTAGCCCCGATGTATCAAGTTGGCACCCTGGAGAGTAAGCTAATATTTTATCCTTTAATAAAACCATAAACAGACAAATTTAGAGCAATTGTACAATCTTTAAAATTTTCTAATTAACAAAGTATAAGCTATGAGTGTATCGATTCCATAAAATAAGAGACAATCTGATTAAAATAGACATCCCAATTCGTTTCGTTTTCGTTTTTCAAAATGCTCAATTTTACTTATCTTCCCCATGTAGTAGAGGTCGTCGAATGTACGAAATACCGAAACGAAATATAGATGTGTATTTTAATCAGATTGAATAACAGATTACCTTTTCCTTAGTGATGTCCCCTTTTTTTAAATTAATGGTGGTCTGATGAAAGGTCACACTCTTTAATTCTTTTACCTCGTCAGCATGAGACTTCGATCTCGTACTACGACCATCACTTCTAGTCGTGGGTGTTAAAAGGGGTCTAAGAAAACAAACAAAACATTGGTCTTTCTCCGACTGATATAAGAACGGGACCCATCCTCTCATGTTCTGTAGCCTCTATGGTGTGCTCACGTGAAAATGGGGGAAATGAGGTTTAACGTCCTACTGTTATGCTCCAATTGGGCTAATGATGACAGGCATACGCCATACAGTGTGCTATGAAAGTCATTTTTACTTCAGCCTACTCTTATATCAAATTCCAACGGCCAAGGGATTTTTTACGTGCACGCCAATCTCCACTGACAAGGAGAAACCATGCCGGAAAATCCCGATGAACTTTCTTGGCCAACACCGGGAGCGTACCCGCGACACCCAGGCTAGTTTCCTACCACTGCTAAAGACCACTACTCGTAAGCAAATTAGTGAAATAAAACTTAACCATATGTTAGTCTCTCTCTCTCTCTCTCTCCCTCTACATATTAATTATAACAGCCCTACCTAAATAAAGTATTTCTTTGTTCCGGTTTTAAATTCAGAAATTCTAAACAGCATTTATTTTTTTCTTCAAATGTTAACTTTATTTGCACCTGGTCCGCATTCTTTAGACCATTTACCAATGTTTTCAATTCTGAAAAATAGAAATTGTTGAGACGAATAAGTAAGTCGGAAAGGTAAATCCTTTCGGCGGACAAGCGCATGGGAAATCAAATGAAAAGAAATGAGATTGAAGGTTTTACTTTCCTGCACCAACCTTGCTAATGGAGACCGAGGCTCACAAATCCCCCCCCCCACCACCCGTCCGTATGTGACGATTTACTTTGTACACTTAGTGCATTGTTCCAGAAAATTGTTTTCAATCACCTATACAATTACTTTCATGATACCAACCTTCTTTGTGGTATGCTTATTTTGACATCTCAAAGGCATTTGACCGGGTGAATTATCAAGGATTGATCACCAAATTAACTAGTTATAGCATAATATGTGGTGATTATATAACATGGATAAATGACTACTTGACAGACCGTGAGCAATGCGTTCAACATAGTTATTGGTTGTACGTCGTCTAATATTTTCTTAGAGTCAGGTGTACCTAAAGGTTCGGTCCTAGGTTCATTCTCATTCATTGTTTACACAAATGACGTTCAGGATAATTTAGACTAGTTGCTATAGATACTGCGATTTCATAAAATGTCGATTTGTCTCGATTATATTCGTTGTCTTCTGATTGGTTAATTGCCTTTAATCTATCTAAAACCAACGGTGTCTCGTTTCTGCCATAAACCGGTGCCGAGGAACTTGGACTATTGCGTGGAAGCGACAAATTAGAATTCGGTCATTCACATTAACAATCGGCTGTAACCTTCGCAAGCATCTGTAAATGGTTAAATTATATTAAAATGATTTGTCAAGAAGCATCAAAACGTCATAATATTTTACGAAAATTCAACACTGGAGAATACTCATCATTACCGATTAATAACTTTCTTTATTCTATAACTACATGCAAATACAAGCAAATATCATTGTAACAGCACACCTCGTTACGCAGGCAGCCAAACACAAATGAACAGAGGTGTGATGCTCTGCGCAATCTTCTGGGATTAAGTCGCAAGCTTTTTACTAAATGTGTACCGGAATAATCAACAAATTCAACATACAAGTTTTAGAGTTCAATGAATTCTCTTTATATCATCATTTAGTTGACAGACAATTCTAAGTTGATTATATGATGAATATCAAGTTGAACATACACACAATACACATATGTGAAAACTGAAATAACAAAAGTTAACAGAATTACTAAACGGTACTAATTGATATACGATAATAACTATAGCACAACGTACAAACTACGTAATATTGTTAGCTAGGAAACGGCGTTTGACAGTGCCTGCATGACAGCTAATACAATACACAAGATTTCAAACCCAAAACGCAATTATACATATCAAATAAGAATACTGACATATACTTAGTTATGTGATGGACATATTAACTGATAATTACAAACAAAAATATATGTTTATAACACAATACCTTTTTGACTTCACCCCTTTCCGCAACGCACAAATTTGGCTGCCATGCTTGATCCCAGACGAAAGACCACGATTTATAGGAGTAACTAATAAATTACATATACAAATTCGAACCAAATATTTATAATCATAATTTGATTAACTGAATAATAATGTACGTATTTAATATTTACTCTAATATATAGAATCTACTAATAAACATATCTATACTTCGGATATAAAATATAATTAGGAAACCATAGAATGTAAACAATTGATGCTCCCAATAGCTACCCCTCTAGTAAGTCATACGGTCTATACTTGACTATGCATTCATTCAATCGCAACACTACGGCAAGACGACAATTGTTACATGGCTCCTCAAAATTAGTATGCTGATTTTCAACAAAAAACATAACAACCTAACTATTACATATTCAATATTTCAACGAACTTAATAAAGAGAGTTCTAATTTTAAAAAGACAGTTCAGTTGGCTCCTTGGCGGGGATTTCCCTGGTCTTCAAGTCCAAGAAGTAAAACTAATTTCTGTACTGGACGTTCTAAATATACAGGGGGAATTACACATTTTCCATCAGAATTTAAATATTTATTACCAATGTAAAGCTTTACTTTACGCACATGATTGTCCGCATCGGGATATGTTTCAACAACACGACACACTGACCATTGGTTTCGCGGAAGACTATCATCTATCAGAAGAACAATATCACCGTTACAAATTTCACGTTTAGAATCATTCCATTTAGAGCGCACTTGTTGATTTTGTAGAAATTCGCGTTTCCACCGTGTCCAAAACTCATTGGCCATATACTGCACACGACGCCATCGCTTTTTAGAATAAACGTCTTCCTTTTGAAATTCTCCAGGAGGTGGTAATATAATCTTAGTCTTCATAGTCAACAAATGATTAGGTGTCAAAGGTGCTAAAGATGTGACATCATTAAGAGTATCTACAGTCAAGGGACGACTGTTCACAATTGCTGCAGCTTCATACATAAAAGTACGAAGAGATTCATCATCTAACTGTGTTCCAGACTGCATCATAAGCGTAGAGAGAACAGCTCGCACTGACCTTATTTGGCGTTCCCAAACTCCGCCCATATGACTCGCAGCAGGGATGTTCATTTTGAAAACAAAGTCGCAACCATTTTCTAACAAATATTGTCTAACATGATCATGATTGATCTTATGAATAAGCTCAGATAATTCTCTTTTTGCTCCAACAAAATTGGTGCCGTTATCCGAACGTAACTGGCGTACAGGACCGCGAATAGCAATAAATCGACGCAAACTGTTAATAAATGAGTCTGTTGACAAACTATTCGCAATTTCTATGTGAACAGCTCGACTAGTCATACATGTATATAATACACCATAACGCTTTCGTTCGCATCTTCCTTCCTTAATAGTCCATGGTCCAAAACAATCAACAGCGCAATATGTGAAGGGAGGCGCAGGCTCTAATCGATCTTCAGGAAGTTCTGACATTTTCTGTTCTTGTACTCTTCCTCGCAATTTACGACAGATGACGCAATGATAGATGTAACTTGAAACTACATCCTAATATCCAAAATCCACTGGAGCGTATCTCATTAGTTGTGAGACCTTTACCTTGATGCTTTACAGTTTCATGGAAATGACGAACGATCAACGTAGTCAAATGATGTTTCTTAGGCAGTATTATTGGATTCTTTTCTGCAGGGTCCAACTCGAATTATACCATTATGATCAAGATATGGATCTAACTTATATAACGATGATGATTTCTTTAGTTTTCTCTTCGCAGCATTATCATCAGTCGCTTTCTGTAATTTCTTCAAAATTTGTATTTCTTCGCTGAAAACTTGTGATTGAAGAAGTTTAATGATTATTGTTTCAGCATGTTGTAATTCATCCACGGTTAAAGGTGTGTAAACAGATTTCAGACTCGCCTGATTAACTTGTATCTTCTTTCTTAATCGCAGACACAGGGCAACAGCTCTTTTAACTCGAAACCATGTTGAAATATGCTTAAAACGTGATAAGTCGAATTTTACAGTGGGTTTTGTTAACTGTGTTGCAAATACTTGAACTTTTCTTACTTCTGGGTCATCCTTGGAAATTAGGGATTCTTCTTTGAAATCGCAATTTACGGGAAGTTCAAGATTCCACAAAAAATCAGGTCCGGTAAACCATTTCGACTGATTAACCAGTTCGTCAACTTCTAATCCACGAGAAGCTGCATCCGCAGGATTATCAGAACTACATACAAAATTCCACTGAGCAGGTGACGACGCTTCTCGAATTTGTTGGACTCGATTCGCAACAAAAGTTTGAAAACGTCTGGCATCATTACTTATGTATCCTAACACAACCTTACTATCGGTCCAATAAATTTCACTAATGTCATCATAGTCGAGTTCACTCTTCAAATGCACACCGACTCTAACCGAAACAAGGGCAGCAGCAAGTTCTAAACGAGGTATAGTTATAGGCTTAAGTGGTGTTACTCGTGATTTCCCAGCAACAAGTGAGCAATATACGTTTTGTTGATCATCAACTAATCGCAAGTATGTACACTGACCATATCCGTAGGTACTTGCATCAGAAAAGTAATGTAACTCTCGAGTTGTTACTTGACCAAAGGTTTGTGGTTTAAAACATCTCTGAATTTTCACTGACGAAAGATGCACAAGATTATCTCGCCAACGTTCCCAGCGTGACCGCATATCTTCAGGAATACTAGTGTCCCAATCAATACGACTTCTACAAAGTTCTTGGAGTATCTGTTTTCCTAATAGTAAAAACGGCGCTATAAAACCTAATGGATCATATATAGAACATACTGTGGAAAGTATTCCACGTCTAGTCAATGGCTTGTCATTCAAAGTTATATGAAATTGAAAACAGTCCGACTCAATACATCATTGTATACCTAATACACGTTCCATCGGAAGTTCATCATTGAATAAATCGAGATCTCGTATCTCCTTAGCTCGGTCTTCTGGATCTATTGAATTAACAACTGTTTTAGAATTTGATACAAACTTATGTAATCGGAGTCCGCACTTAGCTAACAAGTTTCTACTTCCATCTATTAGATTCATCGCTTCTCTTTCAGTAGGAAGAGACTTTAAACCATCATCTACGTAGAAATCTCGTTTCAAAAAATCTGTTACTTCAGAACCGAATTCCTCTTCGTTATCGATAGCAGCCTGTTTCAAACCAAAGTTTGCGCAACCAGGTGATGACCCAGCACCAAATAAGTGTACTGTCATCCTAAAATCCGTAGGCTCTTCCTCATCATTGATCCACCAAAGAAATCTTAAATAATTGCGATGTTCTGTATTTACACGAAACTGATAGAACATCTGTTCTATGTCGCAAATCACAGCTATGGATTCTTTTCTAAATCTACAGAGTACACCAGTTAGCGTGTTAGTAAGATCTGGGCCTTTAAGAAGATGGTCGTTTATTGACTGTTCTTTAAATCTGGCATTGCAATCAAATACTACGCGTATTTTGTTAGGCTTCTTCGGGTGGTAAACCGCGTGGTGAGGGATATACCATATTCTACCGATATCTTGATGAAGTTCATCCGCAGGAACTTTTTCTGCATATCCTTTACTTATAATGTCTGACATAAACTGACGATAATCATGCCGATAATTTTCATCCTTCTTAAATTTATTACGCAATGGTAAAAGTCTTTGTAACGCATGAGCTCGGTTGTTAGGAAGTGTAGGTTCCCTATCTCTAAATGGCAAGGGCATCTCATAGTGATTATCAGATGTTAAATGTATACTTTCTGACATTTTATTCAAAAACTGTTTATCTTCACGTGAATATGTTTGATTACTGCAAGAGTGGAGATCACTAAAGTCAGTTTCTAAAATCTTGAGAATATTAAAAGGGCTTACGATTTCTTTCACTTGAGTTTTAAATGAAATAAACGCATGTCGTGTTCGAATGTTTAGATCGAAGACTTCTCTAATCGAATGAAGTGGTTGAACATTACTCTCAGTTTTATGACTACAAAACATAAACTCATCGCATTTAAGTTCATTATTTATGTCTGGATCAACATTACCAATAATTCCCCATCCAAGATCTGTCTTCTGACCAAAGGGTTCATTCAATACAGGGGGGATAACTTCACGAGGTAATAACGCACGGGAACAATTATAACCAATAAGCAAACCAATCTCACAAGAGTTCAGTGACATTAATTCATTCGCAATTGTTTCAAGGTGAGGCCACCTACGTGCTATTTCAGGTGTAGGGATATGAGAACGATTAGCAGGTATTTCGTTTCTTGTATACGCAGTTGACAAAGGAATTCTAATGTCACAGTTATGTCCTCTGATAATTAAGCCAGTCATTTTACGACTATCTACTCGCATATCTTTCGCAAACATTGTTGATAATGATAACTGTATGTGGGGTCCATCGATACCTAACCGATCGCAAGTAGTATCTGAAATGAAACTAGAGTCTGACTGAGTATCTAAAAGGGCATATACAAGACATTCTAATTCTGGATTTGACATATGGGAAATCCACACAGGAAGAATCATCGAACAATGACTTGATTTATCGCTAATGTCCAATTTACAATTATGACTTGTAGTTGCAGGCCTTTCTGATGTATCAGTTCCTTCATGCACATCACCATGTAAAGCTGTTGGATGATACATGTTACATATATCGCATGTTTTTCTTCTACGACAAAACTTGTAATAATGTCCAGGATTTAAGCAACTAAAACATAATTTGTTGTTTCTTAGAAAGTCTTTTCTATCATCAATTCTTTTCTTCAGAAAAACAGAACATCTATCCAAAATGTGTGGATCTTTACAGAAGAAACAAACAGGTTGCCTTGGCGCATTTTCATAAACTTTCGACCTTGAGGGTATATAGTTTTCTGACGAGTTCGTTGCAAATGAACCAACATTTCCAGGAGGTCTCCTAAAATGTGACTTATCTGATGACCAGCTTGATTTATTATTGTACCTTAACGAATCTGGTTGATTTAACTCCTTTCCAGGTTGTTGTAAAGATGTTACAGGATCGCAAGCAATGTTTGATTCTTTATCAATAAATTTCGCAAATTCAACAAAGGGAGGGAATGTCATTCTCTCAATTCTCCAGTCATGGACAATACGTGCCCATCGTGATACTAAATAATCAGGAAGTTTCTTAAGTAATTTCTTATTTTCCCTATCATCGTTCAAAACACATAAACTTCTAGTAGTCCGCATCGCCACTTCACACTGACGCAAAAAATCAGAAAATTTCCGCAAACTTATTCCATCTCTGTAATGAATTTTAGGCCAAGCATCAAGTTTATCGCGAAACGCATTGGCAATGACAAATGAATTACCAAATCTATCATCAAGAAGTTTCTTGGCTTCATCGTACGCATCTTCTGTCGACAACAGGAAATAATTCTCAACGCACTCTCTCGCAGATCCACTTAAATAACGCTTAAGATAATACATTCGTTCTGAAACAGGAATGTCCTTTTGGTCTATCAAAGTTTGAAACGCGCTTTTCCAACTTGGGTATTTTAACGGGTCTCCAGAGAATGTACCAGGCTCAGGAGGGGGTAAACGACTGAAACTCGCATGTTCCGCAAAAACTTGTGCTACTCTGACTAACGGATCATCTTCATTAGTTGACCTTGTAGGAATGTAATAAGCTGGCTTTGTTGACATTACAGGATTCGGTTGTTGACTTGAATAAACTGTTGAACAGGTTTCTTGAGAACGCAACGCATAAGGGTTAATTTGAGATGTTGAAGGGGTATAAAGAGGATGAGACACAGAATGACTAAGTTCAACGCTACAGGATGACGCAAACGCAGAATTATTAACTCCTGTATCATAAACTCTCGCAAACGCAAAGTTATTATCTTCAACACAAGTTACAGGTGAACAATTATTCTTGTCAGTATCTCTATCTAACGCAGACGCACGGTTTGTAAGTTCAATATCGCTGGAGGTCGCACGCACAAAGTCACGTTGAGCTTCGCAGACAGGTGTTGACGCAAAATTAGTAGGTCTGTTATCGCAATTTGTCGCAGTAGTAGCATTTGGAGTTACAGGTAGATTTGATGAGTTATTCAATTTGACCGGTTCAGACTCAGAATTGTGCAAAGTGTTCACATAATCTTGAACGTATTCAGTTTTATCTGCAGACAATGCAGAATCAATGGCACGGCTTGTTCTATCATCCTCTTGTTCTATTTTCGCAATAGCATCTAACTTGGCTTCCGCAATTTCAATATCTCTAATTGTTTCTAAACGATTTAATTCTAATTGTTTCTGTGAAAGGACATCAATAAATTTCAACTTCGACTTTAATGCAGCAGCCTCTGCAGCAAGATCAATCTTCTTTGAATAACGTGATGAACTTGACGCACAACTTCTTGTCCTATACGAAGATTGGCTGTGTGATCTTCTAGTTGAATGACTTGACTCCATCGCAAAAATCTTTTCTGTACCGCAATATACGCAAATTAGGAGAAACAGCTACTAGTTTACACACAGGGCTAGATTCAAAGAGTTCGCAAAATAAATAGGCTTATACATTGGCCTACGCACGCAAATGTTTTACAATAAAATGTTCGCACAAAAAATACCATCACTCGCAAAGATGTGAATAAAGTTTTCACTGTAACAGCACACCTCGTTACGCAGGCAGCCAAACACAAATGAACAGAGGTGTGATGCTCTGCGCAATCTTCTGGGATTAAGTCGCAAGCTTTTTACTAAATGTGTACCGGAATAATCAACAAATTCAACATACAAGTTTTAGAGTTCAATGAATTCTCTTTATATCATCATTTAGTTGACAGACAATTCTAAGTTGATTATATGATGAATATCAAGTTGAACATACACACAATACACATATGTGAAAACTGAAATAACAAAAGTTAACAGAATTACTAAACGGTACTAATTGATATACGATAATAACTATAGCACAACGTACAAACTACGTAATATTGTTAGCTAGGAAACGGCGTTTGACAGTGCCTGCATGACAGCTAATACAATACACAAGATTTCAAACCCAAAACGCAATTATACATATCAAATAAGAATACTGACATATACTTAGTTATGTGATGGACATATTAACTGATAATTACAAACAAAAATATATGTTTATAACACAATACCTTTTTGACTTCACCCCTTTCCGCAACGCACAAATTTGGCTGCCATGCTTGATCCCAGACGAAAGACCACGATTTATAGGAGTAACTAATAAATTACATATACAAATTCGAACCAAATATTTATAATCATAATTTGATTAACTGAATAATAATGTACGTATTTAATATTTACTCTAATATATAGAATCTACTAATAAACATATCTATACTTCGGATATAAAATATAATTAGGAAACCATAGAATGTAAACAATTGATGCTCCCAATAGCTACCCCTCTAGTAAGTCATACGGTCTATACTTGACTATGCATTCATTCAATCGCAACACTACGGCAAGACGACAATTGTTACAATCATTGAATAACCTATTTGTAGTTGTATTCAATGGCCATTGAATAACCTATAGTTGTATTCAATGACTTGAAAACGTACTACTTTTGTCCAGAATGACGTCACTTACAGAACGACGTCAAACTGTAATGACGTTACAACTAGGCAACCAAAATTTTTGTAAAAAAGAAAAATAAAAGGGCGGAACCTATGATGAATTTTAACGTTAGTGGTCATGATTTTTATGATAATCTAGATAGTACAGTGTATTTTAAGATTTGCATGTAGTTATAGAATAAAAACAGAACTCAATGACCATTGAATACCCTCGGGTTATTCAATGGTTCACTCGAGTGTATCCCTGCCGCAGGGATACACTCTCTTGAACCATTGAATAACCCGAGCGGTATTCAATGGTCATTGAGTTCTATCTATATACACTACTAAGATTTTAATTAAATTATCCAGTATTTGAATTTACCTCTGGGTGATATGCTCATGTCTCTTTCAAATGTCAGTTTTTTATGCCATATATTTTTCTCTAATTGTCTAAGTTCCTTCTCTAGTTGTTCAACTATACTTGGTGGTCCCGATAATACAATCTTATAATTAACATCACTGAGTTCATCTTGCAAGCAACCATTACTTTCTCTATAGTACCAATAATATACATAAATAAATATCAAACATAAATTCCACGCGGAAATTCGCTGATGAAACTTGATGATTTGATTATGTATGTCTTTTGACCTCGCACTCTGATTGCATTTGGCCAATAAACTATTATAGCAAGAACGACCAGGACTAATCTAAATCTTACATAATGCATCTTTAATATGTTATATAGAATATAGCTTGATAACAGTTATGGAATTACGGAACACTTTGTCACAAAGTCGCGATCGCGTTCAGTATAAACGGCCCTTTAGAGGACGAAGTTATCTGTCGTCACTGAAATTTTTTTTTATTCGACAAACAACATATAATTGACCTATTTGTGGTGAAATTGAAATAGGCTAACTTCACTAATCTATAAATACATTACCCCATTCTGACTTTCATATCAGTTATCTTGTTTTGAAAAAAACGGCACAAGCATTTGGACTTGGCAGCACCATCAACTACTACTGTCTTCACGTGATATTCATTTTTTTCTAAAGTTTTTTTTAATTCCTGAGTTACCATGGAGACGTCTTCGTTTAATCCTTGAATAATGATTAACATCTTCTTCTCAATGTGTAGGGAAACTGCATAATCCGACTGCATGGATGTTTTAAAGGTTTTCCATTTATCACCCTCAATAAACTTTGTGTGAGTATGTTTATATTCAATTCTATTTGTTATTAGCATGCCCATGCAAGTTTCGAGAAATTGTTTAGTTAATAATTCTCCGAATCCAGCACAAACCAGCATCCGGTCATCGCTAACGTATCCCATCGCGGAATCGGACTTTTTAAAGATCGATTCAAGATGGACAGCTCCTTTCACAGATCTCAATAAGTTATAAAATGGTTCTGTTATGCATTTAGACACCTTATGAATTTTTTCCATTTTTTCAAACATGGTTTCTTTCATAGCATCAATAGCTGGTTGAGTACCCTCAAAAACAATTGTTCGTTTGTTTTCGTCGATGGTTATTTTACAAGGACAATCCGCACCAAAGCTACATTTCTTCATTAAAATAATTTGATGGCTGACCAATTCTACTTCATCCTTCTTAACCACGTCTTGTGCTTTTCTATAATTAAACAACAATCATTACGCAAAAAATACATGTCCAATGTCGGCCATAACAAATTATACATTGCATGAAATTATGAGAGAGAGAGAGAGAGAGAGAGAGAGAGGGGGGGGGGGTCGCAACACTACTTCTTGTCACGTTTTATTGGATCAATAAGGGACTGCGAATACATTTCTGTGAATATATAATCCAAATGCGTCTAGATGGAATAAATTCTGTAAAACTGAATTTTAACTGAACTAGTCTGTAGACGCCACTATATAAAACAGTGTACTAAATTTTAATCAAATACACGAAAAAAAAAAAAATCCGAGATACAGAATGTTAATTCATTTTAAGACAACAAAGGGACCCGCAAACTTGATCTGTAACTCGGCTATATATATATACAGCAATGTATTAAATTCCAATCAAATATCCATGTCGCAAAATTTACATCGAAGATCCGGGCATTTAGATACATAAAAGCCGGTCCTTGTGATAGATGAATTGAATTTTGCTTTGGTTAGGAGACGTTTCAGATTAGGTGGCTGTCTTTGTGATTTAATGAATTGAACCTTATCAAATTTCATTCTGAGGTTGTCGTTTGATGCCAGGATTGCCCTACTCTCGTACATTGTTTTAAAGAAGTTGGGATGTTGGGGATTATGAGTAGCGACAAAGGTAATAATATTATCCGAACTGTCTTTTGCTTTAGTAGCCCTCAGTGTTTGAATATCAATTGCCAAAGCCTTATTTATCCCAACTTCTAATACCTCGAGAGGGTAATACTGTTTCAATAAATTTCTCTTTAGCTCACCTAATCTGACAACCCGGAGGTCTTCATCTATCACAATGGTGCATATTTTTCTAGCTAAAGAAAAGGGTATATTATTTTTGGTATGGCGTGGGTGACATGATTTATATGAAAGATAGTTTTTCGTATCTGTTTCTTTAGAATACATATCCGTTATAAGGAGTTCTCCCCTTCGTTTCACTAGAACGTCCAAGAATGCGATTTGCAGATCGTTCGTTTCAATTGTGAATTTGATATTTAGATCTAAATCATTCATTATTTTTTGAAAATCTGCAATGTTGCCAATTCGTTCATTCCAAATACAGAATGTATCGTCTAGGAATCGTTTCAACTGATTTTCTAAATATAATCTGTAATCCACCCCATGTTCAATTTCTACAATTGAGTATAGTTTTTCCTCAAGGAATCCCATTGTTAAATTACTTAATTGTGGTGCCGCCTTGGTACCCTCTCGCTATACCAAGAATCTGTTTGTAACTGGTTTCGCCAAATGTAAAAGTGTTGTTAGTCAGGATGATTCGTATAGCTTTGAGGATGAAGCTGTATATATATTTTTATATATAAATATATATATATATAATCGTTTGAATACAATGTTATTATTTCGCTAGTTTTATACAGAGCAACAGGTTTTGTATACAAATGTAGATCATGTGATATTTTCATAAATTACGAGTGTAAGCAAGCCTGCTACTATTTGTTTTGATCAACTTGGGATCTAACTCACGACTAGCATGTCGCGGGTTCGATCCCGGTGTTCATCGGGATTTTCCGGTGTGGTTTCCCCTTGTCAATGGTGCATGGGCCGGGGGGAGGCTGATAAGGACATCTGTCTAGTCGTTCGGATGGGACGAAAAACAGAGGACCCGTGTACACATTGGCGTGCACGTAAAAGATCCTTGCTTGTTGGAAAACGGTATACAAGTAGGCCTTTCCCTCACAGCTCATTGTGAGGCAAATGTCCGTCTTCATTAGCCCAGTCGGAACAGAACAGTAGGCTCTACACAATTCTATACAATTAGTGATGGAACATGATATATGCGATTAGTGATGGAACATGATATATTGAATGAGAGATGGGGAAAAGTTCTACACGATTGGTGGCTATGGGACTGGCTCTATACTACTAGTGTTGGAACAGGCTCCATACAATTAATGATGGAACAAGCTCTCTACGATTAGTGATGGGACAGGCTCTATACAGTTAATGAGGGATGATGGAGCGTGATCTATATGATAAGTGATGGAGCGTGATGGAACAGGCTCTATACGATGGGACGAACTCTATATGACTGGTGGTGGGACTGGCTCTACTATTAGTGGTGGACATGAAGTAAGCGATTAGTGATGTTACTGGCTCTATAAAATTAGTGATGAAACGGGTTCTTTACGTAAGTGATGGAACAAACTCTACGATTAGTGGTGAGACTGGCTCTATACAATTAGTGATGAAACAGACTCTATACAATTAATTATGTGACAGGCTCTATACGATTAGTGATACAATTGGTGATGGAACAGGCTCTATAAGATTTGTGATGGGACAGGCTCTATGCAATTTATGATGGAACAGACTCTACACAATTAGTGATGGAACAAGGTCTATACGATCAATTTGGCATTATTAATGTACTTACTTTGCTACTGGAAATGGTAAAACCTTTTGCACTGGGGTGGTATTGTTTCTATCACTGTCTTCTTTTACATCATCATCATCGTCGTCATCATTAGTATGACTAGGTGGCGGTAATAGCGTGTTACAGTGACTTATTATATAACCATGGAATCTTTTATAAAATAATTTTACTTTCATGCCCCTTGGAAGTTTTATCTTGATCAACTCGTCAACAACTGAAATTAAATCACATGTACATGTAATCATTGGAGTAAATCACGTGTAATCAATAGAGTAAATCACATGTTATCACAATAGCAGATTACGTTTAATCATTAAAGTAAAAACAAAGATCTGGTGGTAACTATTAAAGAAGGTGCTTCACCAGTGTTTAGCTCTTCTATTCACTCTAATCAATTTCCAAGTTATTCAAGTCGTAAGATTGTGATATTTCTGAACATAATAATCAACGACCTACTCCAGAAGTATTATAAAATTTCGGTCTTTAATTTCAGTCACGAAAGACGTAGATTAGCATTTTATAATAATCCATATGTACAAGACCGAGAAATGTTTTGACTCGCTTAGTTCGCCAAATATTTTTATACGGGATCGTAAATAATTCAGACATGGCATACAAAACTAAAACTACATAATATACCATATCTATAACAATTGGTTTTAAAAAGCATTACCCAACTCAATCCCATCTTTAACGGGACATAACCTCTAACTCAGTATTTTCCATAGTATTTGAAATTAAAAACACGAATTAGAATTCAACATGTTATTATCTTGCAGTGAAAATATTGGATCCTAACATCCAATTTTTAAGTCATAGTGAACATTTCATAATCACTAACAAGTCTTGTGTTTCATGGTTTCCGGAGCCATTTGTAATGAAGAAAGAAAAACAAAAGTAATTAGTACCGGTAATGGCTGATTCACAAACGACAAAAAATAATTTAAAAATGTAGAATGGACTAAGCAGACGCAAACGACTGCCGTTCAATTGTTTAAAAATGTGACTATAAATCACTTTATCCTATACATTGAAATTACATTAATAGCCCTATAAACAAGCACCATAAAGTTTTTAACATTTTATAACATTTATGTGACTAAGAACATCCGACGATAAAAAAAAACTCATGGGAAATGGGTTGCCTCGCATGACTTAGATAGTAGAACTATTATTACTTCATGTATATCTAAGATACATAAATATGGCGGTGTGGAGTCAACAGTTCCCAATGTAGACTTTAAAATGTCCACTCTGATTTTGCAATTCAGCCTAATATTTCAATACGATTGGGCTGAAAAAAACCCTTAATTACGGGTAATTAAAAATTCAACACATTAAATATGTTACCATTGATATTGTTGATATGAAGAATCACACATTCCAGTTTTTCATTACGTTTTTTCTCTGTGATAATATTCTTGCCATGTGACTTAGTGAAGTATGAACAGACCTTGTTCAAAGTGGTATCAGTGGGAACGCGCTGTACGATCAATCCGTCAGGTTCCATCAAGGGCGATAACTTTATTTGTTCTTTCTGACATTCCCCTCTTTCAATCAGATCATCAAATTCTGACAATATATAATAAAAGATGGAAACTCGATAATTATTTTCATCACATAACTATTCGTTTATCATTTTCAATACCCAAAATCATGCTGAACTGGATTCAAACGCAACTTTTCGTGTACGCTCACCATCATTGTATAGCGTTCTACAGACCCTGACTAGGCCCTGATTATCTGTCGGGCCCGAATACTCCGACGGCGACGAGAGCTTCAAACGAAACGAGGACGAGCCAGGGCCCCACGACGCGAAGTCCCAGGCAGGTGGCAGACAGAATCCGATTCTAATCCTACCCACGCCACAAGGTATCCACGTTCAGAAATATCTCGTGGCAATGATACTTGACTTTCGAGAATATATGAACTGTCAATCGGTGATCGTCAGGGACAATTTACGTTATTTCTGTCAAAACTTTAAACATATAAACGTGTTTCAGAATAAAGTTGTTGGGCTGAAATTTTCAATATTTTCATTTTCAATTATCAAATAGGCGTACGGACAGATTTACCTTGGGCAGCTGTATCATTTTTGCCCGAAAAATCGGCGACGGCCTCCGAAAAATGAACCTACATAATTTACCACAAAATAACCGTATAAGTAAAACCTCGAAGCGGAGAGAATTTTCTGGGACTGCAGTTTGAGTTTGAGACCTAGACACCCTGAATCAAATTCAGAATTGTGTGGTTTTCTGAAACTCCGAACTCCTAATGGGAATTGCATAACCCATACAATGGTCATTTTTCTTGATGGGATAATATAAAATGTTTCCTTTTATATCCACAAAAAGCTCCCGGTTTGTACACCTATGAATTATCTAGTTTTGAACTATTATAGCAAGAACGACAAGCTCTTTATCTTATTGTTATACAGTGTATCTTTAATTTTCTATTGTGGTAAAATACTCTAGGCGAGTTTACATAAAACATTTAAATCATAAGGTCTGTCATTGATTCAAGTGGCGTGGTGTCGATTCCCCGCTGGTACGTGAAAAAGAGTATTCGTCTGTCCAACCTTGTGGGTTTTCTCTGGCTCCTACGGTTTCTTCCAACAGTTAAAGACCGCACCGCGCAAGCGAATTTTGCAATAAAATTTGACTATATGACGTGTAGTCTCGTTCTCTATTTCAATCGTTCATACCAGTTTCAGTTATTGGTTCTGTGAATTCCACTAATGCCATACTTTTCACTTCTCCAAACCATTCTACAGTTTTAACATCTTTATCATTGCTACAAACCTCCATAAAATCCACAACGATATATTCATTCCAATCTGCTGGTATATTCTATAATAAATACAATAAACATCAACACATTCCACTGCCTGCTTACCAGTTGCATCCAATAACAAAATATTGTTCTTTTAGATTCCATCCGCAATAGCTTTGAATCTTGATATAAACCTTGACAATCCCTCCCAACCACAACATCATACACCAACCTTTAGCTACACAACCTGTTTAACTAAGGAATGGTTCCATGCAGGCAAAAGAACCCTTGACAATTTAAATCCGATATAAGAGTAGGCCCCTCATAAATTTCGTATTGGCCTAGACGAAATGGTTATGTGTACACATTGGCATGTACGTAAACGATCCCTTGTTAGTTGAAATTCGATATAAGATTAGGCCGTAGAGCCGCTGTCCGGGCTAGTTTCCCCCCATAGCACACTGTATCGCTTCAGTTGTTACTTTGGGTTTTGTACAGGTTTTGGCCCGCATAATTTCTGGGGTTGGTCGATCTACATAATTTTAGGGTCTTTTCGGTGCACATAATTTAGAAGCCGATTGGTCCACTTCATTGCAGGACAGGTCGACCCGATGCACCACACCATGATCATGCTGAACTTTTTCAAACACTCTGTCAGTTCTTGATGGATCGAGTTAAATTTATCAATTTAATTATGAAAAAAGAAATTTCCTTTGAATCTACCAATCTGTTCCACGACGGTAATGCGAAAGCCTTCTAGAAGATGACTGGCCTTTAACTTCACGTACATTATACATTATACACGGGCATCAATTTACAGACAGACAATATATACAAATCATACATATACAGTATACATAATATAGAAAATAAAAACAGGACAAAAAAACAACATGCGCGCATAAAATAGATACGGGTAATATAATTAATATTATGTAGACATATAAATCACAAATTCTGCAACACTGATCGGGACAATGATGCTTGATGGATTGAAGAGATTATTAAAAAAAAGGTTTGATCAGTAATGTTTACGGTTGGATATATATATATTGTGTTCGCAAATCTTTACACTTTTCGCATTCCATAAGAAAATACTGTTCTGATTCAGTTTTATGTGTACCATTTGTACGGCCAGCTCTCGATAAACTACTAGAAGGTTTTATTACTCAACAAATACCTTCTCGAAGTATGTAATAAAATCTAATCGGGTGGAATGATAGCGATAGGCCGACAAATATTTTTATTTTGCTTTTTACTTTTACTTTTGTTTTACATTTCAAATTACTTTTAAAAATGATTTTAGTTTTCATTTGTGTTTTGATTAATTTACATTTTGGTTTTACTTTTACTTTTATTTTTATTTTTGCTTTTGGTTTATTTTTAGTTTTGATTTGAACTTTTGCTTTTAATTTACTTTTGATTTTGATTTTTCTTTTCATTTTCATTTCATTTTATTTAGGTTTTTAAAGAAATTTTGTTAAATCCTGAATGATAACGATAGGCCACCATACTAGACTGCATTTTGAACCCGATACCATAATTAAATCCTTCCTCGTTTTCAACTTTCTTAGCCCTTACGCAATTCATTGACTGAGCCAAACACAACAATTAGAAAAACTTTACCCCGCGATTTCGGAGTTCTCCGGGAATACCGAGTGTTTATTAATTAGGCCTCGAAAGATATTTGTGAGTCTTTTGTCACTCGTGAAATCCTTCCTGTTTTCAACTTTCGTTGTCCTCAAAACCACGACATTCCTCGTTTAATCATATCTGAGCCATATACATAAAACTCGGAATTCGTAAAACCCTTTAAAAAAAAATTCGGAAATTTCCTAGTTTTAAGAGAATTCTGAGTTTCAGGTATAGCTCACTTTAAAACATATTTTGTGACTCATTCATTAAATACTTCCTCGTCTCATCGTTTCCAACAACTGCATGTGTTATTCCTTAGCGACGCCATACCTTCACATCCCATTTCTGATTTGCATCAAGAAAGGATCTAGTTGAATTTGTATAATTATTTATCAATATAACCAACAAAGATTAAATTAAAACTAAATAGATACCACCTTTACAAGTACGTGTTGTATGTTGTTTGTATATCTTTTGTCGTTCCTCGCCATCATAAATAACAAAAATTGTCACTTTGACTGTTGTAAGCTGAGAAAAACCCCGAAAAATATCTTTATCCTCGATCTGAAAATATCATCACAATAATTTCAACACATAATAATAAAACTGAAACACCTAACACTTTATAAACCAAAGTCTTGTAGTGGCCAAGCGAATATTCACTGCGGATCAGTGTGATCTATTCATAGTAACGCTCACTGGGTGACGTCACGACATTTTTTGTATTTCCGGTTTCTGTCACACTCAATTACACCATATTGATTAGGTCACTACAATCACTTTTAGATCATGGAGGTGTATATATATTGACAATATATACACCTCTATGGGTTAGATCTATTTCATAAGGCCAACTTAAAATTTGGCGAAAGGTCGCGAGATGTAAACATGGCAGCTAGCGGTAATTCTCAACGCTAACCCTAACCCTGGGCGTAGCCATAACACTTATTCTAACCCTAATATCGCTACCAATCACGTGTCCTAGCCTTATTTACATCTATCGACGAAATGTTAGGTTCGCCTTAAGAAATAGGTATAGCCCTACAATTCCTGATAGGGGTGACATCGGTGCAGTATGGTGGCTGGTTGGTACCATGTCGTGATGTCAGGTTGTCGGCCATGTTCCTCTCTCAGTACACAGTATGATTATGTGCACTGATTCTGGTGTTGGTCAAGAAAGTCTCTCCGGCCGGGATTTTGCTGCGTGGTGTCTCCCTGTCAGTAGTGCAGGACAAGAGACTTGGTAAAGAACAGTGGCCCAAAAACACAAGCTCCTGTGTACACATTGGCGTGCAGATAAAAGAATCCTTTATAGTTGAAATTCGATGAAGAAATGCCAAAGTCCACTGAAAATTTCCGTCATAGCACTCTCATAGAGCAGGTCTATCTTCTATAGTCCGATTGGTGCAGAAAAGTGGGAAAATGAAATGAAATGGGGTTTAATTCCTACTGTTCTGCGCCGGGAGCCACGGTGGCCATGTGAGTACGCTGGCCCGCTAGCCTGGAGATCGCGGGAACACGCTCCCTGTGTTGGCAGAGAAAGTTCATCTGAACTTTCCGCGTGGTTTTCCCATTATCGGGGTTGCAGGAAGGTGGGGGGTGGGGGTGACAAGGACATCTGTCTAGTCTTTCGGATGGGACTAAAAACCAAGCTCCCGTGTACACATTGGCGTGCACGTAAAAGATCCATTCGCAGTTGGAATTCGATATAAGAGTAGGTCTTAGCGCCGATGTGCGGGAACAATTTCCCTGATAGCACAATGTATGGGTTTAACGTCCTACTTTTCTGGGAACCACGCTGATTCAGTGAGTAAGACGTTGACTCGCTAACGTTGGGGCCCCATGTTCGATCCTTGCGGTGGGCCAGAAAGCTCATCGGGAATTTTCCGGCGTGATTCCTCTTTGACAGTGGTGCTGGACGGAGGGTCTGGCAACTGATAACTTATGGACTTTCGGGAACGAAAAACCGAGGTCTCGTGTACATATTGGTGTGGACTTAAAAGACAGCTGGAATTCAATATAAGAGTAGCCCTGTTTAAATCTCGTGACCTATGACGAAATCTGCAGGTGGCCACAATTGCGCTTATAAAATTGATTTTTTCATCAACTCCGCAAACGAATAAAATTTTCAACGCATATCGCCATAATTTGTATAGAAATAGATGCTTTTATCAAAAACAATTTAGTATGAACTTTTAAAAAGTGCCTGTTCACCGCCGATGACCACCCACGAAAGCCGATTCCTTTTAATTGACCGCCGACCACCGCCGATTGTTCTCAAAATCAAACATATTAATACAATTCGAAATAGGAACTATTATATTTCCACGAACATAGATGATAGAATCTTCTTCTATCTTTATAATTATATTTTCCATATAATATTAGATCGCCAATTCCTTTCAAATGACCGCCACCGACCAGCGATTGTTCTCATACATTAACAAAAATCAGAGTGGGGACTATTACATTTCCAGCATTTATGATTATATTTTCCGTAAGACAGTCAATAGCGGATTATAGCAGAGGCACCGGCCTCCGACCCAAGATTTCTTTTTTAAAATCTCAAACACTAAAACTGAAAGAAAACACCGAATCCGGAGAGAAAATTCGATATTTTACCCCTGAGGTAGGGCCCACAGGTCCAGTGTAGGCGTCTCCAGTACAAAAAAATTCTCGGTGGAGGAGCCCCAGACTCCTTCAACTCCGCGGGGAGAGAACCCCCCTGACCCCCACTAGGATGTCCTCGCGTCTGTCGACCTGATGATCCGTCACTGGGTAATATTTTCAAATAATGATTCTTAAAATTCAAACAAATTTCTTGAAATACTTTAGTTCAGTTCCTAAATCAACGACCGCGAGTTTTACTTTTAAACTTTGAAGTCTTGAACTTTTAATTAATTTTTAACCATAGGGAACTTTTAATATGCAAATAATCCACGGGTCCAGCTATGTGCTTTTTACTGAGAGCACTTCGCTTTTCCACATAAAGCTAGCAGATTCTTTTTCCCCACGGAGTTTTCTATCCGCTCTGATGACGGCGAACATCAGTCAGCTGGACCTCCTGTTTTAACTCATTATGACAAGGGGAGAAGATGACCTGCCATCTCTTCTCACAACATCGAGTTTATAAGTGTGCTTTAAGGAACTTTTGATATCCGAGGACTTTTTTATTTTGTGTTTATAACAATTTTCAAGTGTAAATAATTTAATTAAATCAACTTGTCCATAATATATATTTATTGTATTGGACGTTAAATCTGTAATAAATAACAACAAACAACCTTTGCTTTGCTACACGGAAATGACCGCCGATAAATAAATATATACCGCCAACTTTACTCTACAAGTCAACTTATGATTTCACATAATGCACAATACATTGTATATTACATATTTTATTTTTCATTTTCAGCCGATACCTTTCAACTGACCACCGATTGGTCTCAAAATACAAGATATCAAACTCTGGAAAGATCATTAAAATACATGTGCTTTCCAAAACAAAATAAATATCTTAACAATAATACAAGATTTAGCGTTTGAGTGTTCGAGTGTAGTAGTACCCTTTGGCAGGGGCGTAAATGTAGGGGGTGTGGGGGTGGTACACCCCCCCCCCCCCCCTCCGGAAGAAAAATAGTCGGTCGCAAAATCAGTGCAGTCGGTCGCAAAATAAGAGCAGTCGGTATCAAAATAAGTGCTCACTACATACGTCACGCTACTCACGCAGAACTTTAGTATAAAATAACCTTGTCAACTTATCATGTTTGAAAAAATGTTGTGCTTCACTCTTATTCTGTTGTGAGTATGTTTGACTATGAACAAAATTTCCCCCAGGGAGAAAAATAGTCGGTCTCAAAATAAGTGCAGTCACTGCAGTCGGTCTCAAAATTATGCATCGGCGACTCAATGAATTAATGAGGCAAACAAACAATGCCAGAATAGATCCCAAATACTATGTATTTGTGTGAATCCGTGAGCCTAAATTGCATACGTCACACAAAACTATAGTATAAAATAAACATGTCTGCTTGTCATATTTGAAAAAATGTTTGTCACTCTTATTCTGTTGTGAGTATGTTGTTCTATGAAATGTTTTTCCCTCATGGCAAAAAAATAGTTGGTCTCAAAAAAAGTACTCACCGCAGTCGGTCTCAGACTAAATGAATTAATGAGTCAAACAAACAATTACAAAACAGGCGAAATTGACAGATAGGCCACAAGATTCTGTTTCATTTCTTATCCTCTTGTTAGCGAGAATTTGGTTCCATTTGCCATGACAATGACTAAAATTTTCAGGCCCAGTTCCGTAAAATAAAAAGCTCGGTTACATATCTGAATTTTTTCGCGTCTGCGACGCTCGATTCCGTTATAACATTATTCTTCTATTCCTCTGTTTCTTATACTGTCTCAGCACTATCATATTCACGACTATAGTGACCTCCCCGTTAAGCTAGGCTGACACTTGCACGATTCCGTGGCACGCATTGGCACGATTCGATTCCCTGCAATGATTGTGTCTCTGACATTCAGCATGTTGTCTCTTCCACAGCCAATCCAAAAATGACCAGGGGTTGTGGAGGCCCCCTTTTTATATGGCATGCCCAAGTCGGCACGACACCGTCCGAATTGCGCAAACTCGTCGTGCCAATGCGGGAAGTGCGTAAACAATGCGCAAACTATGCGTGAACTCGTCGTGCCAGCTCGTGTCAATGTGGACACTGATGGGCACGCATTCGTGAACTCGTCGTGAACTCGTCGTGAACTATGCGTGAACTAGTCGTGAACAGTGCGGGAGCCTCCCAGTTCGTGCCCCAAAATGGCACGACTTGCCACGACAAAATCGTGGCCAAAAGTCGTGCAAGTGTCAGCCTGGCTTTATACTGGTGTGTGGGTCGTGGGGCGTCAGACTATACAAATGTTATGTCAACTCTTGCGAAACAGGGGGAATTGACAGGGGCAGATCTCGAGATTCTGTCCCATTGGCTCACATTTTTGGTCCTCTCGTCCTCAAGACTTTCTTCAAGCAATAACCTCAAATGCTAGGATATTGACTCATTTTTCAAAATTTCCTCAGGTTGCTCAGTGTTATAGGCACATATATGACATAAACTTTATGTCAACTTAAATAAAACTGCTTTCCGGCGAGACAACGATCGGCGAATTGTGGATAGCGCCCTAGATTTGGAACCACCCCCTCCCACCCCCTATTCCCAGCTTCTAGACCCGCTCTGCACATGGCCCCTAGAAAACTCGCACCTGTGGTGCGCGGTTCCTGACTGCGTCACTCGTACTGGGGGTATGTGCATCAGTCGGTCGCATTTTGGCTAAACACCCCCCCCCCACCCCACAAACAAAATCGTTATGTACGCCCCTGCACAAAACTATAGTATAAAATAACTATGTCTGCTTGTCATGTTTGAAAAAATGTTTGTCACTCTTATTCTGTTGTGAGTATGTTGTTCTATGAAATGTCCCCCCCCCCCCCCATGGTAAAAAAAATAGTCGGTCTCAAAAAAGGTACTCACCAGAGTCGGTCTCAGACTAAATGAATTAATGAGGTAAACAAACAATTACAAAACAGGCGAAATTGACAGATAGGCCACAAGATTCTGTCTCATTTCTTATCCTCTCGTTAGCGAAAATTTGGTACCATTTGCCATGACAATGACTAAAATTTCCGGGCCAAGTCCCGAAAAATTAAAAGCTCAGTTACATATCTGAAATTTTTTCGCGCCTGCGGCGCTCGATTCCGTCCCATTGGCTCACATTACTGGTCATCTCGTCCACAAGACTTTCTCCCAGCAATGACCTCAAATGCTAGGATATTGACTCAATTTTTCACAATTTTCTCCGGTTGCTCAGTGTTATATATGACATAAACAACGAGACAACAACGATCGGCGAACAACTATATAATTATACAATACTGTCTATGTTCTACTGGCCGCTTAATGTTATAGCCAGTATTTTGTTGACATTCATTGTGGGTGGGATTGTGGCTGGCGCCCTAGATTTGGAACCACCCCCACCCACCCCCTATTCCCAGCTTCTAGATCTGCTCTGCACATGGCCCCTAGAAAACTCGCACCTGTGGTGCACGACTCCTGACTGCGTCACTCGTACTGGGGGTATGTGCATCAGTCGGTCGCATTTTGGCTAAACACCCCCCCCCCCCAAACAAAATCGTTATGTACGCCCCTTCCCTTTGGATCAGATGAATTAGAAATTAGGGGAGCTACAGGCCTGTAACATTATTGTGATCAATTGATTACAAAACCTGCTCCATAGCCTATATTTGACCACTTTCGAGTCGCAGAAGCCCACTCATGGGCTGAAAAAGCCGGAAAATGCGTTAAAGGACAATATTGGTGCCTGTCATTATCACATATTTGATAGAACTGGTTAAACACATTCCAAATATTATTTTATCACAGAGATCATTGCTACGATAGAGGCGTAATCAATGCTTCAACAATCGGAATTGACGAACGCAAAAGGAAAACACGAGTAATCCCTCTGTATAACTGATTGAAGTGACGGGTGATAACAGGTACATGGGCGAATTTCTGCCCACTAATAATTCTTTCGAAGACCAAAAGTTGTTATATGAAACTGTAAGAGTATATCTGACAATTCAAAAAAATAGTTGAATGTCATAATAGAATGTCATAATCTCTCCGGTGGTCTTCGGCCGTTAAAAGACGCACCCAGTATATTCGATGTAAATCCAGGTTACTCTTTGTGATAAAACCATTGTTGTAAATCGGAAGTAAACAATTCAATATGGCAGCTAATGCGGCCTTTTTGAATACAAGCGGAGATGATAAAGCTAAATTTATCGTGGAAACTTCTCTAAAGAGTGCAAATACTTGTCTCCTTAATAGGAACTATGGCAGGGCTTTTGCACATTATCTTTTGGTATTCAAATTAGACTCTTCTTTCAAAAACAAACTAAAGAAAGACTTTACCTATGTCATGAGAGAATGGACTGAAGAATTAGAAACTCAAAATAGAATTGAAGATTTATTTAAATGTTATGAACAAGCATGTGATGTTTTTCCTGAGTGTGAAACTGCTTTGAATAATATTGGTGCACAGCTATTTAGGTATGGTATCTAAATTGATGATACAGTATGGCAGCACGATTTACCCAAATCCACCATTATTTCAACTCATATCAATGATCATAATAATTTATATGTATGTATATACATGTATTTGATTATACACCATACTTTATGCCAAATTGTCATTTTTGTATGACGTTGACCACCAAAATTTTAAGATATACTAACTTGAAATAGCATACTAAACTATTCGCTGTACATACCACTAGCTTAACCAACCTGTTAACTCTGTTATCCTTCCGCTTCTAAATCATAAATATTTACCAAAACATGACAGAAAATTAAATCAAACCCTCTACGTCTATTCTAGACCAAAAAATCAACAAAAATGTCCATGAAAACGAGAAAAGAGAAAGATAGAGAGAGTTGCTACATGTATAAATAGGTACTACTATTTAATGGTGATCTGCCTCCAAAAGTAGGCAATTTGGACTGTGAACATTATATATTTTCAGACTTGGTTACATAGATGAAGGGGCTATGTATATCAGAAAAGCCATTCGATTAGCACCAGATTACGTAGCTGCCAGACAGAACTTGGAGAATATTTGTAGTTATTTGGTAGATAGATGGCATTTCCGTATGTTGAACGATATCACTAGAAACACAGCCTACAAACAGGCTATTTTAAAGAGTGTTTCTAATGGAGTTCAAACTATTCTGGATATTGGGGCTGGAACTGGATTGCTCAGGTACAATATTTATTGAGAATCTGATTACAATAAAAAAAACTGTACATCTATGTGTGTGAGTTGATGAATGTTCCAATAGTAAAGTGATATGAAGTGTTCCAATAGTAAAGTAATATAAAGTGTTCCAATAGTAAAGTAATATAAAGTGTTCCAATAGTAAAGTAATATAAAGTGTTCCAATAGTAAAGTAATATAAAGTGTTCCAATAGTAAAGTAATATAAAGTGTTCCAATAGTAAAGTAATATAAAGTGTTCCAATAGTAAAGTAATATAAAGTGTTCCAATAGTAGAGTGATATGAAGTGTTCCAATGCTTACTCTGAGAATAAAGACACAGCTTAATCAAATTGAATATTTTATTTTTGTAGTTTATATGCTGTGGAAAGTGGTGCCAGGTCGGTGTATGCTTGCGAGAAATCAAAAACTATGCATGAAGTGGCCAAAGATGTCTTAGCAAAAAATGACCCCGAGAAAACAATAAAGTTGATGTGTAAAAATTCTACAGATTTACACATACCTGAGGATATGCCTGAACGGTAAATCTGTTTTTTTTTTACCGAAGAATTGTGTTGAGGAAATGTTTATAATTTATTCTGTAGCATAGGGTTATACTCCCTGAATACCTGATAACTTGTAGTATTCCATCCATATAAAACAGGGTTACAATCCTAGTCGAATCCAGATACTTGTGTGGTATTCCAATCATAGTAGGAATCCAGGTACTTTTACCATCCAAGTTGTACGATATTCCATTCCTAGTGGCCAGATACTTTTACCATATAAGTTGTACGGTATTCCAATCCTAGTAGGAATCCAGGTACTTGTATGGTATTCAATTCCTGGTGGGTATCCAGATACTTGTACGGTATACCATTCCCAGTGGATATCCAGATACTTGTACGGTATACCATTCCCAGTGGATATCCAGATACTTGTTTGGGATTCCATTCCTAGTGGGTATCCAGATACTTGTACAGTATACCATTCCTAGTACATTGGAGACGGAAGCAACAATGCTGTAATGAGGTAATATATAACAAATATAGAACACAAACATTTATCATATTGTTTTTTCAGCTTTTAGTTCATTTAGTCCTTTCAGTTCCTGGCAGATATTCATTGATTACATGACTCAATTCAATTGAAATAAAAATAGGTTTTATGTCCCACTTTTCTTCACAAACCAGGCTATTAAAAACGGACCTATGCCATTCAGTGAGCTACAGCAGTGTTTCCGTCTACTAGTCATCAAATTCCAAGGGTTCTTTTTTAATCTTTTATGCATACATCAACCGGTACATCTAACACATGGGTTCCATGTCGGCCATATACCGATCGAAACCGAGGGCTATGGAAAATGACCAAAACTAGATCTGACCCATCGGTCATTTTGCATGCTGGAAAAATAGCGCATTGTTGGAAAAAGCCAATTTCCAAACATGGCTACGATCGACCTCTGCGTCTGCCATGTCACAATACAATTTTAGGGTCTGTACAGAATAATACACACATATAGAAGTCACATTATCTCATGATTGGTGTTATAGAGTTGTATACATAGTTGTCAACAGAGGATTATACTAAGTATTGTGTTGATAATTAATCATGAATCTCGGGTAGTACAGCAATAAAAGTTATTTGTTATGTGGGAATCTTATCAATGACGTGAAGTGGTTCATTGTCAGTGGGGCGGTTGGGTGGTCTAGTGGTTTAACGCTTGCATGTGAATTCTCTAGGCCTTTCATTGAGACAAGTGGCATGGTTTTGATTCCCTGCTTGTATGTGGCAAGGAGTAGGGTCGTCTGTCCAACATGTGGGTTTCTCCGGGTCCTCCGGTTTCCTCAAACTGCTATGGGCAAGCAAATTATTTAAATAAAATTGAACCATATGTTAGTCACAGTGAATAGACAATGTTCCTTGTCCGGCACACTGTACTGACACTGAACGACCTAGTTGTTATAGGCTTGATTATGGAAACATATTTTATTTAATTATAGAGTAGATGTAGTAGTAACTGAGACGTTTGATGCTGGTTTGTTTGGTGAAAATATTTTAACAACATTAATACATGCACATAAATCACTGATTAAGGTAAGTCTGTCTTTGATTGTATTGAATATGATTAGTCTGTAATTGTGTTTATTATGGTAAGTCTGCCTGTGATTGTGTTGATTATGGTAAATATCATATTCCTGAAGCAACGACTGCAAGTTTTACAACATCTGGGCGTGGCTAGATTACTTTAGAATTCCCGAACTTATAGCTGCGTTATCTGCAGACACGTGAACAGTAGCATTCAATTATAGGTTATGACATAGCAACCTCCACGGAAACCTTGACATTGAAAGAACCTTGAACTTTGAAACTTGATTATCACAGGTAGACATTTTAGCTGGAAAGCGTGAGACTTGGTATTCGCGATGATCAAGGAATCTGTTAGGCTCCCAACCAGGGTACTACTTGAAGGCCTTGGTAAGATGAACGAAGTTAAAGCGAGATCAATCCTTCTATTGAAGGGTAAATATATGATTACATTGATTATACATGTAGTAAGTCTGTCTGTGATTGTGTTGATTAAGGTGAATATATGATTACATTGATAATGATAAGTCTGTAATTGTGTTGATCATCATAAGTCTGTCTGTGATGGTGTTGAATGTAGTATGTCTGTAATGGTGTTGAATATGGTAAGTCTTTGATGGTATTGAATATGGAAAGTCTGTGTTGGTGTTGAAAACAGTAAGCCTGTGATGGCGTTGTAAGTCTGTGTTGGTGTTGAAAACAGTAAGCCTGTGATGGCCTTGAATACGGTAAGTCTGTGTTGGTGTTTAAAACAGTAAGCCTGTGATGGCCTTGAATACGGTAAGTCTGTGTTGTTGTTTAAAACAGTAAGCCTGTGATGGCCTTGAATACAGTAAGTCTGTGTTGGTGTTGAAAACAGTAAGCCTGTGATGGCGTTGAATACAGTAAGTTTATAATGGTGTTGAATACGGTAAGTCTGTGATGGTGTTGATTACGGAGAGAGAGGAATGGGGTTCAATGTCCACTCGACACAAACTCAGTCCTTTCGGGACAAACATATGGTTCAATTTTATTTCAATAATTCACTTGCACATAGGGGTCTTTAGCAGTGGAAAGAAACCAGAGGATGCAGAGAAAACTACAAGGCTGGACAGGCAACCCTACTCCTTGTCACGCACATGCAGGGAATCGAAATCACCCCACTTGACTTAGTGACAGACCTTCTGATCTAACGCGCACACATTGACCATTCATTCACCCCCCCCCCCCCCTGCTGATTACAGTAAGTCTATGACTGTGTTGTCTATCTCTGTTTTATGGCATCCAGTCGATCTTTGTGTAATTTGGATCTTTAATGTTGAGCTTGATTATATATGCCATGGAACAATGTTTCTTGACCAGCTTTGTGGACTTTCTTTGGTTTGTCTAGTAATCTTCACTGACAGATTTTATATGAAAAAGTAAAGATAATCTTTTTAGTTTATTTTTATGTGACCGTTTTATTTTTACAGGAAAATGGGGTAAAAGATTGTATAATACCAGGTAGAGCAACTGTTTATATTTGTGCCATAGAAGCGGAATCGCTTCGAAATAAAAACAGGTAAAATATTTGTAATATCTATAAGCGAGTGCTTGGTGCAGCGTAGTAAAAAAAAATGTTACCGCCGCATTAAGAATTATTTTATTAGTGGGGTAAAAATGTTATTTGAAACATTATGACTGTTATTGTTCATTGGTCACTAATTGAGCCTCTGTTAGAATCGGGGTAGGATTTAGATGAAGATAGTCTGTATACTATTCCACTTATGAGGCCCCTCCCCAATCCCCAAACAGAAGAAGATGGAAATGTGTTTCAAATACATTGGAGTAAAGCCAAGGATGATGATGGCTGTTTAAGACTACACTGCATGTATGACAGGCATATGAGAGTGTCAAAAATATTATACACCTTGGCTGAAGGACCCCTAGATCTAGAGTCCCCAGAGTTCGGCTTGCCAAGTCTGTAGGTAAATCCAATGGTTAGAATTAATATATTTTTGTTATTGAACGATAGATTTCTTTGTGACCAATAAAGTAGTGCATCATTGATATAATAGTTTCACTAGATGTATGTCATTTGTATATTATAGTTTATCCAGTCTTACAGAATATAGATCAATATGATATGTCATTTGTATATTATATATTGGTTTATCCAGTCTTACATATCTTACAGATCAATATAGCATGTCATTTGTATATTATAGATTAGTTTATTATCCAGCCTTTCAGATCTTATAGATCAATATTATATGTCAATTGTACATTATAGATTAGTGTATCCAGTCTTACAGAATGTAGATCTAGATGGTGTCACCATAGTTTGTAAGACGACCTTGACTGACAGCAACCCCTACACAACAGAAGATTTATCAAATATTCGTGGTGGTTACATCGAGTTATCTTCCCCTCTTCAACTTTTGTCGATCAATTTTAATGATTTTAGCGAAATAGAGAGATTAAATAATGGGTTGGATTTTACTGCTTGTTTACCCGTAGTTAAAACAGGTCGTTTAGATGCTATTGTTCTATGGTTTGACCTTCATCTTGATGATGATATGACCATAACAACACGACCCGATACAACAAATTGTTGGGAACAAGCTGTCTATCCAGTTCTTCCTCAACACATTAATATTAAAGGTATACAATATTTAATTTATTGATCACTGTTGGGTGTGTGATTAATCTTATATTGAATTCTTGTTGGTACCTGGAGATTTTCCGGCATGTTTTCCCCTTGTCAGTACTCAGTGATGCAGGACAGAAGGCCTGACAAGGACACATTGGCGTGCATGTAAAAGATCCCTTGGCAGTTGGAATTCAATATAAGAGTAGGCCATAGCACCACTATCAGGGCAAAATTCCCTCATAACATACTAATTACTACATGACATGTGCTCATCTTTATTAGCTCAGTCAGAGTAGAAAAGTACGAACATTTTTTTGTGCAAATAAATTGTTTTGTAAGCATTAGAAATATTGTATTGTTTCAACAGGTTCAAATAGTCAGCATTTAGATGTACAACAAGGTGAAGAAATCAACATTGGTTGTCAATTAAAGGATAACCATTTAAAAATCATTTGTAGTGAAATCAAATCAACGCTGAAGGATTCGAAAATATTAGCCGACAACTGTCAAAAACTAGACACCAAATTCAAAAGAACCGCTTCAGAAAATAACTGTACCACATTACAATTAGAACATCACGAAATCGCAAATTTAAATGACATAACTTCAAACAGGGTGTTCTTTCACGCCATAGAAAGGTTACGACTGGCTAAAAATAGAAAAAACTTATCCTTGTTAGATTGTAGTCAAGGATTATCTCCCCTTGGTCTTCAGGCAGCCTTATTGGGATATACTGAAGTGTGTGTAGCTTGTGATGAAGATAAAATGGAAGATATAAAACATTTAAGTGAGATAAATCGTGTTAAAGTGAGTGTTATAGATAGGAAGTGTATCGTTGCTAACGACGACAGGTACAATGTTATTATCAGTGACTTAGTCGAATCTTGTGGAGTTTTAAAACAGCAAATTCTGGAAGAAATGGCACTACTCAGGTGAGTGGATTTTTCAACACCAATCGTCAGTTGAGAAGTGATGTGAAAATTATAATATACAGTTTCATACCGTTGGTTACCCATGGTGACGGAGAGAATTATACTGTTGGTTACATGGTAACTGTTTATATTTGAAGTATATGCATTATACGACTCAAAACACCAACTCACCCCCTACTGTAGTTTCACGCATCCGAAGTCCTTATCATCTACTATTGGGGCAGAGTTTCACACATCCCATGTCCTGAACATTTCCCACTAGGGCAGGGTTTCACATGTTGCCAAGTCCTGAACATCACCTACTAGGGCAGAGTTTCACACATCCCATGTCCTGAACGTCACCTAATAGGACAGAGATTCTCATGTTCCCAAGTCCTGAACATCAACTACTAGGGCAGAATTTAACACATCCCAGGTCCTAAACATCACTGACTAGGACAGAGTTTCACATGTTCCCATGTCCTGAATATAACGTACTAGGGCAGAGTTTCACATGTTTACAAGTCCTACTAGGAAAGAGTTTTACATATCCCATGCCATGTCCTGAACATCACGTACTAGGACAGAGATTCTCATGTTCCTAAGTCCTGAACATCACCTACTAGTACTAGGGCAGAGTTTCACATGTTCCCAAATCCTGAACATAACATACTACAGCAGAGTTTCACATGTTCCAAGGTCCTGAACATCTCTTACCATGGCAGAGATTCACATATTTCTACTATAACCATCTCATACTAGGACAGATTTTCGCACATTACACGCCCCTAAAATAATTGTCTGTTATATTTTTTATTCTTGTATTCAGAGTAACGTCATTAAGTGATCATGGAGTAATTTTACCAAATAAGTTAAAGATTTATGGTATATGTGTTGAGTCATGTGACTTGTTACGAGTGAGTCGTGTTATTGGCACGGAACAGACATCGGGTTATCATATAGCGGAATTTATTAATGATTTCCAGGTGGGTAAATAAATCAGCTAATGATTTTGTACACAATTGTACAGATATACTACTACAGGCAACTATTGGCTGGATAATTGCCATCAAGGACAATTGTCCTGCTCCTGGAGAGGACATGTACTAACTTGTGGTATATTAACATAATGTAAGTCTACTATGTTTCAAAACAAAAACACATAAAACTCTTACATTCATAAGCCAGTACATTCTGTTTAAAGAGAGAAAACTATAGATTATGTTTATGACTGACATTCTAAGACAGAAAGTAACAGGAATTTAAGATTGACATGACTTAAATAATTTTTAGACCAGTATGTCTTCTTAAGCCTACTCTTTAATGTGTATATAAACGGAAGTCGAAATCAGTAGTTATCTTTTAGTCTGGTATATGTGTCTTTTATTTGTTAAATAAAATCTCTATTTTATTAACCAAATAACCACTCACCAAATAACCGTCAACATATTTTGAATCTTTTTTTTTTCCAGAGTTCAACTCATGTGGATGTTGATCTTCACACATTGCAGCATAAAAAATTAACAGAATCATTTCTGATGTTTGATTTCTCCTTAAATCCTGACTCGTCAACAAACGAACCGACTTCCTTCCTCGAACAATCGGCAATACTGGATGTAAATATTCTAGAATCAGGTTCTATTACTGCTCTTGTTTACTGGTTTGAACTTGTAGTACTGGATGATCTTAAAATTTGTACTCTTGATTATACCAGTCATTGGAAGCAGGCTTGTATGATGATAAAGGAGGAAGTTGAATTGATAGAAGGAGGAATGATAAAGTTAGAAGTGAATTTAGAGAACAGTTGTCTAGAACTTAAATCACTACAAATAAACCAAAATTCATAAATAACTTCCTTTATGGCTTTTTCCCTGGGGCGTTTTGTGGTCAAGTGGCCCAACGCATGTGCTTTTGATCATCATAAGGTCTGTCACTTGTGTATTTCCATGTGTACAGAAAAATCACTGAAAAGTTTATGGAATCCCATGTGATTAACATCATAAGTGAGGATTTCTCTTTACAGCATGAAGCCAGACATTGTTTACGTTCAGTCACTGCCTTTTTTATAACAATACCATATCCAAAAATATCTGCCATTTACAGCAACAAGAGCGATTGATTAACTTAGTGGAAGAGAACCTGAGTTTGTGCACCAGAATGTAAACCTGCACATACTTCAAGCAAGAAAAAAATCCAGCAATAAAGTCGTGTGGAAACACTTTCATGGAAACGGTCCCATTACATTTGCATTAGACTGACTTTTTGCTGGCTGAATTGCGTACATGGAATGTGAGCCTGATACTGATAGCTAGGGATTAAACTGAAAATAATTTTAACAGCAAACGGGTTCAAAATGAAGTATATTTTAGCACAGATAAAAACCATGGAAAAATTTAATATTTTCTGAAACATACAAATTACTTTGAAAGTAAATTAAAAGTACATGAATAAAAACATCGAATTGATTTATTTTCAGTTTTAATACTGGGTGAATACAAAAAATATTAAATAAAAACTGAGAATGATAATAATGCCCGGTTCTAATAATTCCAGCATCGGGTATGCATGTTAAATTTGATTTTACAAATATGTCAAAATATTTTATTTTGTAAAAATCATGTAGTGCTGTCTCAGGTTCACGTGAGCAACAAGGGCAAATTAAAGGTCAATCAGTTATCACTTTTTGAACACCACAATGTCAGACATACTGTCAGATGTGAAATTACTTTTCCAGAATTACCCATTTCAGCAATATTAACCAATTGGTAACTGAGCTAGGGTATCATTTGAATATTGGTGACATGCTGACTTTACCCGTTATTGCCAAAACTAAAAGGGTGGTATCACAGAAATTTCACAACATCAGCCCTCTCAGCACATTTCAGCCAAATTGAAAGGTGTACGGTTTATCTCTTTGGGTGATCTGACACGGAATGACTCATGTGCAGAACTCGCCACATTCGTCACAAGGAGATTGTTATGATTGTCAACAAAAACAATTCGATAACATCAGTCCCAAATTACCACTGCACTACTGTTGTCCAGGAACATTACAGGCGTAAACATAGCAGTTGACAAGCAACATTGCTTTTGTCTGGCAACATTGCTGTTGACAGGCAACACTGCAGTTGATAGGCAACATTGCTGTTGATAGGCAACATTGCTGTTGACAGGCAACATTGCTGTTCCTGACAGTGGAATAATATGGAATGTTATTTAAAATAATTCTAGACAGTATCACACATCAAATATAAAATAATCATAGACCCTATAAATGTATCACAATAATATCATAAAATACAAGACCCTATACAGGTATCACATGGGAAATACTCTCCTAATATCTTGAAGATCTATCGTCAATAGAAAAAAATTTAAAAAATACCGTCCTAGTGTTATCAGGGGGTGGCCGCATGGTTTAGCGTGTGCGTTAGATTATAGGGCCTGTCATTGAGTCAGGTGGCGTGGTTTCGATTTACCGCTTGTATGTGACAAGGAGTAGGATCGCTTGACAATGTTACTAATGATGTTAAAATAGGCCTCAATGTCTACTTCTACATACCACTATATCATAACGATGATAAAGTTACTAACCATGTTAAAGCGAAAATTTTATATTTTTAAGTTATATTTTTAAAATGTATTAAAATAAAGCCTTAAAATAGATGGTATCTATAAACAGTCCTACCTTGTTAAAGAATAACCCTATTAATCCTATAATTCACTATTGCCAGTTGAGAAATTGGCAAAAATACCATTTTTAACTTCAAATTCAAATGTTTGAAGATAGCTATTACATGGGGGGAATATAAAAACAAGGGAGGTAATGGTGTTATTATTTCCAGGGTCAATGATTTCTAAGTGTGAAAATGATACCTATGATCGTATAATAGTGAGTTGACAACCTATTGAGCAAAATACATAGAAATAATTATGTTTTGACTTTCTTAGAAAATATGAAATTCTCGCTTTAAAATAAGTCTCAATGTCTACTTCTACATCATTATATCATAACAATGACGCTGTTACTAATCATGTTAAAATAGGCCTCATTATTGCTACATCATGCTATATCATAATAATAACAATGTTACAAATCATGTTAAAATAGGCCTCAATGTCTATAAAATCACAACCATCCAGCGAAATAAAACATTAGAATATACATGTAAATGTATAATAAATACATTTCTTCTTAAACATACATTACATGAGATTTAGATAAAGAGTTGGCCATTCTTGCTATAACAGCTCAAACATAAATAATGAATAATAAAATGTACATGTATTGAAAATTTCAGTCAAATTACTTTATTCTGAGCAAAGTTAATGATGTTTGAAATTTTAACAAGAATAGCCATGAATCATCTCTGATTGACAGTTACATTCTCGATTGTCAAATAACTTTGCCATGATAATAAACGGTCCTTTAACAGCAGTATCAGCCATATTAGTGTTTAACCCAAATATGGCGACCATTGTTTAATCCATTTAATATCTAAATCCTGAGGTGGTCTAGAGAGTTGGTTGATTATACGTGTAGGCTTGCCGTGTGAATAAATGTCTAACTAATAATTTAACATTTGAAGCCAGAAACAAACCCAGCAACAGGCAAGTTTAGCATAATGCCTCATTACGTTTCACCACCTTATAAATATTAGTTATAGAATCATGGCTACAATTTGTGACTGGTGTCATGTACATAGCAGGGTATGCTTAGACCATCAGGAACACCTGATACTACTTTCGACATATGTGATTAGGGTGCTGATAACAACTTTATACACCCTGATTAGGATGTTTTTTGTCGAGATGGGTTCTGACATACTGTGCTGTATACCTGTACAGTTTGTTCTGTTTTCTTGTTTATTAATGTTTTTATTTTGTTTTATTTTGCTCATTTTGTGATTCACTTCCCACAGTTTCTATCTCCCCTTTTGCACTTTTCACAGTTTCGTTCTCCTCTTTATCACTTTCCGCAGTCTCTTTTTCATCATTAGCATTCTCCACCATTTCTTTCTCCTCTTTAGCACTGTTTTTATTTGAACATGTTGCTTCTTGTTGAACACTGGTTAACGTTTCTATATTATTTATATCAGAATTACCAGTCTCAAAGTCTATGAGTTTTTCTTCACTGGGTGTTTCACTCTTTGCGGAAAGGGTTTGTCTCTCGAATTCTTTAACTTGCGTAACTTCTACGCTAGTACTAAAATCTGCGTAATTATTCAAACTTGCCGTTCCACGTTGATCTTGATTCACAAAGCTATCTTGTTGGTCTATCGATGATCCATCCCATTCTGTTTGAGTTTCGGATTTCATTGATGCCATAAACTCATCATGGACTATAATAGGTGGAGTATGTGGGCGACCTTCAACCTCTGATGATTGACCTTCATCATGACCTTGTTCCATGATTTGTTGTGCTGATCGTTCAGGTTGTTGGTTATTAGTGAGAAGTGGTTCTCGTTCATTTCCCCGAGATCGGAATTTGTTTCTTAGTTTCCTCTGAACACCGGTACCTGACAGAAAATGTTTAGTATTAGAGTGGCATCAATTTTCAAATGAAAAGTAATAGGGTTTAATGCCCGACTGGGCTAATAAAGATGGGCACACGGCATACAGTGTGCTATGAGGAAAGTTTGGCCCAGAATACTCTTATAATGTATTCCAGCTGTGCACACAAAACCTCAGTTTTTTTCATCCTATCCAAATGACTATATGTTGTTTTTTGCCATACCCTCCGTCCTGCACCAATGACAAGGAGGAGGGGGGGGGAACCATGCACAAAAATTGCATCAAACTTTCTTGATGACCTCGAGGTCCTACTTCAAATGAAATGGGGTTACAGTCCTACTTTTTTGCACGAACCAGGCTAATAAAGGCATGCATTGTGCTCATTCTGCACACAGAGATCCATCTACTTCATACTTTGAGAATAGATCTCTGCCCTAAATGGCTGCCATATCAAACAATTAATATACAGTTTTGTAATGCAGTCCCACTCCAGTTCACATCTGTTATACACAAAAAGACTAATTAACCCTTTTTAATTTTATGCAATGAAAGCAGAATATATACTTCTTAAAAATTCTCGCAATATACTTAGTGTTTTCGACTAAAATCATTGGTCATCTGGCTTAGTGTCTGTTTTCAAAGCGAGCAAACTGTAGACAGACTGCCTAAGTTTAGTATAGCAACGTGCTATGAGGCGAATTTTGCCCAGATAGCAGCATTTCCACCTACTCTCCGTCCAGTTCAAGCTTTTTATTTGCATGTCAATAAATACAAGAGTGGACATTGTTTTTGTTTGCACCATCCAGTGACTTAGATACATTTTTCTTGTCGACCCTTTGGCCAGCACAACTGACATGGGGAAACCATTCTGGAAAATCACTAGGAACTTTTTCGCGACCAACACCAGGATCGCATCCTCCACAACTTGATTAATAAGTATAATTGACAAACTTCCTAAAAATCTATACAAATATTTGTGACTGTCATTTGTCTGTCTATCTGTTCAGGGTTGGCGACTACACTAGGGCTGAAATTTGGTGTATAAGGATAGCTTGAACTGGAGAGTAAAATAGGCCTGGTGGTGATGGACTACCACTTCCAGTTTCAGAGTTATACTGCTTCTGGTTAATGGCTATGTACCTGTGCTACGCCAGGTCAACCGCTGATATTTAATAATTCTGAAAAACCATGGACAGAACCCAGGTATTTTACTCCTTTCTACAAGGGAGACATAAAAAAAAATGTTTGCTTGATCTGTCCATACATGTACTTACCAATAAATCGTGCATGCTCCATGACATCACTGTGGACGTCCGAGACATCCCACATGGAGAGAAAAGATGAACAGCAACTAGATCTATCAGCCGCCATGTCCATATATGGTTTGTGAGAGAAGGAATAATAATGGGCTATAGCAGCAAAAAACATCTCAATACAAATACAAAAATCCTAAAAAATATCAAAGGGGATGATTAGTCACAATAAACTACGTCAAATATACTGCCTAAGACTTATTGTTGCTATTCTAATCTGAGTCCAGTTCAACCTAGTGCATGGACTTTATTGTTGCTACCCAGATCTAAGTCCAGAACAACATTATGGGACATGGACATATTGTTGCTATCATAAAGTATAATTCAACCTGGTACATTGTTGATATCCTTAACTAAGTCCAGTTCAACTTGGTAGTGCCACATATGGGACTTGCTCATGTTGCTATCCCGATGCAGGGAACATATTGATGCTACTCTGATCTATGTTCAGTTGTGTCTGGGATTTACTATTACTAATATCAAATTCCAACTGTCAATATGTCAATATCGAGAACACAAGTGGACATTGCTTTCTTGTCATATCCGAATTACTAGACAGAGCCACTGTGTGGTTTGGTGGGTTGAGGGTATTTATAAGGGTGATATTACCTGTGGGTTGAAGGTATTTATAGAGGTGATATTACCTGTAGGTTACAGGTATTTATAGAAGTGATATTACTTGTGGGTTGAGGGCAAGCATGGACATAAGACACCTGTCTCTGACCTGCCAGGTACAAATTATTACATATACAAAATTTATGTTATAATATATATTATGTTGCAGAGGTGTGCTGGGGGCTCATTTATGACAATGGTTCTAGAACAGGGCTGTGTTGTGATGAAGGACTGTGCTGTTTTATGGAGGAGGTGGTTGGTTTAGAGGGGCACGCCTCTGATATGTTGTGTGATAATTTGTGTCTGACAGAGTCTGTGACAGGTGCCTTAAACCCAGGCTTGGTTGATGGTATTTTATAAAGATGATATTACCTGTAATCCTGTAGCTACTTCTTTAATAGAATGATAAAATAACCAGGGTCCCTGCTGTGGTATGGCTCCAAGTTTAGCTAGAGCAGCTATTACAACACTCTGCCTAATATAACAAATAATAATAACATAATTATATAAATTCATATATAACAATTACAATTTACATTTGCATAAATAGAGTAAGAAAACAAAACAAATACATTTATATAAATTCACATCAAATTATCCTCAACTCAAAAAATATAATTAGATTATAGTATTGTTTCATTTGTTTATTCTGATATTAAGAACACAAAATATTTCAAAAAGTTTACTATTATATAATCCAACAGCTTTAGATACAATTTATGTGGCTTTTCCCCTGCCCAGTGTTTTATTTGCTTTTTGGACTGTTTATGGGATTGTTAATCACTGGCAAACTACAATATCATGAAAGTTAAATCTCTAAAAGGATATACCAGTTCAAACACGGTTCAATTCCATTCAGTATTTTCAAAGATATTATGAATGGACTTCTACTACAGACTATAAACATATAGAAGTTTAATGTCAAATAAGAGCCACCTATATAAGTGTCGCTGACATGTTTTGACAGACCAATTTTTAATCTGTTTGAATCCAAGCTGGGTGTTGATATTTGGAGATTTTGTTTTCTTAATTCTATGTTAAATAACTCATTTGGGTACTTAGCCTGGATTCATTTGTGGAAATTTTATAATTTCCAAAAAATGCAATAACCAACACACACGGTAAAGTAAGTAGTATATGCAGCTTGGTAATGTTATGAAGTGCTGTTCTACTTACCAGAATGAGAGAAAAACAACCGCTTTTACACACATAAACTTAGGTAGAGGTTTTAATGGTTTTAGTTCTTCTTTAGTTAATTTATAGAACAAAACCAGACAATACATGGCCCACTATAATATACAAAATACATGATGCATGACCCACTATAATATACAAGATATACATGATACATGGCCCACAATAATATATGTAAGAAATACATGGCCCACCATAATATACAAGATACATGTATATAAATGGCCCACTCTAAAATACAGGATACATGGCCTGCCCCGTCTTCATTAGCCCAGGTTAGGAGCAGAACAGTAGGACGTTAAACTCCATTTCATTTCATTTCATTTACATGGCCTGCTATAATATACAGAATACATGGCCCACTATAAATATATGCAAGATACGTGGCCCACTATAATATGCAATATACATGGCCCACTATATATATATATATATATATATAAATGATACATCCAATTCAAACAAATGCAATGATTGTAGTAAAATACAAGAGCCAATGTGGGCTTAATATCATGGTTTATTTTTCATTAGAGAGAGAAAAATGAGACACACACAGACGGCAAAGATGGGATTTAACATCCATGCAACATAAACTAGGTTATTTTGGGACTATCATATGGTAATCTGTATTTCAATAATTTTCTTGCATAAATAAGGGTGTAGTGGGAAGAAAGTGCAGGACCAAGAAAAAATACATGAGGTTTGTCTAGCAAACATATTTCATGTCATGTACACTCAGACCACTCAGCCAACCAATTAATTTAGTATCATTTATTCTTGGGTATAAAAAAAAAATTCATACATCCAACAAGGTGTTTATTTAATTAAGCTGCTGCCCCGACAAAATCCTACGAAATAAAAATGTAAATTCTATGCATACAGAAAAGACTGAGAAGGTGAAATAATTTAAACTTACAATTTGAGAAACATTATTTATTATGACTAGATACGACCAAGCTGATGTAAAGTTAAAATCCCCTTCATCATATTTATCACCAAATTCACAAAATCTGAAATAAATCAAAATGACTTATGATTATTATTTACAAAGGATGTCCAAATGACTATGGAACTGTGGCCCTTATGAGCTAATATTAATTACCATTATGAAGCAAAGTCAAACACCAACAGGGTATGCTTACTATTTTTAGAAAACCAAAACATTTTTGTTGAGCATCAAAGACAAAGGGTCCATGAAACAGAAAGACAAAATTAAGTAAAGAAATTATAATGGGCTTCCTGAATGGGAAATTATTGATACCCAATAGTGAAGTAGTATCAGGTATCTATGAAGCTGTAAGCATACTCTGCCTCAAATTGTTGTATCTTTTAATAAGTATGATGAAACAGGTTATTGATACTATTTACAGAGCCATAACTGTTGTCATAGTTACTATTGTATATGGGTATTATTTAGAGTTATAACTGTTGTCATAGTATAATGATATTATTCACAGACCTATAACTTTTGACATAGTTACTATAGTATATTGATATTACTTACATAGCAGTTGTCATAGTAACTGTAGTATATTGCTTACATAGCTAGTTGTAGTAGCTACTATAATTGATATTACTTATACAGCTATAACTGTTGTCGTGGTTACTGTACTATATTGGTATTACTTACAGAGCTGTAACTGTTGCCAAAGTTACTGTAGTATATTTATATTACTTACAGAGCCAGTTGTCATAGTTACTATAATATATTGATATTACGTACAGAGCCATATAACTGTTGCCATAGTTACTACAGTATATTTATACACTACAGGCATTTTTATCAACCACTGATTGGCCAAAGTGATTTGCATTTTATCAAATTTTCATCTTTAATGTACATCTAATTGAAATTGATTACCCTAATCAACAAATTTAGCGACACCGATTTTTGAAGCGATTTCCACAAATTGCTAAATCCCCCCCAGTGCGATTTGACGATTTGATCAGGTGATCACATGGTTTTTCAACTATGTCCAGATACGAGAATTGTTTATAGCTAATCGGCACATTTAACGAACTCGCCAAAGTACTTTGAAAAAATCGACTATACTGTCACATGACATCTCCACTAAAAAGTCTACTATTAAAGCCCCGATAAGACCAAAGCACCATGGGATTCAGATCTAAAAACTTTGGCGATCCAAGGAGACTCATAATTTCTAGCAGGACGCGTATAAACAAGGCACAACTTTGATGTCCACCAGTCTCCAGGACCGACAGACTCACTAACTGCATTATGTTGATACGATCAAAAAAGACCCCAATACACTCTTAACATGATCAAGGCGATCCAATCAGACGTCAACATGACCGAACGCGATCCTGATGCGATGCACTCCCAGGCTTCCAACGTGACCCAAGCACGACCTGGACCGCCACGGTCACTCGTCTGGAAGAAACTGATTAGATGCCTTTTTAACAAGATCTGCTCCCGATTCACAAGATCTGACAGCAACCCTCGCGATCCAGGAAGACCTTCTCCAGCTTTACAATGCGACTCAAAATAATATGAGTCATGTTAGGTCGTGCTTTAGTCTGACGGGGGCTTAACAGAGCTAGCTGTCATAGTTACTATAGTATATTGATATTACTTTCATATAGACATAGTTTATTGACATTACTTACAGTGCAATAACTGTTGTCAAGGGTCTAACTATTGTATATTGTAATACACCATGTTTACATCTCTCTACAAATGGTCTAAAATAACAAATTCATTTCATATTATAGAATACATTTTAACAAGCTCATAGATTTCAGATTTGACTAATCAGGAAACTCAGATATATTATGCGATGATCAATGCAAAATAGGTTTAAGATTTGGGATAATTAATTAAACCTACGATTATTTTGGTTTTGATGAGATAATATTATATTGTATCAATACATCTATTAAGAGCAGCATGGGAAGATACAGTAAACCCTTTATTCCTCGTAATGAGAGATTGTGTAAAAACTGCAACCTTCAATTAGTAGAAGATGAAAAACATTTCTTATTGTATTGTCCATTTTATGATAATTTGAGACAACAATATATCTCACCATTCATCAAACCTCATATAACTGATTCAATTCAACTTAATATATTAATGAATAATGAAGAGTGTATAGAAAATGTTGGAAGTTTTGTATTAAATGCCTTTATGAAAAGGGGAATATAAATATATCTTTGTTAATTGATTTGTAACATTAAATATTGCCGATTATTAGATTCATATGTACCACTCGTCTTGAAAGCTAATGTTAATTCGTAAGATATGTAGATAGATATTGTTATGCATCACAATGTGTAATGCTTGTTACACCTACAGGGCCTTCATCAGGCCTGTGGTGAGATCAAAATAGTTTTTCGTTATGAAATTAACATATTTAAAAAAAGCATCTTAAAAAGTTATGGAAAATGATTGAAAACGTATGTTCGTTGGACTTTTTAATTGCTGTCAAATACTGCCATTAGTTATAAAATGTTATTTTCTTAAGCCAAAATAGGGGTGTTCTTACGGACCATGGCAATTCTTCTTTCAACACCAGTCTTTAAGGTAAACAAAGCATGTGTTTCATAGTGACAATGTTTATCAACTATATATTTACATAAATATTACACGTTTTGGTACCTAAATGCAACTATAATAATTTTCTAATATATTACCCAATGATTTATGTACAAAACACCCCCCAAAAAACAATGAATATATATCAGTTATCATTGAAAGTAAAGAATTAAAAGTGTTATGATTTGTAGTCTCGGACAACTAAATAAACCTGGTACATTTTAGACGCCTTGGTAACCAAGACTATGTTGGGAGGTTTTCTACCATACACCATCTTGAAAATTAATGTTATTTTGTAAGACATGTAGATAGATATTGTTATGCTTCACAATGTGAAATGTTTGTTGTAACTTCCATACTCATGCCTGTACATGTAGTTGTGAATAAACTGTTATTATTATTATTATTATTATTTAAACAAAATGAAAATTGTACAATATGACAACATAAAGTTTTGTACAATCTGATTAAAACACAGATTCTATTTCGTTTTGTTTTTTATAGTTCAAAATTTTGTTTTACGTGTCTTTACTACCCTAGGATCTGAAAGAGTTGTTATATACATTAAATAACCCGCATTCTGGTTGATGTCAGGGATTAGCCAATAAAACGGTCTGTTATTGCGAGTCTTTGGCATGAGTTGCATGTAACTGTGGGTGACCCACCAGAAACTTCAACACTGATTGATTAATCAAATGTCGGTCAAAAGCCGCTCGTATGATATCTGACGCGACCTCACACTACAACTGGTCATCGAAAGCAAAAAAACAAACGAAACAAATTATAGATCTGTATGTTAATCAGATTGAGATTTGTATTATCTTGGTAACAGTGACTCTGTAGCCTACTACAATGATTGGATTAGACGGAATACAGCTGTTTATTTTTAATTAACAATAAATGAAGCAGTTTAAAATGTGTTCCATAAACCTACCTCCCCATAGGCCATGGTGGCAATAAACAAAATGGGAAAAAATGTTTCACTTGTTGTTTATTTTCAAGGTCATATTCTAAATATGGATGATCTTGTCGTAGGTAGTTCAACAAGAAACTCATGAAGTTATAGATAACATACGCTTCATAGCATTCTCTTATAGTATCCAGATATATCGCAGCTTCTGGAAACAGTAAAGCCAACCACTAAAATAAAAAAATAAAATTTTGGTCATAAATTTTTGAAATTGAATATAAATAATCTGGATAAGAAATTCACTCAAAAGTATCAGCTCTTGGTAACAGCAAAGTCAACCACTAATCAAACATTTTAAAAATAAATCTATAAATAATTTGAATTAGCAATTTATGTTTATTCAAAAATATCAATTAATTTATTTGCAGTTGAGAGGATAAACAATCAGATTAAAACAAAGAACCCATTTCGTTTGTTTTTTTATAATTCAAAATTTTGTTTTACCTGTCTTTACTTCATTAGGATCTGAAAGAGTTGTTATATAACCTGCGTTCTGGCTGATGTAAGGAATTAGCCAATGAAACGGTCTGTTAAAGTGAGTTTTTGGCGTAATGTGCACAGAACTTTGCGTAAACTAAACCACCAGAAACGTCAACGCTGATTGATTATTCAATGTCTAACATCATAATGTCAAAAGCCGCTTGTATGACACCTGACGCGACCTTCCACTACAACTGATCAGATCTTCATGTAGTGTAGGCCGTCAAAAGTATAAAAAACGAAACGAAATATAGATCTTTATTTTAATTGGATTGCAATTGGAGGATAAATCAATGTAAGGAAATCAAAAATCAGGCAAATTGTTGCCTAGCAGAGACAGTTTAACTGACAAAGTGAGCTCCATACAGACAGTAGTTGTTAGAAATATCACCTCAATGGAAATAAACTTTAAATAAAGCTCTTCACACACCTACACATATAAACATGTACATTAGATAAAGGATCCTCTATTGTACTTCTGAATTAGCAGGAACTACACTATATTCATATTCATATTCTAGAAATTAATCATTTTCTAACAAGTGAGCAGCTACAGAATTAAATTTATTTTAGTAATGGTTTCTTATTTTTAAAATGAATTAACTAAAAAACAACTTACAGCATTAAGTGCGTAAACTGGTACCATCCATAAAACTCTGTCAATAAATAGAATAACTTGATCAGTTATAAAACATATATTATATCAGGTTGATATCCCTCACTTTTAATACAACAACTTTCAGACAGTACTTTGTACACAATATCATATGGTTAATAATTAACAATTTGTGCATAATTTGGTGGGGGGTGGAGAGAATAAAGATTGTGTGCGAGCCTTTTCACGATACAGTAATTTGCGACTCTGACACTGCATTTCACATGTGATTTGAAATGCGGTATGCCTATAATATATTATGTCGTTACCAGTTCCTAAGAGTTTTTGACATATATATCTTGCAATTTATTCAAATTACTGGATATATACAGAAAATTCTTATCGTAACCACTAACCAGACAATTATTAAGACTGTATATAAGTCACAAGTTTTCCAGATTTTTGGATCCACATAAAATAATACAAGCTGTTGTAACAACATTTTGTCAAGCTACAAATGGATATCAGTTTTCAATCAATGACAGTTAGTCATATTTTGTTAAGCTGCACAGTCATTTAATCTTGAATTGAATTTTTTATCCTTCTCTACTTAATTAGTCCGGTAAATAAAATAAATTTATCCATATGAATCATATGATCATACAATAAATACATTGAAAAATAAATATCCTCCACAGAGCACTTTGCACTGTATTTTATAATGAAAGTCAACCAACCTGATGATATTTTTCTGCAGAACTGGTTGAGTGAAATAAACTAAATGTTGTAGTATGCCCCATAGTGATATTGGCAACGACAACAAAGCGAAGATGCCTCCCACAAACCATCCCTTTACGTGATCGGGTGTATCTTTTCTATACAGCTTCACTATTAGCAATGGGAGGGCTATTACTAAAATACATATATACACAAGTATCACTAGAGGTCGAATCCATTTTCGCCATCTATGCAAACAATTCATATTCGATGTTTTATAGAAAGATATTCAATGACAGCTAATTTTTTTTGTTTTTATTAGCAGCCGACATTTTGTCTATCATGTGACCCAGTGCATGCGTATTTGTTACCAATTCATAAACTTCCGGTTTGAGTCATTCCCACAAGTTTTCGGAATGTTTTGCTAATATTTGTTCTTATTCCGTCATAATTCACGTGTCACTTAGTAGACTGTATCAGAACATCGGATAAAAGACTCAGGTAATTATAAGAATTGTAATTTAATAAGATAGCCAAGTATTATCTCGTGATATTAATAAGGCCAGCCATGGACCTTAGCCTACTGCCTATCCTCAATCCTGATTCCAATTCGGCAACTCACCAACTGAAACTGAAACTGAAACCACATTGACCGACATAACAAATTTTCAGTTTCGTTCATGTTATATTATTGTAATTTGTGTCGTCCATTTAGAATTTGGGTTTGTTTATATTACACACTTTTGGTCAGTGATGATTGTGAATCCGTTCAGAATTCAATTACTAATGTCTTATCGAAACCGCTGTCAAGTCAATAGATATATGGCCTGGTTTACTACCAAACTTTTATTTGGGTAATTCAACTGGGTGATTGTAATGTTGATTGATTTATTTATTGATAATCACCAGACTTCTTTTGATGATTGTTTTTTCAGTAAAGGTACAATCTGATTACAATACAGATCTACATTTCGTTTCTTTTTTGTATTCTTACGATGGCCTACACCACATGAAGATCTGACTGGTTGTACTGGAAGGTCATGTCAGGGGTTTTTAAACCTATGACGTCAGATGTTTCTAATGGTTTACCCACAGTTCCGTGCATCAAACGCCAAGAACTCGCCGTAACAGACCGTTTCATTGGCTAATCCCTCACTTCAACCTGAATGCTTGTCAACTCTTCAGATCCTAGTGTGGTAAAAACAAGTAAAACGAAATTTTGAACTATAAAAAATGAAATAAAACAGGATCTGTGTTTTATTCAGTTTGGTACCAGTAGGTACAATGTAGGTCATCATGGCCATTGAAATGTAAATTCTGTTGATTGTGCCTGCCGTCTTTGGGGTTGTTGGACAACAATTTTTCAAGAATAGTCCTGAGCTACAGTGTATATAAATATTGATAAGCATTCTGACCAAACTTTTGTGGTTTTCTTTAGCTTTTTATTACCCCCTGTTAAAATACATATATTACAAATATCTGAAAGAATATTTTTAGCTTTTTTATAACAAGTTTTATTTGGAGGTTCAAGTTACAAATATATAAAAAAATCAAATTACGTTTTGTTCATGAAGGTGCAGAAACAGTTCTAAGCAAAATTATGGATCATAACCTATAAATTACCATTTTCAATTTCAAGCTGGTTAGCTAGTGTAACCAATTTTAAGGCTACCATATCAGACATTTATTTGATAGTCATACCTTGCATATTTGGTACCATATAGCACCATATTTATAAAACTAAATATTACTATAAGAAAGCTTCCAAGGGCCGAAATTAAGACATCAACTACAACGGAAAAGATATCATGCTTCTCATAAACAAGTTTGACCTCGAAATATCAATAAGATAAATTAAAAATGTTAAATACCAGTACGGTAAGTCTGAGAAACAAGTTCTCAAGGGCTAGGTTATAGAATCAGTCAGCCAATGAGATTAACTGTATCTTTTCTACGTACAGAAAACATCTTGGCCTACGTTATTTACTACTTAAGTCAAAGCATACAGTTATTAAAATATATATTTACCACAATGTTGATTTATTTTTTTACATCAGAGATACAGAGATGGAATGCATGGAGAGAGAAGACAGATCACATGAAAATGGGGGACAAGTCCGACCACCTAGACCTCCACCACCAGTTGTAAGCACAGATGTCAACAGCTATAAATATCTTCAAAGAATGCACGATAAAGCTTTTCATTTTTCTAGTCAGGGTCTGTCAGCGGAGGAGACTGGGAATTCAGAAATAGCTCTTACATCTTATAAAGAGGCCATAGAATTGATGACTAAAGTTTTAGAAATGGACAGTGAAAACTTAACTAATGCCACCTCAGATGAAAAGGATAAAGCAAAACTTTTACAACAAAAAGTCACCAAAACTAAAATGCAGATCGAGTATCGAATTCAAGAATTAGAAAGAGAGCTTGCTCCACAAGCAAGTCAGGATTATTTAATGCAAGTAGATTCCCCGCCATCATATGACGAAGCCATGTCAAGCGGAAGTGCCTGGACGTCATTGGGTGATAGTATTATGTCCGATGAACAAAGAAACACTGATGTTATGGCTAATGCAGAACAGTTGTTTACCATTGAAGAAGGGGTGCAGATGTTTTTTATAACACCGGAAGGTTACGTCAGTGCTCCATCTTATCCTGCCAGAATGAGGCTATGTAGATTTTCAGATGATGGTTTACAATCGGCGGGTGCTACTAACGCCCCCTCACCACCAGCTTTCTTACAGGTATACTATAAATAATAGTGGAGGAAATTGTCATAAAATAAAATATTCCAGCCTAATTTATTCACTTTAGGGGTTTGGGTTTGGAATCCTGGAGAGGGCTGTAAAGAACCTTCGAAATTTTTAAAACCCCACCCAGTTCTCACTTGTTAGGGAAGAGCCTACAGAGCTAACACAGAAAGGATGTCTATTCATTTGGATAGGACAAACAAAACAAGGCCCACTTATACATTTGTGTGCACATAACAGTGCCATTAGTAGACTGGAATCTGACCAAGAGTTGGTGCAAACCAGCTGCCTATGTAAAATTCTTCTCACATTGCTCTAGTAAGATTGAAATTAATATTATATCATTTGTTAGTTTCAAAATATTTTATTCAAGGGTTGCTAAACTCTACTCCATTTACAGATATAACTATTATATAATTCAGCATCCGAGGTAGAATTTCTAGTCAAGTATTTCCATCTGACATCTGAGCATGGTACTAAGATATACATGTAGAGCTCTGAATTACTGAAATATTTTTTAGATAAGAGATTTCTCTTTTCAAATTTATATATAATTTATGTAATATGAATATGATCTTCAAATTTTTATCCTCAGATTGGTGACTGGGTATATCCATTAATACCAGGAATGTCTCCAGCGTTACAGACTAGTTATGGTGGTTATATATTCCCTGATACTCTGTCACAAATTCCAGGTAAGCCTTTACCTTTATTACCTGATACACTGTCACAAATTCCAGGTAAGCCTTTACCTTTATTACTTGATACACTGTCACAAGTTCAAGGTAAGCCTTTACCTTTATTACCTAATACACTATCCAGGTTAAGTCTTTACCTTAATTACCTGATAAACTGTCTCAAGTTCCAGGTCAACCTTTACTTTACCTGATACACTGTCATAAGTTCCATTAATCTTTTACCTTAATTACCTGATACACTGTCACAAGTTCTAGGTAAACCTTTACCATACCACCATAACCACCTGTTTGTTGGGAGAATGAAAGCCTGTCATTTTTGTCAGGAACAGACTAACCAGGAGGTCCAGTTTTCGATCCCTGTGTTGGCCGAGAAAGTTTATCAGGATTTTCCGACGTGATTTTCCCTTGTCAGTGGTGCAAGACAGAGGGCCTGGCAAGGGAGAAAAAACCAAGGTCCTGTGTACAGAGGCAGTTAGAATTCAACATAAGAGTAGACTGTAGCGCCACTGTCCGGACTTAATTTCCCTCATAGCAGTCGGAACAGAACAGTCAGGTGTTAAACCACCATTTCACTTCATTTAAAGTCTATAATTTATTATTACAGGGGCATCAGTTGGATTGATGTTACCAGAAACCGTTTCCGACGATGAACGACAAACATTTGAACAACTTTTATCATCGTTAACTGTAATGAGGGAACAAGTTAATACGATACAACCAGCTGATATTACGCTACCATCTGCTCCTATTGAACAACATTATCCACCACAGGTGGTGCCTCAAATACCTCCACCTCAACCAACTGCTGTAGAAGAACGAGAAAGTACTGCTGGACAGAAAGTTGATACTTCAACTAAAATATCAAAAGGAATATCCGTTGGTAATTTTCTTTTGCTTTACTCGTATCCTCCATGAAATATATTTATTTATATCTGTCAAAGTTTCTAAAGGGAGATGATAACAATTTGCTTTTTTTGTTTCACAGAATTTTGCTGGATAATCATACCTTCTTATAAATAACATGAGATAAATACATTGCCTTGAAATGTGATGTTTGTGAGATGTCATTTAGCCCAGTTGTGATAGAGAGAAATGGGGTTTAACGTCCACTCGACACAAACTAGGTCATTTCGGGACTAACATGGTTTAAATTTATTTCAATAATTTGCTTGCGCGTAGGGGTCTTTAGCAGTGGGAGGAAACCGGAGGATCCGGAGAAAACCCACGAGGTTGGACAGGCGACCCTACTCCTTGTCACGTACAACCGTGGATTCGAAACCATGCCAGTTGACTCAATGACAGGTCGTATGATATAGCTCGCACATGCTAACCATTCGACCATCAAACCCCTCCTCCGTTGTGATCCCTTGACAAAATAAAAACCTCTCTCCCGTGTCCAATATTTTGGAAAGTTTGTCTGAGAACCAGAACATATTTTTGTACGTGTATGGCCTTATGAACCAATAATTTTCTTTTGTTTAGCTGCTGACTGGATAACTTGGGGATTAGGAAAGGGAGCTGAAAAAACAGGAGATCTGATCAAGTTTGGTTCACAGCGTCTACAACAACGAATAAACCCTGTCAGTAACCCTAAACCAATACCTCCTAGAGTACAGACGGGTGTGACGTATGCTAGAAAAGCCTCACATGCAGCTGTCACTGTCAGTTCTTTTCTTGGTGAGTTTATAAATGGGTAATACTTGACAACTATAAATATTGTAGTATCAGTTGAACTTGAATATACTGTTGGCAGTGGCATGAGAATGTTTTTCAGTCCATTGTACCCGAAATCTGTCAAATTCATAGACTAATTAATAGTACAGTAGATGTGTCAATAGGCTTTGAAAGATTCTACTCAGTACTTATATTTGACTAGCTTTTTTATATCATCTACAGATACCAAATATTGTGAAATGTTCAATTCATCTTATCTTTTCGTAATTACTGAATAGAACTGAACCAGTTTTTCGGACTGATATTTATTTTAGAGATGCTACGACAATATAATAAGTGTCGATTAATGCCATACAGATGTTCACATTATTGTTGTTATTATAATATTGGAGTTTGCAAAAGGGTTCAGAATCACTTAAATAACAAATGAAATGGACCATTCTTGATCTGATATTCCCTTTTAGTGATTCACTCTTCACTATTAAAATTATTGTAGATTGAACTTGCCCTCAAATGATGATTATCAGCTTTAAAGATGCACTATGTACGATTTAGATAAAGAGTTGGACGTTATTATATATGTGCTGTTATAGTTCAAAAATAGATAATGAAAAATAATTATATTGAAATTTTCAGTCAAACTGCTTGTTTCTGAACAAAGTTATTAGACTTTGAAGTGTTCACAATATAGTCTTGATTGTCAAGTACCATTGGTATGGTAATAAACAAAGTTTTGATTATCCAGAATGAAACTAAATTATTAAATGGAAATCATGTTTCAATCCATTGAAAACCGCAACCATCTGAATGTCTTGAGAGTTGATTATGGGATTGTCATGTGAATAAGTATTTAGATAATAACTTCAGTAACATTTGAGGCCAAAAGAAAGATCTGCAATAGTAGATTTAGCTCTTATATAATGCATCTTTAACTAGCTCAACATTTTTATACCAAAACATTTGACAGAACAACGTTTTGGTTTGTTTTTTTCAGTGACCAAACTTGGTGATGCAACTGTTAAACTAGGACGCCATCTTGCTCCTCACGTTAAGAAACAAGGTGCAAGGTTTCTTCCGAAATCCTTGAGTCAAGAAGGTTCAGATGGCAAATCAAAGATGAGTGGAGTCATTGAAGTGGCTGCTTCTGGTATAAAAGGTAATATTTTTGTTTTAGAGGATCTTGTCGAAAAATATAAATGGACCAGTTGGGTTGTGTATTTGGATTACTGCATCCACAATTTTCATGAGATGGAATGAAACGAGGTTTAACGTCCAAATTCTCTGCTCCATTTGAGCTACTGAAAACAGGTATATGCCATGCAGTGTGCTATCTGGGATGTTTTTCCCAGACAAAAATGAAATTGATTGCACAAGGGTATAAGTTGCATTCATTTTGTTTTGTGTGCTAAATAAATCATAGTTGTTCGTCCCCACTGGTAATTTTATCAAGCCCTGATATTGTTGGCTATGTGAACTTCAGATAGGATATATCAAATTTTACTGATGATGTATATTTTTAAATAAATATTGGGATTTGGTTGTTGGGTAGACTAGAACTACTAGAAGGATTTTGGGTTTGATTCTAGATTTGTACATGACAAAGTGATTCACAGGTTTCCTACAATTTCATATCCCTTCTGGAGACTGTGTGCAAGCAAATTATTAAAATAGAAATATAAAATATGCTGTTTAGTGGTCCTATCGTCTTAACAGGCGTGATTTAGATCATAAGGCCAAACATTGAGTCAAGTGGCATGGTTTCAATCCCACAAGAAGTGGGGTTTCCTGCCTAACCTCATGAGCTTTCTCCAGGGCCTCTTGTTTTTCCCCAGTGTCAAAACTGCTACGTGCAGGCAGGGGGTTGGATGGCTGAATGGTTAGCGTGTGCGCGCTGTATCATAAAGTCTGTCATTGAGTCAACTGGCTTGGTTTTGATTCCCGGGTTGTACGTAACAAGGAGTAGGGTCACTTGTCCGACCTCGTGGGTTTTCTCCGGGTCCTCTGGTTTCCTCCCACTGCTAAAGACCCCTACGCACAAGCGAATTATTGAAATAAAATTAAACCATATGTTAGTCCCGAAATGACCTAGTTTGTGTCAAGTTTTCTCTTTCTCGCTACGTGCAGGCAAATTTTGAAATAAAATTGTAACATGTTAGTCTCAAAATAACCTATTACCACTTCGTATCTGTAGCCAACATAATGTTTGCAAAAGTGTGTATTCCATGTTTTGGATATACTCTTTCTAGAGAACTGGATACCACTTAACCTCTGTAGTAGCTAACATGTTTTTAAAAAATTAACACTTCAGGTTTTGGAACAGTCTATATGGGATTAGAGAGTGCAGCTAAAGCTTTAGCGAAAAGTTTAGCCAATGAAACAGTTGTAGTAGTTCAGCACAGGTTAGTTTTACTTCTTTACTCAAAGTTGAACGAAAGGGAGGTAACTGTGAATCTTGACCCTCGGATCATATTATCTCCCCTTAGACCACAGTTTGGAGTTTTGTTTTAAAAATGTGCAGAATATTGACGAGTCATCTTGATTTGCTTTTACTTTAATCTGAATAAAACATGGACCCTATATTTTTATCTCCTTTTTTATAGTAGAAATATTTTATTTGTCTTCATGACTCTAAGATCTGGGAGATTTTTTTAAAAAAAACTGTTTTGATTGAAATGGACTGGTTAGTTAAGCTTTGCATAAATTTTGCACATAATCATGGGAGTGGCTTCTCATTAAGCAGTTCAGAACTAAAACAGAAGTTAAATATAGGTCGTTCAGTCACACCTCAACAGTATTACCCAATGCGTTACCTTCTACATAGACGAATCAGATCTATATCAAGTGTAAAAAAAAAGGAAACGAAACGTAGATCTGTATTATAATCTGATTATTGATGTTATTAATACATGGTCGGCACATACCTACCATGACATTATCATAGTCATTTTGGAACTGTGATGTCGAGCGTTTGTCCCAGAAATAAGCATTAAGTTTTGCGTTGATAGTATTCAAATTGACAGAGCTTTAAGCAGTGGACACATTAGCCGAATCATTCGGCCGAATCAATCGGCGCCGAATTTTATTCGGCCGAATGGGTGGACACACTAGCCGAATGCTTCTCCCGATTCAACCTGCCGATTGCATCACCTTTCACGTCACATGATTAAACATGGCGGCGTCTGTGTCTTCAATCTATCACGTGACTTCTCGATATGAGTGGTGATTGGCTAATGAATTCTATATTCGGCCGAATGCTTCGGCGAAGCGGACACACCAGGCGAATATAATTCGGCCAAATATATCAAACCTGTTTGATTCGGGCGAATCATTCGACCGAATAGAAATTCGGCCGAATGACAGTGGACACACTAGGCGAATTTCGACGCCGATTGATTCGGCCTGTGTGTCCACCGCTTTAGTCTTAATATGAAGACTGTCGCCACATGTCAAGTACAAACAACAGTAGTAGAACCTGGCCCTGGTTTCACAAAACATTCTCAGACTGAAGTTAAGAATTTTCTCAAAATTGTTTGCCTTATTTAACTAAAAAATAGCCCTTTATATTATAAGACCTTTTTTGTTTTAATGTATCAAATACACCAGTAAATTCTTAAATATACATTATGCAAGAGCTAAATCTGCCTATTGCAGGTCTTTCTCTCGGCCTGAAATGTTATCTAAATTATGAATTCGACATTAAATAACTTATCCAGACCATAATCAACTCTCAATGTCATCGCTAACCTGTGATATTTACAGGATTAGGATCCGATCTGCTGCTCTACGCTCATTCATGATTAAATCAAGAAATGGATAATCGAGACTATGTATTTTATGATGATTGAGGCTAGGCTCAAAATTCAATTGCTAAATTCTCGGTTCAGAATGGATCAATGTGACTGAAATATTCAGCAAATTGCCTTTACATTATCTAGTTTTTATACGCCCACATTGAAATGTGGTCGTATATTGTCGTCACCCCCTCCGTCCGTCGGTCCAGCGTCCACAATTGCTTGTGGACGCTCTAGAGGCCAAAGTTAATATCTGATTGACTTTAAATTTATACATACATGTAGTGTTTAAGGTCTTGAGACGAAGAAGCCATTTGATTTTCAGCGATTTCCGATAATTATTGCCAGTGTTACAGCCCTTGATCACTTTGAAAAATCTTGTAGACGCTCTAGACGCCAAAGTTAATATCCGATTGACCTAAAAATTTATACACAGTGTTTTAGTTCATGAGACGAAGAAGCCTATTGATTTTCAGCGATTTCCGATAATTACTGCCAGAGTTATGGCCCTTGATCACTTCAAAAAATCTTGTGGACGCTCTAAAGGCCAAAGTTAATATCCGATTGACTTTAAATTTATACACAGTGTTTAAGGTCATGAGACGAAGAAGCCTATTTATTTTCAGCGATTTCCGATTATTACTGCCAGAGTTATGGCCCTTGATCACTTTGAAAAATCTTGTAGACGCTCTAGAGGCCAAAGTTAATATCCGACTGACTTTAAATTTATACACAGTGTTTAAGGTCATGAGACGAAGAAGCCTATTTATTTTCAGCGATTTCCGATTATTACTGCCAGAGTTATGGCCCTTGATCACTTTGAAAAATCTTGTAGACGCTCTAGAGGCCTAAGTTAATATCTGATTGACTTTAAATTTTACACAGTGTTTAAGGTCATGAGACGAAGAAGCCTATTTATTTTCAGCGATTTCCGATAATTTCTGTCAGAGTTATGGCCCAAATCTTGTGGACGCTCTATAGGCCGAAGTTAATATCCGGTTGACTTTAAATTTATACACAGTGTTTAAGGTCATGAGACGAAGAATCCTACTGATTTTCAATGATTTCCAATAATTACTGCCAGAGTTATGGCCCTTGATCACTTGAAAAAATCTTGTGGACGCTCTAAAGGCCAAAGTTAATATCCGATTGACTTTAAATTTATACACAGTGTTTAAGGTCATGAGACAAAGAATCCTATTGATTTTCAATGATGATAATTACTGCCAAAGTTATGGCCCTTGATCACTTTGTGACGCTCTAAAGGCTAAAGTTATCATCCGATTGACTTCAGATTGATACACAAGAGTTAAAGATCTTGAGACGAACAAGTATATTGATTTTCAATGGATTTTTATGTCTTGAACAGCTAAATCCATGATATTAAAAGTTTTGTATACAAAACATTAGCATGGGGCAAAACTTTATACAAACAAACAAATTCTAATGGTTTTCTGATAATTACTTCATGAGTTGTTGCTCTTAATTAGATTTTAGTGTATTATAAATGTTTCATTACCGAAAAAAGTAAAAATATGCAACAACTCTTGTTGACTGCCTGGACGATTTAGCTGTTGTGGGCGTATGTTTTGTTGCCTGGCAACCTATCTTTAACTATTGTAGTGAGAACTGCCAGATCATTATCTAATCTCACATAATGTATCTTTAACTTAAGTCTGAAAATGCTTTGTAAACCGTCCCATACTAGAATTGTTTTAATCTTCAATGATTGCATATTTAATGCTTTTTGTTTGTTTATTTTTAGATATGGACGGGAAGCAGGAGCAGTGACGGATAATACCTTATATAGTATTGGTAATCTTGGTATGACAGCCTTTAATGTTGATAATCTTGGTGTCAAGGCCATGGCTAAACGTGCAGCGAAGGAGACTGGAAAAGCAGTGATAAAAGATTATGCAGACGAACATAGCCGGAGAGCTCAACAGAATCAAAATGGACCTTTACAATATCCAAACCCTGCATCCAATTCTACAACAGACAATTCCAATTGTTATCCTAAACTACCAGAAAATAAACAATAAATGAAAGACTGAGTGACGGGAATATATTGTGTTATCTGTGATTGATATTTGCCCTGGTTTTCACTAAAAAATGGGACACACCAACTGGTTTATGTCTTAAAAAGGTTGGGGCTCAGTCTTTTTTCGGACAATAACTAATTTCTAGCGACTTAATCCATATATATATTGTAGATATGTTATAATTGTTTTAATCCACGATTCAGGAAAACAGCATAGTTAATAATAGACAAAGCAACTCAAATAATCAGAATTATTACGTCAATTGAACATTAGTGGTATATCTTATTTCAGGATAAAAATAACTAATATAACAAATCGATCAAGTGTCACATCTAACTTCAAATGTATGTTTTTATATGAATGTTTAAATTAAGTGTAGTTATTAGACCAATAGAATGTTAGCGGTATATAGAGAATCTCCTACTCATCTTTTTTTAAATCAAAAAAGACGAGTAGTAGATTATATTTACCACCCAACCTTTTCTTATGCGCACAGATAAGTAATAAATTCTTTGGTATAAATTTAATTTTACTGAACCTGATTACATTACGGAGTAGTGATACATCATTTTTTGACAGCAAGTCACCCGTTGCAAAGTCGTATATATTGACCCAGTGTTTCCTTTAAAGTTATGGGGAGTATTGTAATTGTTTATGGTAATGGAGAACTTTTCTCCAACAATATTACTAGATCCAAAAAGTAGTTCCTTTTTCATAAAAAAAAGTAGTTCCTTTTTAATTGACCAATCAAATTCGGGTATCCCTTAGTAGATTATGAAAAGTTATCACACAAGCGATATTTACTGTAGAATGTGTTATTGGATGATAAATCATATTTCAGAGTACAAATTGTGGATTTGTTTTCAAACGACTCAGCTGCTAGTCAGGGAAATTGGTAATATGACCTCGAGTCAGACAGCCTGGGTTGACTGTTAATTCCCCTTAGATGACAGACATAACGTCTAAAGCCTAATATTTTCCTATCTCTGTTAAAGAGTTCAGTGAATTATTCTGGTTCTCAAATACTCCTGTGTCACTTAAAAAGTGACGCATGACCTGTTTTTATTTTAAAAAAATCAACAAAAAAAATCTCATTTACTACCTCATGTAAATATTTCCACCACAGGTTACAGAAATTTTGGAATGAAACCGGTATACCAAGTTTAGTTATGAAGTATGCAACCCTAATAAATCTTACCGGCAATCATGAATGAAACTGTATAATCACACATTCTTATAAACAACATGAGATAAATACAGTGCCTTGAAATGTGATATTTATGAGAAGTCATTAAGCCAAGTAGTTATCTTTTGGCAAAATAAAAACCTTCCTCATGCATCAGATTTTTTGGAAGGATTGTCTGAGAACCAGTTTACCCATGGCTTTACTAAATATCTTTAAATAAGTTCTATGTCCATTGTTTATTTATTTGTTGCCGTTTATGTTGAATCTTTGTTTGTTTTTGTTATACTATACATGATGTAATTCAATTTCTGTGATTTCAGTAAAAAATCAAAACTGCTATTTTAGATTTATATCGGCCTACTGGTAAGAATCATAGATATCATGAGCCCACAACTGTTGTTGCTTTATACTATAGAGATGTTTATGAGGTTTTTTTTAAATTATTTAATGATTTTCAATCATGCACAAAGCTATTTATTTAATGTTTTCCCATAATATATACCCTCTACCAGGGTGACATTGAACAATTTATTTAATTGTACGTTGTTTCATAATATAATATTGTTGATTATTGAAATAAATGGCTATGAAACTTTGGAATTTTTTTTTCCCCATCTATATTATCCACACAACCATATATTAAAGCATTAAAGAGAGAGAAATGGGGTTTAACGTCCACTAAACACAAACTAGGTAATTTCTGGACTAACAGGATTCAATTTTATTTCAATAATTCGTTTGCATGTAGGGGTGTTTAGCAGAGTGTGTAAACCAGAGGACCTGGAGAAAACCCATGAGGTTGTACAGACGTTAAACTATTCAGCCACTCAACCTCCTCCATTAAAGAGGCTTACGTCTTACTTTTCTGCACCAACTGGGCTAATGAAGACTGGCATATGCCATTCAGTGTGCTATGAGTGTCGTGTTTCCACCTACTCTACATCAATTTCCAACCTATAGATTAGATACTTTCTTGCCAGATTATACAACAGATGTCCTACTCAGAAGATCTGGGCCAATGCTTACAAAAAAGTTTTAATTCAACCACATCATGTAGGCTCAAGTGAGGTGGGTCCGGATACTACCCTGCTTGTACAGAGCATAATTCTTCCTACAACATTCAACGAAATAACGTCAAAAGCATTTCCATCGTTTTGGTCTAGCACCACCCTAATCCTCCGTGTGTATGCATCTAAAATTCTCAGGTAATACCGTAGACCTCACGCCAAATTTGACAATCTCAAATTAAAACAACTCTAGTTCTTAAACTGTAGTCAAGCACACTAATATTAAACCCAACAAGTTCGAGCAACCTTGGTAATTAAGTTCCTGGTTGCCAATACATTTATTTTGCTTTCATGCACTTGGAACTCTTTAGCTTATATATAACACTGCCAGGATGTCCTGCATTCACATAATTCAGGTCCTCTACATGTTTAATATACTTAATATTACAGAAACTAAACTTTGTGCCATACTCCCACAATCTGATTTAAAGACGGACCCTAATGTGATTAGTATTTTTTTTATTTTTCAAAATATCGTTTTATTCATCTTTACTATACTAGGATGCGAGGGGTTAGCCAATGAAACCGTCTGTTACGGTGAGGTGCACAGAACTGTGGGTAACCCACTAAAAGCATCTGAAGTCAGATCTTTATGTAATGTAGGTCATCGAAAGTCAAAATATTGATCCGTATTTTAATCCGATTGATACAACACCAGAAATGAAATTTTAATAGACTACTTTTCTGCACCAACAATACAGCATATGCCATGTAGTCTGCTGAGAGAGGATATTTGCTTGGATTACTCTTATTTCGTATTCAGCTAGGGAATTTTTTTTAGGTACATTACACTCAGGACTTTCGTTTTTGTCCCATCCAAACGACTCTTTGACATCCTGTGCAACAGGCCTATGGTGAAACCACACTGGAAATTCACAGGGCCTTTTCCTGGTAAATACTGGGATTGAAACATCAGTTTCTGTTTGGTGAGTCATCATCTTACTAGGCTATCTCACTCCATTAGACACCAGCCAACTCCCACAACTTAATATGGGTGCTACATACATGTAGCAGTCTATAAACTAAGTGACCTGCAGTTAAATTTAGGCCTACATGCATAAGTGGAATAAAATATTAAAACAGAATTTATCTGACAATTCTTTATTTGGTCTCAATAAAATTAAGATATAATTTATTAACTTACATAGTTGCAGGTTTTCTGGTAAAAGCAGAATTTTGAAATTTTGAATATTTTTATTTACTTGGAATGGTTCTGGTAATATATCATTAAGATATAATTTATTAACTTAAATAGTTTCAGGTTTTTTGGTAAAAGCATAATTTTGAAATTTGGAATATTACATGTCTTTATTTAATGATAGGGAAAAATTTGCAAATGGAAAAATTTGAATAAAATACACATTGGAACAGTTACATTTTGTCGAAATTATGTTTAGTTTCCACCTCTCAATCTCAAGACAAGATGGAGAGTCGACTCTTTCTGGATGTTGTAGTCGGAAAGAGTTCTTCCATCTTCAAGCTGTTTTCCGGCAAAGATAAGACGTTGTTGATCTGGGGGGATACCTTCCTTGTCTTGGATCTTGGCCTTAACGTTCTCAATGGTATCAGCTGGTTCTACCTCCAAGGTAATGGTCTTTCCTGTGAGGGTTTTTACGAAGATCTGCATGCCTCCTCTCAATCTCAGGACAAGATGGAGTGTGGATTCCTTCTGGATGTTGTAGTCGGAAAGAGTTCTTCCATCTTCAAGCTGTTTTCCGGCAAAGATAAGACGTTGCTGATCTGGGGGGATACCTTCCTTGTCTTGGATCTTGGCTTTAACATTCTCGATGGTATCTGCAGGTTCAACCTCTAAAGTGATGGTTTTACCAGTGAGGGTTTTTACAAAGATCTGCATACCTCCTCTCAATCTCAGGACAAGATGGAGTGTGGATTCCTTCTGGATGTTGTAGTCGGAAAGAGTTCTTCCATCTTCAAGCTGTTTTCCGGCAAAGATAAGACGTTGCTGATCTGGGGGGATACCTTCCTTGTCTTGGATCTTGGCCTTAACGTTCTCAATGGTATCAGCTGGTTCTACCTCCAAGGTAATGGTCTTTCCTGTCAGGGTTTTTACAAAGATCTGCATACCTCCTCTCAATCTCAGGACAAGATGGAGTGTGGATTCCTTCTGGATGTTGTAGTCGGAAAGAGTTCTTCCATCTTCAAGCTGTTTTCCGGCAAAGATAAGACGTTGCTGATCTGGGGGGATACCTTCCTTGTCTTGGATCTTGGCCTTAACGTTCTCAATGGTATCAGCTGGTTCTACCTCCAAGGTAATGGTCTTTCCTGTGAGGGTTTTTACGAAGATCTGCATACCTCCTCTCAATCTCAGGACAAGATGGAGTGTGGATTCCTTCTGGATGTTGTAGTCGGAAAGAGTTCTTCCATCTTCAAGCTGTTTTCCGGCAAAGATAAGACGTTGCTGATCTGGGGGGATACCTTCCTTGTCTTGGATCTTGGCCTTAACGTTCTCAATGGTATCAGCTGGTTCTACCTCCAAGGTAATGGTCTTTCCTGTGAGGGTTTTTACAAAGATCTGCATACCTCCTCTCAATCTCAGGACAAGATGGAGTGTGGATTCCTTCTGGATGTTGTAGTCAGAAAGAGTTCTTCCATCTTCAAGCTGTTTTCCGGCAAAGATAAGACGTTGCTGATCTGGGGGGATACCTTCCTTGTCTTGGATCTTGGCTTTAACATTCTCGATGGTATCTGCAGGTTCAACCTCTAAAGTGATGGTTTTACCAGTGAGGGTTTTTACAAAGATCTGCATGATGATCTGTAAAAGAAAACGGTAAAATTCTAATAATTCCGTTAATTATTTGTCTGTTTTGAGCCTTGTGATAAATAGCCTACCCAGAACTTGAAAATTGAACTCGGTTGGGTTGTGGAACAATTTGACTTAAAAGTAACCGTCCTAGATAGACTCCTATTAGTATTTCAATATTTGCGCCTTCCATTCCTTCCAAGAATTTCTTCGCGCCTACTACACTAAGGGTTGTTGAAGACTGACTTTCTAATTCTATACCCAATAAACGCCAAAAATACCGAATTATAAAACGAAATAAGTGTTAGATGTAATTTTTATTCTTAGAAACAAACTTGTAGACAAGGTGAAACTGAAACAAATTTGATTCAGATCAAAATTTTCAAGATGGCGTCAAAATTATGACCAGATGACGCCATTTCGTCTGCTAAATTTGAATTTTGGATCCTTTTCCTTCCCTTTCCAGATATAAAATATAATTGAGAAATGAATACATAATTTGATATTCGATAACTCTTTCAATCGGAATTAGGGCCTATTACACAAAAAAAATTTTCAACAAACTTACCAATAAATTCGACAAAATATAATTGGTGTGTTCTTCTGCACTGTACAAAACCTCCGAATAAAACAGATTCGAGGCGCAGAGGCTTTTATACGTGGGCATGACGTCACGTACTATTTTTACTCTTTTGATTATCCAGACTGATTTAACAAACTGACTGATAGAGGAGAAAACCCACACCTGTTATTCAAGACAAAAGGGTCAAGGGTTACTGGGGTTTGGTTTATTGATCAATAACAATGTCATGTGATATACATATGACATACTGAAGCAATCTATTGAACTTTCTCATTATAATGTTGCCATGACAATTAATAAGTTTAGATAATCATGGAACTGTTTAGGTGATACGTGTTTAGTGCATGTATAGAGGACTATTCAATTCGGTTTTACATGTAATTTGTCAGTTTATCACGCCATTTGGCATTTACATGTATACATAATCATGACATCAGCAAAGTGAAATTATGAAATACATTGACCTACTGTGACTCAGTTACGTATGTTGATAAATAAATATTGCATCCGCAAGCTAGAAAATGAAACGACATTTTAAAACCTTTTCTTTTATTTCTGGTGACTCAGTTACGTATGTTGATAAATAAATATTGCATCCAAGCTAGAAAATGAAACGACATTTTAAAACCTTTTCTTTTATTTCTGACTTGGTGATTATTATTAAACGTGACACTCGATTATAAATTATGCCAGAATGTGACTACTTTCCCTAGCCTTAATAAAAGGAACTAAATTGTTAATATTTGGGACCTAGAAATTGACATAAATGGGTTGAAACGCATATATAATAATGTAATAGGAATGTATATAAACTGATTTACGTTCAATCGTTTCTGGTTTTACTCTAATTTCAAATCAGTTATGTTCGGCGTAATATGCGAGAAGTCTCAAGCAAATGGCAATCTGTAGCGTCTGGTTATTCGGGCCGGGGTTATCCTGTTTACACCAGTAATATTTATTGCGCATGCTCTCCAGATAAGAATATGGCGTCACCATTTGACATGACTTATGGAATATGTCTAGCCATGTTCTTCGAGTCCCTTGTTACAAATGGGCAATAGCGCTGAAACGCATTCTGGTACACGATTTGTGTACCAGTGATAAAATGTATATTTTGTCTTAAATATTGGATATCAGAAGCCCATCTTTTCCCGGTAAGATCACAACATCAATCTTGATTTAAATTGACAAATAATTCATGTTTTCAATGTCGAAGACTGTGGATGATATCGAGTTAAAGAATTAGCTGCTTTCAGCTAGCTTGTAACTATTTTGAGGAAAGGGCCTAGGAGATTTGAAACAATATTAAATCCCCAGGTTTTTATTGTGTCACATTCTGATCTTTATATATTGAATACATAGTTTTAACAGTTCATTCAATATTCTCCCGGTCAACACTGAGAAGTTTGATCATCACCGAGAAAGTTCATCAGGATTTTCCGGCATGGTTTCCCCCTTGTCACTGGTGCAGGAAACTGGGCCTGGCAAGAGACAACGTATAGTCATTAGGATGGGACAAAAAAACGAGGTCCCATGTACAAATAGCATGCACGTAAAAGAACCCTTGACATTTGGAAATTGAAATAAGAGTAAACCATATCGCTGCTGTCCAGGCAAAATGTCCCTCATAGCACACTGCCTGGTATTTGCCTGTCTTTATTATCCCAGTCAGTGCAGGAAATGAAGACGATAAACCTCATTTCGTATCATTTCCGTGAGTGAATGTACATTACACTTCCTTGTGCTCAAGTTTGATTGCCATTTGAGGATATATCCTTCCCCTGTTCATCTCAAATAACATATAGAGATGTTAATACATTTACAAGATATTTAAGGAAATGAAATGAAATGAAACAGGGTTTAACGTCCTACTGTTCTGCTCTGACTGGGCTAATGAAGACGGGCTTACAACATACAGTGTGATATGAGGGAAATTTTGCCCAGAGAACAGTGCTATGGCCTACTCTTACATCGAATTTCCAACTGCCAAGGGTTCTTTTACGTGCATGCCAATGTGTACACGGGACCTCAGTTTTTTGTCCCATCTTAACGACTATACGCTGTCCCTTGCCAGGCCCTCTGTCCTACATCACTGACAAGGAGGAACCACGCTGAAAAATCCTGGTGAACTTTCTTCAGCCAGTGCAGGGATCGAACATGGGACCTCAGGTTAGCGAGCCAACATCTTACTCACTTAGCCACGTGCGTGGCTTCTCAAGATATTTAAGGAGAGACACAGTCACTCTGTGAGTATGAGCTGGCTCACAAACCAGAAGGTCTCAGCTTCGATAGCAGTGTTGGTCGAGAATTTTCTTGAAGAGTTTCCAGCTTTCTTTCACCTTGTCAGTGGTGTAGGACGCAGGATGGGCGGGAGGGGGACTGTCAGTAGGATAGCGTCTAGTCAGAAAAGACATGGTCCCATTTGTACTGTGGCTTCCCAAGATATTTAAGGAGAGACAGTGTCACTTGGTGAGTATGAGCTGGCTCACAAACCAGAAGGTCCCAGCTTCGATCACAGTGTTGGCCGAGAATTTTCCTCAAGAGTTTCCAGCTTTCTTTCACCTTGTCAGTGGTGTAGGACGTGGGATGGGAGGGAGGGAGACTGTCAGTAGGAAAGCGTCTAGTCAGAAAAGACATGGTCCCATTTGTACTGTGACAGAGTAAGATCATCTGACAGTTGGAAATCAAAATGAGAGTGGGCCATAATGGCAAAATTTCACTTGTAGCACTTGGCATATATTTGCCTGTGTCCAGAAGTCTGGTTGGTGCCATTTCAATATACCATCTTATCAAGCCCTTCACGTAATACCCTGTATGTTTCATCAATAACTTTGATTGGCTACTGACCCAGCTGGGGACCTCTCATATTCCTTGATAGTAAATATCATCGCGAATACCAAGTCTCGCCCTTTCCATCTAAAATGTCTACCTGTGATAATTGAGTTGCAAAGTTCAAGGTCTCATTCAATGTTAAGGTTTCCGTGGAGGTCGCGATGTTTGATTCGAGTGTCTTTGTGCCACAGCCTCTGATTGGACAACTCTATTGTTCACGTACCTATAAGTTCGGGAATTTCTGACTAATCTAGCAAAAGCTAGATTTTGTAAACTCGTGCCAAATAGTAGGATGTTAAACCTAATTTCAATCAATTCATAGACAAAAGATATGGGTTCAACTGGCAAAGGCCTCCTCCACTATCCACACCCCTTCATATTTAAATTTAAAATTATTTTTGCAAACAATATGTTTTCATTTTGTTTATTTTTTTAAACATGCCCTTTAAACAAGTACAAAGTTTAAAACAACAATGCATGACACAATAAGAAGTGTGATAAATGACCTTCATATCACTGAGATATTACGTGTCAGTATTTACAAATGCAGGATTCAAATATTTCTTGTGACACTTTCACTTTAAACTTAACCATTAAACTATGATCGTCATTGAGGGATTCTTAATCCATTGCAAACTACAATATTGTGAAAGTTGAATCTCTAAAAGGAGCATCAGTTCAAAAATGGTTGCATTTCTGTCACTATTTACATGTAGGCCTGAAAAGATGTACAATAAATTGAATATTTCGCATCCACTTGACAAGCCAGTGCCATCTATAATTTTTGCTGAAATTGTTTGATCGGTCTATTTTTGATCAACTGAATCAAACTGGGAGATTATCCACCGTTAATATTTTTACTTCTTAATTAAATGTTAAATATCAATTTCGAGTGCAATTAGTATGGATTAAGCCCTGAAAAATTAGACATTGTCCAAAAAGTATAAATGAGGATCAGCAGCTTTATTTGATACATGCAAGGGCGTGTGCAGAAAAATGAGCAGAGGGTACCTGTTCTGGCATGACGGACAGCAGAGCTTTGAAGGGGATATGGGGTTCTCCCCCCAGACAAATTTGGAAGTTTGATGTCAATTTACTTGCATCTGAGGCCATTTCTGAAGGAAATTTACTCTTTTAAATGTATAGTGTCTCTCCTGTACTATAGGCTCCACATGAGCTGCCCCCCCCCACCACCTGGACACGCATCTGACATCTACCAGTATCCTGAAGGAATTCTATACGGCAATGACATTTTCATGTATAATATTGTCAACAAATGTTTAGAATGGAGCAGGTTTGGGTGTTTCTACTTTCAGAAATTTTGCAGTATTTGAGAAATATTTTTGGCTGGCTTCTTGAACTCTTTTTTCTGCAGCTTGTGGGTTAACTATCTCCAGGCCTTGTAATGGAGTGAAGGCCACACTGGATGCCGTACCTGCTACTTGTTTTTTAACAGTCGTACTGCCTCCCCAAGTAGTTTGATTTCCTTTATTGAGTTTCTGTTGTAAAGTTTTTGAAATTCTAGCCTTGGTTTTCGCATCTACGGGAGGTCCACGTATTTTACCAGAATTAGATTTGCCAAGCGAACCGAGAGAGAAACCAAGGTCTTCTTGATATGCATCATCTTCAATCTGTGCGAAATTCATTCGGTTTGTAGCTTTTCTCATTTCTGTTAATCCTAATCTTTCCTTCATTCTCCGAGCTCGTCTGCCTCCTCTTTTCTTTTTTGACTGTTCAATAGGAGCTGGCAAGGCTTTAATCGTTTTCACTGGAGGTGGTTCCTGGAGTTTATCTAACTTCTGTTCTATTTCTGCCCGTAAAGTGTCCCCGACTGTGCCGTCTGTGCTCTCGTGAAAACTGTCCACTCTTGCTGCCAACGTACATTTTGCTGCCACTAATCTTGTTGCTTTTTTTCTCAGGTCAGGAGGCGTTTTCTGTACAATGTCTGCGTAATACAAGAATCCTGTATGGGGTAAAATCGCTGTGGACGAAAAGCCAGACAGCGTTCTTTTCTGTGCGCCAAGTACCATGATATTGCAAGCAGGCATGGTGGCTAACTTGGTCAATCCTCCGGCCACCCCCATTAATTTAGCAGCAATAGATGCTCCCACTATGATAGATACGTTTGGTGCTATAAATGTCATTCGTGATTCAACATACTCGAATATGCGATGTTTGCACTCATTCAAATCAAGGGCCATATCACAAGCTTCTATGACAACATTTAAATCAGGTTCGGTTAGTTTTGAGCCTTGCGTCGTTGATGCCGTCACACTAACAACCATTATAGTAGCTGGCGTTAAAATTTCTTGCAAATTTTCATTGTTTTTAGATTTGTCCATGATGTTATTCCCCAATTCTTTTACTGTTGATATATATTCCAGTGCTGTTGGCACCAACGACTCTAATTCTGGGAATCGTTTCGAATAGGTATCTCGAACGAATTTGTGAATAACGTTTATTTCATTGTCTATTTCCACTGTCATATTGTTGGCGTCAACAATAAGTTTGTATTCAGGATCAGACTCCACTGGGCCACTTACAGAATCCCTTCTCTCCATTTTGGAATATTTTTCAATATTGACAACAATTTCTTTCAACTCATTACTGGTTTGAAGTTTGGCAACATTGTGAACATCATAATTAGTTTTTTCAACATCCATGGCAGAAACATCCTGGATGTCTTCCACCTCTAGTGGCAGTAATTCCTCATCATCATTATAATCGACTCCCCCTTCTTCCAAATCAGCTAGCAGTTCGTCTGCTAGAGACATTTTGGATTAGATATTTTTTTGTGGTTTGCTAATTGCAAGATGCTCGTATACAGTGTTTATTCGTTCAACAACGTGTTTCTTGCGTTTCAGGCAAAAGCTTTATTTTGAGCCTCACACTTCCAGTCTCTTAATAGAATTGGGTGTCCCTTATCCGTCCCATAATATTTGGGTTGAGGTATAGTTTCATTTTAGTGGTAATATTCATATCTGGACTATTAAGACTAGTCATCTTTTTAAAGTCTATAGCCAATATTGTTATTGGCACACGTGGAACTATTTAAACGAGTAGCATAACATACTCCAAAAATATACATTATGTTAATATGGTGGACGAATGAGATTGAAAAGGGTGCTCCAACAGTTTAGAATTTTTGATCGTCTGGTTGACCGCGAATTTTATTGATAATATCGTCGAATTTTGGTTGACCAACAAAATCATAAAATAAAGATATTAACCCAAATGAAAGATAAATATTTTTGGTAGGATGAAAACATCAGTTTCCAATGAACATTTCCAAAGACCCAATCTCATTATGATAATTTTTATTAAATACATAAATGAGTTTTTATTTCGTTTCGAATCTACGCTCTCAATTCAAATTTGTAGAAAACCATGAGACGACTTCCTGTATCACAACCAATAGAAATTACCGTTACATTTTACAGTTAGGTTATTCCGAGACGAGTTTATCCAGTCCTGCGTTTTGATATACACCAATGTGGCTGGTAAGACCAAGACTAACACGCCGGTAATCCCGTCGAATGAAAATTCACCACGTTGTTAGGAAAGCGTTGTGGTCGAGTAGTTTTCGGCAAGAATCGATTCCTTCTAGATTATTCAATAATCCATTTATCGTCTAAATAGTGAAGAGACAAGTGCAAGAACGGAAGGTAATTATAATTCACGTGTAGTAGCCATTACTGTTAGCATTCCAATGGTAAAACAGGTTTTTAGTCCTGTGCTCTCGACTCGTTGAGTCTGCTTCATCATCATTCAGTCATATATACATAATCATAACACATTTATAAATGATGATCGAAATGAACTAGATCTAGATTAAATGTTTTCTTTTTAATTTTGACTTCAAATAATAGAAATATTATAATATATCTTTATTCGAGTGCTTTGTGACTCAAGCCCATGGTAATTAGGCTACACAAGTACAAGTATATATAGTAAAATATATTATAGTACTACGGTACCCGGTATTCAACAAAAATAGAAATATGCGATTGTAAATAATCAATCTTAGTTAGTCGCAGTGGAAGGCATAGGCCTACATTAATAAATTTAGTCAAAGAAGACGTGGATAGAGAAATAAATAATAGAGTGCACATCAATGTTCTAGAAAAATCAGAAACCTAGCTCACTTACGACTTACATACATGTATTAATTTATTTTATAATATATTATTAATAGACTTCAATAACAATTCCAGTAGCCTAATTAGTAATATATACTTAATATGTAGGCCTACAAGATGTAGAATTGGTTACCTTAAACAGAATTTCGTTGAGATATATATATCTAGCTTTTGTAAATATTTCTCTTCATTCTTAAAATTTTATTGTTAACTTCTTTATAACTTCCGTATTTATTTTAATAAAGTGCAAAATGTAAGACGGGCCTCCATGCCTAATTTTAAACCCTTTGAAAATAAAGTTATTATTGTTATAAAAACTAGCCTATATGTACTATTTTTTTTTTTATTATTGCTAGTAGGCTACGGGGGAAGTTCAATTTGTCTCTTCCCATTTGTACTTGAGGAGGAAAATGGTTCCCTGTCCAACCTCTTGGGTTTTCTCGGGTTTTCTCCCACAGCTAGAGACCCCTACACGCAAACAAGTTCATGTATGTAAGTCCCAAAATGACCTAGTTTGTGTCGAATTTAGGTTAAACTCTCTCTCCCTCTCTCCCCTTTCAGCATCATTAAGAGTGGAGTGAGCAATCTATGTTTAAATTATAAATAGAATTATTTTTAATTTTATTGTAGAATGAAGATTAGAAGAAGTTTATTATTATTGGGGTTGTTGGCGTCACTTTTATTAGCAGTAAAATGTGAAGAAGATGATGTTGATGATGTTGATGTTGAAGTTGAAGATGATGGAGAAGATGATGTACCACCAAGAGAAAAGGTAAATTAATTTATCTCCCCTTAGTCATCTCCTAAGGTCTTCTTCAAGAAGCTTGTCTTAAAGATGCATTATGTAAGAGCTAAATCTGGCAATTGCAGGTCTTAATTTTGGCATCAAATGTTACGTAAATTATTAATTAGAGATTTATTCACATGGCTAGTTTATTATTAACTCTCTAGACCACGTGTAAGATCCGTGGACAACTGTAAGTCATCTTATAGCACACTGCATGACACATGTCAGTTATCATTACCCGGTAAAACTTCATTTGATTTCTTAATTTATCTTATAGCCAGTGTACAAAAGACCAACTCTAAAAGAAAACACATACTTTGCAGAACCATTCCACACAAAGGATGATTTTACAAAAAGGTAAATACAAATAACCATATTATTTCTTTTACACTTTTCAGAAGATCTTTTATATAAATGTCCATTATTTTCTGCTTTCACTAGTACTTTTTAATATCATATTTCAATTACATCTTGATATGTATCCCAAGTTTGGTTGTTTTTTGTGAAGATTATTTTAAAGTTGAATTGTAATTCCCCCCTCTCAATTTAGCACATTGTCAAGTGTTCATAATATATTTACCCTCGGCTGAGATATTCCACTCAGCACATCACAAAGGTCGTTTTTTGTTGACCGAGGCTTCTTGTTATAAAAATGGCTTCTCTAATGTTCCGTGTACACAGTGGAGTGCATATAAAAGATTCCTTAGCAGTTGGAATTAATATGGTCAGTAGCGCCTCTGTCCAGGCAATATTTATAGCAAACTGTATGGCATTGGCTCATCTTCATTAACCCAGTTGGAGCAGAACAGTAAGACATTAAACACCATTGCATTTAATGTCTGTTGAATGGAACCTATTAAGAACAACCATATATGTTTGTAGACAACAATTTGATTATAGTGTTGTCACCAGAAATACACCACAGTTATTTTACTATGCTACATATTGACCAACAGGCAATACCTAATATACATTTAGTTACTGATATATAATATGTTTTGTTTTTATTTTCTAGATGGGTTTTATCTGAAGCTAAAAAAGATAACACGGATGAAACAATAGCTAAATATGATGGTAAGAAATTAATCTCCTTGGATTACTCCCCCTTGATTTTACTGATTTGAATCATATCAGTGACAGAAATTTTGTTATTGTATGATGGAATTTTTGATTCAACACAATTTGATTTGAATCATATCAGTGACAGAAATTTTGTTATTGTATGATGGAATTTTTGATTCAACACAATTTAGGGCCTGAGATTTGCTCCAATTTAAAGGTATAATTGATGATGACTTCAACAAAAAATAACGTGGAAAGCAAGAGTCAAAACTTTATAACAAAACTTACTCTTCTGATTCAATAAAAATTGTCCCTCATCACTAATACCCAGCCTCACCACTCCCCCCTCTCCACCACCCTCAACCCCCCAGCATTTACACACGTACAGATGTGCCCTCATCACTAATACTCCCACCCCATATCCCTTATTGTTCACATACATACAGCTGTTCCCTCTCACAACCCCCACCCCTCCACATTTACATACACACATACAGCCATCCTAGATCACCCATACCCTGCAACAGCTCCACTCTACCTGCACACCCATCCATGTTCGCACACCTAAATGCCTTGAAAGATACATTCTCACAAAAGTATTTATAGAGCAGTTATTTGTAGTAAAAGTAAGGCAAATTTGGTATAAATGGAAATAGAGATGCCCTATGGCAATCTTACTAGAAAAATACCGGATCCTGAAAAACACCCATGAGGCAAGCACTGGGCAAAAATTCCAGGATATCACTAACTGGCAACCCTGAGGATTATTGTCTGCCAGCTTGGCATAGGGAGCGCGTATTATCTTGATTGAATGGTTAGGCAGTTTAAACACTGAGGGGTTTAAACATACAAAAGACTCTGAAATTAAATGGCAAAAAAAGAAGTTGGCAGAAGATAATTCGAGAATTTACTTACATGTAGGCTTCAATATGTATGGCAAATGGAAATGAAATGAAATGAAATGGGGTTTAACGTCCTACTGTTTTGCTCCGAACTGGGCTAATGAAGACGGGCATACGCCATACAGTGTGCTATGAGGGAAACTTTGCCCGGACAGCGGCACTACAGCCTACTCTTATATCGAATTCCAACTGTCAAGGGATCTTTTACGTGCACGCCAATGTGTTCACAAGACCTCGGTTTTTCGTCTCATCCGAATGACTAGACGGCTGTCCTTGTCAGGCCCTCCGTCCTGCATCACTGACAAGGGGGAACCACGCCGGAAAATCTGGATGAACTTTCTCGGCCAATGCAGGGATCGAACACCCGACCTCCAGGCTAGCGAGCCAGCGCCTTACCCACTTAGCCACAGTAAGTAATGACAAATACATTCTGAAAATGGGCCCTCCCTTCAGGGATGTCACTAATTTTTCAAGTAACAGGAAATTTTGCTAAAGTAGGGGGCAGCAAATTTTAGGACCCGGGCCCGAATCTGCGGGCAAACCAAAGGGTTGGGAGTGTGTTATGGCGCGTTTTGGGGCAATATTTTAAATGACAGAAAGTTTTTTTTAAATATTTTGTGAAAATGTGCATAGAAAGTCTATCCAAAAAACTTTAATAAACCAAATAAGTGCTTTTCAGTCATATCTGAGTGATGTCACAAGATAAGCCTTATAGAATTGCTTGTCTACCAATTTTCAAACTGAAATCCGCGAATATTAGTTTAGGTAAAACTTATAAAATCGTAACAATTTGAATAATACTGTATATAAAATATTTTTAATCTTCATGATATCAGATAAAAGGCAGGCTGCATTTATTCAGAATTAAAAAATTTCTCTCTGCAAAACAGATAAATCCCGTTTTCTAATTATGAGTGTAATCGCGTGAATGGAAATTCCCCGGAAATGTGACGTCAGAGGTTTATTTTCCCCGCAAGTGCCTCCCACATAAACAGTAATAAGCGCTTATATTTCTATAACTTTTGAGGCCGATTATTTTCATATATTGAGATCGATATCAAATCATTATAATACAACCGCTAGTAATATATTTAAACAAAAAAGTAATCTAAAATCGCAGATTGAAAGTCAGCTAAATTTCAGTCAACCACTTAATGCCAATGGCTTCCGATTTCACGCTAAAGTCACATGGCGTGGAACGTTTTCTCTTCGCGTGAGGACTGTCAAAATCGCATAGACGTTTACTACTAGCTGTGAGGAAATATGACAGTAATCGAACAGACCTTGTACACTCATGCACTCTACTTTATTTATCCCACTAATAATAATAGCACAAGCATACTACCGGAGTAAAACGTTTCCAGTCAAATTTAACCAATCATTAGATCGATTAATACAACAGAAGTAAGGGGGTTACCTCCCTTTTTGAAAGTAAAACTAGCATTGGCATAATTATGAACATTTACCGTGAGAAATATCCTTCCGTGCGGGAGAAAGGTGAATCCGCGAGTCTCACGGGAAAAAAAACTGGCTAGTTGATACGTCTATGTGTTTAGCGTTTTGGAATTGAATTAGTTTCAATTAATATTACTCAAAATTATTTTATAAAAATGAAGTTGCTGATCATTTTTTAGATGAAAAGTAGCCGGAAATTGGCCTAATGTAAACAGCGAAATTTGCCAGTTGCCGGCTTCTAATGACATCCATGCCTCCCTTAATCAAGTTACATGACAAAAATGGCTCCTGAAATAGATTTTTTATATCTTTGGTTTTTTTCCTCACAAATACATTGTTTTGTGAGGGATTTGAAGCACATTTTTAATAAATTAATTAGTTTGAAGATGTTTTTAGTCCAAATATATCATCAAATCATCATATCATCAAATCTTTAAAGAAAACTGTGATATATTTTGTATATATTTTGACCTCACTGAAAGAGGTACAATGTATTGCCCTGGTCCACTGATCTAATTTCTTCTCAATGAATAGAAATTCTGCTCCTTTAAGTCAATAACTAAATATACAATGTATAGAATATGGATAAATTTATACTAAACTAATAGAATAGGGCCTATATATAAGTGGATATAGATACTGGGGTATATAACATTGTTGATACAGCAGCAACATTGTTTGATGTACATGTAGGTCATATTTACATATATTATATATTCATACCCACTGATGAAAGATAAGAACTTGACTTATTTTACTAATTTTATACAATTTGCTTTACATCAGTGAATAGATGAATAAGGCTAAATAAAAAATTATTCTGGTTCTCAAATACTGCTGTTACACCGCCGCGTGACCTGATTTTTATTCCATCCCCATTAATTTCTGCTCGTTCATATTTCATGTGTTTAAGGACAGTAAGTCTAATAAATGTTTGCCGTTTTGTCCAGTAGGCACAATTATCAAGTACACAATAACTACACAACCCTGATAAATCTTATTGACAATCATCAAAGGCACTGGACAATTGTAAATTGTTATGAAATGGCAACCATCGATTCTTCTGCATAAATCTTAAAGTTCTTGGAAGATAATTATTGTCCTGCAAGAATATAGAATTTTGAAATGTGACACAATCCTTTGAAATAATAATAATAATGCAAGATTTTATTATTTTTTTTAGTATGGCCTAACCATATATATATATATATTTTAAAGTACCGATTAGTCAATAAATTTTAGAAACACAATTTATGTAGTTATTGGTGTGTACATGTACGTAAAGTCATAATTACATGTAATGCTCACATCAAATGTTAATTTTATTGTTCAGATATTCTACGCCACTAGTCAAATGCTAATTATCTGCCCACATTCTCATGACGAGATACATGTATTACCATATTGCGTCGTCACCCATGTCCATTTGGACGTCCGTTAAGATTGGCTTGTGGACACTCAACGGGTTAAAAAAATTAAAATTTTATCCGATTTTTTTGAAACTTAATAAATATATTTAGTATCCCAAAGTAAAAATCCTGATAACATGGCTTCTCCCCATTATGACACAGGGCAGCACATACAAGATCCCATATAAGAGTAGGCTGTATACCCTTCCTCATTATCCCTGTTGGAGTAGGACACACTACTCATGTGGCAAAGCATGTAATACTAGGGCTGAAGACCCTCCAGAGGCCTCAATGTTTTCTGATTTAGTAAAACGTGAAATGTATATTACGGATAAAAAGATCCTGGATGAGTTTGATTTTTGGAGGCATCGGGCCCTAAATTTTTGTTTTATTTGAAAAATGTACAATTTTTGTGTCTTCAAACCAACCATCTTTAATTTATCTTTGCAGGTAAATGGTCTGTAGAAGAACCAAGTGAGAATCCTCTAGTAGGAGATCTGGGCTTAATACTTAAAGTAAATATACAATCTGTCCTTTGTTGACCATAGTATATGGTATAGATCTCACTATTTTATTGTGGACATTATATTTTCGTAAATCCCCACAAAAACCATTGAATTTCACTTTCCTCTCTGTTGGGTTTCAGTGACTAAGACGTTGGCTCGCTAACCTGGAGGTACTGGGTTCGATCCTTGTGTTGACCAAGAAAGTTCATTGAGATTTCCCAGCGTAGTTCCCCATTGTCAGTGGTGCAGGACAGAGGGCCTGGCAAGGGACAATGTATAGTCGTTCGAATGGGACAAAAAAAACGACGTCCTGTATACACATTGACTTGCACATAAGAGATTCCTTGGCAGTTGGAATTCAATCTAAGAGTAGGATGTAGCGCCACTGCCTGGACAAAATTTCCCTCATAGCATACTATATTGCGTATGCCTGTCTTCATTAGCCCAGTAGGAACAGAACAGTAGGACGTTACACCCCATTTCATTACTTTACTGTGTCCAATGTCAGAATTAAGTTAACATGCTGATCACCTCACTTGATCACTATGAGGGAATTCCTACATGTATATGAGGACTTCCACCAATAAATTGATCTATAGGTGCACAGGGTACACTGCATCACGTATTGTGCTAAAAATCTGAAACAAGCTCACTCAATAATACAAATTCCTCTGCAAATATGGAAAAAAAAAATGGAAAATTTCATGAAATGAAATGAAAAAGAACTTAATTCACAATGTTTAAAATGGAATTTCCTATTTTGTGAAATGAAAAATCAGCACCCCTAAATTAGTTTCTGATATTCCTCGTTGTGTGATTTTGATGAGCAAGTCTTGGGGTTGGGTGGTAAGGTCTGTCAATGATTCAAGTGGGGTTTCGATTCCCCGCATGTACGAGGCAAGGAGTGGGGAAGGCTCACTAGTCAGTGGGTTCACTAGTCCATTGATACCTATTATTAGGGTTAGGGTTCGTATTATGTTTTTTTGATACCCATATTTATAGTATTTCTTGTAGCGGCGGACTAGTGAACCCCTCCCCAAGGAGTAGTGTTGTCTTTCCAACTTCCAGTTTCCCCCCACTGCTAAAGACCCCTATGCGCAACTAAATTGTTAAAATGAAATTGAAACAAATACTTGTCCTGAAATGACCTAGTTTGTGTCGAGTGCACGTTAAACCTCATTTCTCTCTATCTCGTGTTGTAATATCTAATTGTGTTGATCTTGTTTGATTACAGAGTAAAGCTAAACATCATGCTGTCTCATCTCCTTTAAACAAACCTTTTGATTTCTCAGGAAAACCATTTATCATGCAGTAAGTACTCACATTGTTCTCCTATCAACATCTTGGGGGGCGGGGGGGGAAGGGGGCAATGGTTTAATGCATGTGCGCTAGATCAGTTGGTTTGCAATCTAATCTAAGTCTATGTTGACTGGGGAGCCATGGTACACTGTAGCTGAATGATCATTACGTTGGCTCGTTAACTTGGCAATCACATGTTAGATCCTTGTGTTGACCAACATAGTTCATTAGGAATTTCCGGCATGTTTCCCCCTTGTCAGATGTGCAGGACGGAGGGCCTTGACAACGACTGCTGTCTAGTCGTTCAGTTAGAATTCGATGAATAGTTGGCTTAAAAGCACGGCTGTCTGAGTAAAATTTCCCTCATAGCACACTGTATGATGTACAGGTATGTCTGTCTTCATTAATCAAGTCAGCGAAGAATAGTAGATATTTGAAACTCATTTCATTTGATAATTATCTTAATTGTTGTCTATTTTAGATATGAAGTTCGATTCCAGAATGGAATGGAATGTGGAGGTGCTTATGTTAAACTTCTGTCTCAAGATAGTAAACTACCTCTGGTAAGATTATATTTCCGTCTATTCTTGGCACATTTGGAATTTGTATAAAAGACTTTAAAAAACAAATTTAGCAACTTGATACATGTAAATATTAACTACTCTCGGTTCCTTGAAGAAAGTTAGAGAAAAGATTTTTAGTTCATACTAGTATATCCCTGGACCGACTGACACAGTCCGAAGTTGTTGTTCATTGAACTGCCCGAAATGAATTATGTAAAATCATCTCCATATAGGAACGTTTACTAGTTCTGTGTGTGCTTTTTGAACTGGCCATCTAACACGGTACATGGATGATGCCAAAATTCAAATTTTTTATAGATCAAATGATAATGTCGGCTTTAAAAAATGATCATATTCAGAGGACAGATTGCTGATTCATAAATCAAACTCATTAATGAGTTGTACACTTTTTATATTTCAGAATAAATTTCAAGATAAAACTCCATATACAATTATGTTTGGTCCAGATAAATGTGGCAACGATCATAAACTACATTTTATCTTCCGTCATAAAAACCCTAAAACAGGAGAAATTGAGGTAATAAAATGGAATTACTCATATTTATTGAATTGTTTTGAAAATCAGAGTCAGTTGTATACGATTATGAATTTTGTCTTTTTGATCTTGGTATTTTAATATAGGGTAATAAAAGTTGTATCATTTGTTTATTTTCAGGAGAAACATGCGAAGAAACCTGCCGCTAGTCTTGATAGTTTCTTTACAGATAAAAAAACACATTTATACACATTGGGTGAGTTATTACTTCATAATTCTATTAAACCTGGGGTGGAAGGGTGAGGCTTTCATATCATAAGAAGGCAAATAATAATCGTGATGTCAATTCATGAAATTCAACTGAGGGGGGCAATAATAAGCTTGATTTCATATCAAACATTCCACTGAGATGGTAAATTATGATTTTGATTTTATATCAGACATTCCACTGAGAGGGTAAATTATAATCGTGATGTCATTTCAGACATTCTACTGAGAAAGTCAATAATAATTTTGATTTCATATCGGAAATTTTAATGAGATGGTTAATTATAATTGTGATGTCATATCAGGCATCCACTGAGAAGGGTCAATTATGATTGTGATGTCATTTCAGACATTCCACTGAGCGGGTCAATAATGATTTTGATTTCATATCAGACATTCCATCGAGAGGGTCATTTATAATTGTGATGTCATATCAGGTATGCACTGAGAAGGTTAATTATAGGGTAAATTATAATGAAATGGTTTTATTTTCTAGTTATAAAACCAGATAATACGTTTCAAATCAAAGTGGATGGTAATGTTGTTAATTCTGGCAGCTTATTGGAAGATTTCAGGTAATTATCCATTTTCTTCATCTTTTGCTGTCTAAAATAGTGGGAGTTTGGGGTACTGGAGTTGTCAAGGGTCTGTGTTCTTGAAGAATGTTCCAGGTTCGAATCACTAAGAACAGTGTTAACTTATCGTAGTCACTTTTATCAGGTAATACCATGGAAAAAGAAAGGATGATCATTTTCATAATCGCATATTATTCACATTTATCAGGTCATATAATCACATACTTTAATCATATTCAACAGGTTATACCATGGAAGAAAAATGGGTATGTTTAATTATATTTTATTTGCTTTTAGCCCACCTGTAAATCCACCTAAAGAAATAGAAGATCCTGATGATAAGAAACCAGAAGATTGGGATGAAAGGGAAAAGTAAGTTGAAAAACAATCTAGGCATTTTAAATGCAAGGAACCTTTAGTTTCTATTTAAGTTTCTTCTGAATGAAAATTATTTATTATTTTTAGAAATCTTTTGATGATATATTCATTTATGAAATGTTTTTATTTTTGTAGAATCGCTGACCCTGATGCAACGAAACCAGTAGATTGGTAAGATTTTATTACTACACATTTATACCATCATTAATCAAATTTTTGTTCTATAGATGTTCAAGCCTGGATATAAGGTACCTGTCCCAGACTTTGTCATTCACAAATTACCACGCAATACAAGTGCCTTATGTCCAGGCTTGTAGAAGTTTGAGGTTCAGGAACTAAACATGCAGAGCGATGGCTTGATATACATTTTAACTGAGTTAGGATAATATTAAAATTTTCTTCCGCTTTCTGAGAATGATAAAAAAAAAATTGTTATGTTGGATTTGATGATATATATGGATATGCATATTGAAAAGACAGATTGCAATGCATATGTAATGATTGTGATGTACATGTAATGATCGCAATGTCTGTGTTATAATTGTGATGTATACATGATGATCACAATGTACATGTAATGATTGTGATGTACATATTATGATTGTGATGTAAATGTAATGATCACAATGTAATGATTGTGATGTTTTGGGGATGAAAGTGATGTACATGTAATGATTGTGATGTACATGTTACTTATGATTGTGATGTACATGTTAGGGTTGTGATGTACATGTTCTGATCACAATGTAATGATTGTGATGTTTTAGGGATGAAAGTGAACCCGAGATGATTATTGATGAAGATGCTGTTATGCCTGATGGTTGGTTAGAGGATGAACCAAAATTGATTCCTGATCCTGCTGCAACTAAACCTGATGATTGGTTAGTTTTCCTTATTCTAAACAAACTCAAAGTACTTTATTTAAAGGAACTTAATCTCAAAATTTATTATTCTGTTTAAAAGCGCATTAACAATAAATTCTGGTTAAATCATCAAATATTTGAATCATGAGCACAAAAAGTTTCTATAGACAAGGTAAAGCTTGTTTTCCATTTACATGGAAAAAAAGGTGTGAAGGAATTGTCTTCCTATGTTAGGGTGACCCACCATAAATAAATATCTCCATATATCTCGACAATTACGCCACAATATTTATATATATGCCAAGCCTCAAATCAGTTTCACACAATTATAGTCACTAAATAAACGATCATGTTGTACTTAATAAGCTATGACCATTAATCATGTATAAATAATAGACTGAAAACTGGTTCCAAGAGTCGTCCATAACATCCAGACACTTTTGAGTAAAAGATAGGTTACGTGCCCTTGTTTTGAAATTAGTCTCGCTTAACCAGTCTATCGACCATTCTACGTCTGATTGACAGGTCGGGATAATCAAGACTACTTTTTTACGAAACATAACAGAAAGCTAGAACAAGAAATTAAATTTAGAAATAAGCACGTTAGGTAGCTCAACAATCGTTTTAAGAAGCTTGTAAAAGTAAAATGAAACTACTGCTAGTATCATGTTCCTGTCTAACCCGAGTGATTCAGAGATATTATTTGTACTAAACCAAAAGATGCCGCTCTTAACGGTACAGTTAATGATAAAGCGGTTTAAAAAATGAAACGTACGTAATTTCTAAATCTGCTGTAATAACCAAGAAGCTTAATTTTACTGCTATTCAAAATCGTCAACAATAAATTTTTTACGGCTGTAATAGTTGATAGATTTGTAGAGAATTGCACGTGCCATGGCTATTTATAGTATCATACTGTCAGAAAGTTGGTCTCGGCACGGCGAATGTGCACGCTTCAGTGGTAGTCTCGAACTACATGTATCAGCGATGGACTGTATTTCTGTGAGTACATGGGTCACCCTTCCTATGTTGAGTAATTCTGTACACAGTGATCCATCTACTTCATACTTCGAGAATAGATCTCTGTCCTGAATGGCTGCCATATCCAAAATTGGAATAATGATTTTGTAACATGATTATACTCTTTCACAGCTATCTTGCACACAAACTATAAATAAACCTATTCAATTCCATTTAATCAGAGTAGAATAAATACTTCTACAAATTTTCAAAGTATACTTAGTGTTTTCGACTAAAATTGTTGATTTAGGAATTAAAATATCGGTCAACTGGCTTTGTGTCTGTTGTCAAGTGGAGCTAATTGTAGACAGCCTATGTTTAGTATGATGTTGAGTCTTCATAATGATATTCCTGTATATTATAGGGATGATGAAATGGACGGTGAATGGGAGGCACCATTGATAGGTAAGCTGCATATATTTAAAATATTGGTAATAGAACTTTGTGTCTAGAAACTTGTGTCTGGAAGGAGCTAAGGTGGCTAAAAGAGTAAAACGTTGGCTCGCTAACCGGGAGGCCCGTGTTCGATCCCTGCATTGGCCGAGAAAGTTCATCCAGATTTTCCGGCGTGGTTCCCCCTTGTCAGTGATGCAGGACGGAGGGCCTGACAAGGACAGCTGTCTAGTCCTTCAGATGAGACGAAAAACCGAGGTCTCGTGTATACATTAGAATGCACGTAAAAGATCCCTTGGCAGTTGGAATTCGATATAAGAGTAGGTGATAGTGCCGCTGCCCAGGCAAAATTTCCCTCATAGCACACTGTATGGCATATGGCCGTCTTCATTAGCCCAGCATAAGAGCAGAACAGTAGGACGTTAAACCCCATTTCATTTCATTTCTTTAGGCCTGAACTGTTAAATGAATTATCATTTAGACATTAATTAACTTATCCAGACCATAATCAACTCTCAGTGCAATGGGATAGCTGCAAAATAAGTAGATTTAAATACGTTTGTGGTTGATGCAGTTGGTATAAAAATGGATAATCGAGACTTTGCTTATTATCGTAACAACAGTAGTAATGACAATCAAGGCTAGACTATTTATTGTATCACCAATATCTAGGCTCAGAGTGAAGTAATTTGACTGAAACTCTCAGCCTATCCTCATTCCATTAACTATCTTTTAACTATTATAGCAAGAACTGTCAGCTCTTAATCTAATCTTACCTAATGTGGCTTTGAATATTCTATTATTATTTTTTTATGACTACAGATAATGAGAAATGTGCCGATGCTCCTGGATGCGGTCCGTGGAAAAAACCATCTATTAAGAATCCAAATTATAAAGGAAAATGGTTTGCACCAATTATAGATAATCCTAATTATAAGGTAACTAGCTACATGTATTCAGCTGGGGGAGCTACGGTGGCTAAGTGAGTAAGACGTTGGTTCGCTAACCTTGAGGTCCTGCGTTCAATCCCTGCATTGGCCGAGAAAGTAATATAAAGCAGGATCCAGATCTGCTGGTGTTATGACTTTTGATCTATGTCCCTCCCGGGCCCAAATTGTCCCGATTCCCCAAATTTCAGCCTCGGAGCAGCCCTAGTGTAGCCACAATCTCAAACAAATAGACAAGTGGTTGTCACAAATACTTATCAGGTGACCCAGAAAAAACTACACTATTTAAAGTGGAATAATTCACAAAGTACTGTACCTGTAATAATATGGATGCTTGACAACTTCACATTCCACTTTAAATAATGTGCTCTTTTTTTCTGGGCCTCCTGGTATATATGTACATATTTCATCCAATCCTGGAACTGTAATGAACACCCTGATGTAATTTGAACAAGTTACTTCTGGCCTTCAGATGTTATGGAAAGTGAATACCAAACATTCCGCAAGATTTTGTTTCGTTAGCACATATTTTCATACTTCAGTAATATTTATAGAGACAGAAATCCACTATGGCTGTTGATCAATCTTTCTGCTATTGTGAACTTATCCTCAATTTTGTTCTTTTTTTTATTTTACCAATTAAAGGAAAGTTGAATTATAATTTTTAAAATGTTTTATTTCAGGGAATTTGGCAACCGAGAATGATCCTTAATCCTAATTATTTTGAAGATTTAAATCCTTATAAAATGACACCAATTGTAAGTATATATTACATACATAGTACAGTGTAATCATAGCCCACATTGGTGTGCACGTAAAAGAACCATTGACAGTTGGAATTTGAAATAAGAGTAGGCCATAGTACTGCCGTCCGGGCAGAATTTCCCTCATAGCAGACTGTGTGACGTATGCCCGAATTCATTAGCCCAGTCGTTGCAAAACAGTAGGATGTTAAACCTCATTTCATTGATTTCTAATCATAACTGTTTTGTAATATGTTTAATTTTCAGTTGTGCTTTATCTATAATCTTTTAATGGCAGTTCTATGGATAACAATCTCAATAATATATACACACGACATAAAATCTTATGGAAAATATAGCGATTGTTATCCATCAAACTGTTGCGTTTTAATTATAATTGTTTAATTTCACGAAAGTATGACAGCAGTTATTGTTCGATTTTAAGGGTACTGTCCTTATTTCTTACGACACTAGATTTAGAGGTCTATTGATCACAGGAGCTGCAGTGGCTCAGTGAGTAAGACATTGGCTTGTTAATCTGGAGGTCCTGTGTTGACCAAGAACGTCTGTTGGAATTTTCCAGTGTGTTTCCCCCATGTCAGTGGTGCAGGACACAGAGGGTCTGGACAGGAACAACATGTAGTCGTTCGGATGGAATAATAAAATGGAATTGAGAGAATTTAATCTCTGAATGTTCAATCAAGTATCCTGTATAATATTCCATATTGTATTTATTTTCAGTCTGCGCTTGGTTTAGAGTTGTGGTCAATGACAAATGATATTTTATTTGATAATTTCCTCATATCTGACGATGATAAGGTGGTAGAAAGCTGGACTCATTCTTCCTGGGTCATTAAAAATATGGAAGAAAAGGCATCATCTGCTTCAGGATTGGTAAGTTTTATACATGTATCTCCAATGACAAAGATTGAATATCTAAATCAGGTTATTTTCATTTGATTCTTGTTATACAAACTTACTGACTCTTTTAATCTGTCTTGATGAATAAAATAGCTGCTGGACGATTTGGGAATTTCAAAACTTAAAGGCTTGATGCGTCATTTCAATTTTCAATGAAATATCAAATTTCTCACAACTTAATCCATGTTAATATATACTCAGATTGATTTGTTATCATTTAATTAAGAAAACAAGATCAAAATACCAAAGCTAGATAATCTCTCGGCTTGGATTCAGTCAGAATTAAAAAGCCATATCAGGTTTATCAGTTACCATTTAAAAATGGCAGCGTCTTGTTACACTTGTGTAGCATAGATTGATGAAATAAATTTCAATTTATCATAACTTTGTAAACTGAACCATTTCTGAACTTCTATTACTATTAGAGAGATTTAACTTTGACAAGGGATTCCTATAGGGCTAAATGATGCATTGAGCCTTAAGAGATATGGACTAAACTTTGGCTTTTTAGTGAATATTCAGTCTGCTTGTCACAAACAGTTAAAAATATTGTAAGCTTGTTCTCACAATTATCCACCGCATTCCAAAGAAAGATAGAAGTGACATTGAGATAAATTCTTCTGCTGCAAAGTTCCTGAAAAGGCTTTGGTCTTCGACATACTCAAATTCATGGAGGAAATTTAGAGTATGGGCAGAGTGGATTAATTAACTAATTAATTAATTAAATTCAGATCTGACCAAGCACTCGTATCATACTTCCACCTGATGCGTACTGTATTTGAATTAAGGAATGATATTTTGTTGTGAGATGAAATGTTAATGAATTTAATGTTTTCAGAGTAATATGTATAATGCTATATTAGATGCCACGAAAGAACGTCCGTGGTTATGGGCTGTTTTTCTAGTAGTCATAGCTCTACCACTAGTGCTTATATTTGCATACTGTTGTATGTCGAAGGTGAGAACCACTGGGACATTTTTAACGTTGTATTCTTTTCTCTCTAGTTGATAGCGACAGGGGTGATCTTTCCCGCAAAACTTTTTCTTGGACAGATTGTTCTTAGTTGTGAACCAGCTTTTAAATAGTCATTGAAAATTAAAAATTGGGAAGTTGAACATCCAAAACTGACCAATTACACATGCATTTACTGGTTTGATCCACCCCCACAGCTATCAACTGCAGAGAATTGTATTCAGCGTAACTGCATGTTTTTATGTGTTTTTTAGTTGTTTTTTTATTTGTTGAACACTTCAGAATATCTGGAACACGTTAAAATCATCGGCGGATGCGAAACCATGGCTGTGGGCTGTTTATGTCGTTGTTTTACTTCTACCCATTGTCTTGCTCTCCATTTGTTTCTGTCCTAAATCGGGACCAATTAAGGTAGAACTTATTTTTTGTATTGATGTCTGATTTGACCTTTGACCTCCCCACATTTTCATTATTGCCAATAGATAACTTATAACTCCTCCGAAGTAAATATCATCATTCCATTCCCCAAGGCAGGGGAATCGAGTGGTCAAAAGAGGGTGCCATTTAGATGATACCTGTAATTTAATCAAGAAGTTTTGATGCAAAGCTGCGGCTTCCACTCTCGAAGTTGGCCATGTCAGTTATTGGGATTTTGCAGAACGGAGGGTCTGACAAGTACAGCTGTCTAGTCGTTCGGATGGTACGGAAAACCGACGTACTGTGTATATATTGACGTAAAAGATTCCTTGTCAGTTGGAATTCAATACAAGAGTAGGCTGTAGCGCGGCTACCTGAACAAAATTTCCCTCATCACACACTATATGGCGTATGCCCATCTTCAATAGCCTAGTCAGAGCAGAACAGTAGGACGTTAAACCCCATTTCATTTCATATTTTTGCATTTAGTCAAGTAGTTGTGATTCTAACCTTGTACACAACAAGGAGTAGTGCAATTTCCTCCCACTGCAAGCAAATTATTGGTCAGTTAAGGTTAAGCCTTATTTCTCTCTCTCTCCTTCACCAAAAGTCACTGCTCAAAAGGGCTTAAATGATAGGTAATCTTGTTAGTAGTAATACTATTGCCGATCAAGATGTCCGTCAATGCTGACTATTTCATTGACTTTCTCAACTAGAATTTCTCAGATCCTGGCATATGCCAAGTAGACTTTTAAGATTTTTCAAGCATGGTTCCCACTTGTCATAGGTAACACCTATGAGACTGACTGATAAGTAAAGTTTTGCCTGGGCAACCACAAAAAATAAGAAATTATGTATGAAATGTGACCTACCATCAGTCACGTTGATTGGCAAATCAACAAATGTAACATCCTTCAAACCAACACACTAATCAACCTTGTTGAATTATTTGAAAGGCTTATATTTAAAACAACCATAATATGGGATACATTGTTCCCCATTGATGTCAAATGCATTAAAGTAATTTTTTTATTTAAAGATGGGTTCCCAGAAAAGTATTTATCGGGTGGTTATTTCCAATAAAAGTATGGCTATTTTGGTATATATGGAAAGTAGAGATATCCAATCTTACTAGAAAAATACTGGATTCCCCGAAAAACACTCGTGGAGCGTATACAGGACAAAAATGTAAGGGTTCCCCTAATCAACAGCCCGACGATTAGGAACTTCTGCACGCTTGATGTCAAAGGTCACACGCGAACATTGAGCGCTTGATGTACAAGTTTATAAACTTTATGGAGAGTTAGACGTACAATACTTTCTGAGATAAAAATGACGGAAAAAGACGCGGGTAGTGGATAATCCGAGAATTAAATTAGGATTCGATATTAGTAATAAATAGTAAGCGATTAAAGACAACATCGTCTTATGTATGCAATGAATTCTCCTCTGACTTCCAAGACGTGACGGAAACATGACCTGGTTTGATCGAATTTTAATAGCAGGGCATTCCTTCGCAATTACAATGTTTGAGAAGGATTCGAAGCAAAATTATGACAAATTAATTAGTTTGAATATGTTTTTGGTCCATATATACCATTAAATCACCCAGTTTGTACGCGGGAACCCATCTTTAATTCAAAATTGAAAAGAAATTTGTAAATCACTCTGTAAATGGATTTTATTAGGTAAATAGGCTTTAGATGGTAAATTCTGTCTTTAAGTCAGGTGACATAGTTTCGATCTCGAGCTTGTACATGACAATGATTAGGGTTGCATGCTAGAGAAAATTATGGGAATATTTTGCAACATGTATTAGTCCCAAAATGACCTGGTTTGTGTTGAGTGGATGTTAAACCCCATCATCGCTCTCTCTTTCTTTCAGTCAGAAGATATCGCACAACGTAAGAAGACAGATGAAGCCACACCAGATGATGATGCAGTGAAAGAAGGAGAAGAAGCTAAATCAGATGATAAAAAAGCTGATATTGGACCAGGTGGAGATAATACACAAACTACTGGCAAATCAAAAAAATCAGATTTAGAAGCTAAAGATGTAAGTTGTTTAATTTTAACAAAATGTTTATTTTACCATTACCTCAATAATTCCTTGACAGTCGAGATCTGCAGTAGGCTACATAACATGGATTGGAAAATATATAAAAAAGAAATGAAGACGGGCATACTGCTATGAGGTCAGTTTTGCCAAACAGCAGCCAACAGCCCATTAGCAAGGGGAAACCACGCTGAACTCGGCCAGCTCCACGGCTAGCTAGCCAGCATCTTACTCACTCTACTACCCCCCCCCTCCCGTGACTTCTATATTAAAAGATCTCAGGCATAACATATCTTGTTTAAAATACAATATCTTGAGACGTACAGTTTATAAAAAACAAAAAAGAGGTAAATGCTTGCCCTGGATTGACAGGGGTAATAAATAACTTAATTTGTGGAGTTACGTTGCAATCTGTGTCCGTTGCAATCTGTGTCCGTGATTTAATTTTTCTTGGTACAATATATTGTACCATTATGTTATAGGATGATGAAGGTGATGATGCTGATGAAGAGGAAGATGAAGATGTGGAAGATGAACAGAAAGTAAAAGAATCACCCAGGTACATATAACCGTTTTACAGAGTTGCACCATAATATTGATTTCAGGCTTGATATATACTATTCAAAAAAAGTAGGGGATATTTGATTTTTAAGTGTTATTAAAGTCACCTAATGAAACTGACGAAGAAACAAATAACAAAATGAAATGAAGTTCACATTCATCGATTTATTCCAAATGATCGTTAGACTAAGTAAGGCACAGACTGACCATTATAAGGGTAAAATGATACCCGGGGTCAAACAGCAAAGTTACCACAGCATCACAACCAAGTCAGTAACGGGTAAATCCTCCTCTATTTGCCAAACAAGCATTGATCCGACGTGGCATACTCCTAATGAGACGTCTAAGGTCATTTTGGTCCAGATTGTCCCATTCCTGTTGCAACGCAGCAGCAAGTTCTAGGACATTGGCAGGACGTTGTTGACGTTGACGTAACCTCTGTCCAAGCATGTCCCAGACATGCTCGATGGGGGAGAGGTTGGGACTCAGTGCTGGCCAAGGTAATGTGGTGATGTTCTGTTGTTGGAGGTAACCTGTAACGATCCTGGCCCTGTGACATCTTGCGTTGTCATCCTGGAAGATGAAACGGCGGCCATGACGTCGTGCGAACGGCACAACATGGACTGCCAAGATGTTGTCCCGGTAGTACTGGCCTGTAACACGCCCTGCACCAACATGTAAAGCCGTTCTTCCAGCAACAGTGATTCCTCCACACACCATAACAGAACCACCCCCAAATCGATCATGTCTGATGACGTTAACGTCTTGGAAGCGCTCGTTTCGACGACGCCACACCCTCCTACGTCTGTCCAAAAAATCAACAGTGAAACTTGACTCATCTGAAAACATCACATTGCTCCAGCGTCGATTATCCAAGCGTTGACGATCCCTACACCAACGACGTCTTGCCTGAATGTGATGATCTCTCAAACAAGGGATCACGCGAGGACGTCGGGCGCGAAGGTGACCCCTATGCAGTCGATTCCGAATCGTCTGGCCACTCACTCTCACACCAGTGTCTGTTTGAAGACGAGCGCTGATCTGATTTGCTGTGATGACACGATTTCTCAAGGCCAAGGTACGGATAAATCGATCCTGGGCTTGAGTTGTCGCCCTTGGTCGACCTGAGCGTGGTCTGTCCTGTACAGATTGTGTATCACGGTATCTGGACCATAGCCTGCTTATGACAGACTGAGAAACATTCATCATCCGCGCCACAACCGCCTGTGTTGTGCCGATCTGTAGCATGCCAAGGGCACGTAACCTTTCATTTTGGGTAAGCCGACGCATATCAAAATTTGTTTTCTGGTCACTAAAACAATTAAACTGATGTTTCCACCCTGGAATTCAATGCCACAATGACTGTAACATTCAAAGTCAGAGTCGTGCAAATCTTGGGTTGGACCCCCATGATGATCCCAAGCATCACCTGCATTCCATGCGGTAGCTATTGGTGCGTTTGGGCGTCACATGTAACTGGAAATGTTTCTTCTGTTAGGTTCTATAGTGACTTTTTTCGTAGTCATTTGCATATTTTAGTATTATGCCCCCAAAATCAAATATCCCCTACTTTTTTTGAATAGTATATAACTAGAATGACTTTAGTAAAGATATGTTATGTAAGAGCTAAATCTGACTATTGCAGGTCTGTTTTCTGGCTTCAAACCTTGTATAAATTATTGTTTTGACATTTTAATTCACATGACAAGCCTAAAATCCACTCTCTTAGACTACTGGATAATTGAGGCTTAGTCTCAGGTGTCAAGTACCGTTTTTATGATAATAAATTATCTACTCTACATCTTCAAACAGTCAGAATAAAGCAATTTGAATGAAATTTTCGATATATTTATATTAATAATAATAATGATATTTGTATCGCGCAACTATTCAATCCACTAGGGAATGCACTAGGCGCTATGTTTGAACTTTTATAGCAATAACGGTCAGCTCTTTATCTAAATCTTACATAATGCATCTTTAAGATTGATTTGAAACAAGTATAACAAGACAAGTTGCCATAAAAGATTGTTTTGTATTTGCAGGCAAAGAAAACGTAAGCCAAGGAAAGAGTAAAGATAGAAGAGTATACTTGTTATATGCAGTGTATAAACTATTATTAACGTGTGTATATGGTTGTCTGAATGTTGATGATTGGTTGGTTGAATTATTTTATAAACTATAAATAACAACAAACGTTGTTAAATCAGCTTTCAATTTTTAAACCAGATGCCTTTTAATAGTTACTATCAGGATTAAAGCGCTGTTCATTAAATTAATAAAAAAGAAATAGTGTTTTAATTTACTAGAGCCATGATATACCAATTTCATTAAAATGATGTGTTTGATTGAATAGATTTCTAGTGAGTCAGGTTTCATGCTTGTTTTAGATTAAATTTCTGCTCTCGTCTTCATTAGCCCAGTCGGTGCAGAAACGTATGAATGTATATATCACTCTCAAATGAGAAAGCTTCTATTATTTATAACTTTTGCCTCTCAATTGATCTCATGGAATATCCGCTGATAGTATCAAATATTTTAATATTTAAAAGAAGAAATTGTCAAGCCCTGTGAGAAATATTTAGAAAATCATCTTTTTAATATTTATTTGCTAGTTATGGGCCATGTAAATCAATTGGCTTTCTTCAATTATTGTAGCAAGCGGTAATGAAGCCAGAAGAACACAGTTTCATAATTTCATGTTTGCTTATGAAGTTTTGGGGTCTTTTTTTTTTAGAATTTTCATTTTTCTTATTCCATAGGTAGATTTCATTAAGGAATTATAATTGCTCAAAGTTAAATATTAACATGAATTTTAATCTGATAGATTTATTTTTCTGGGGGTGGGCTGGAACTTTAAAACAGAAGAATTTGTCTTCCTTACTAATATTACTGCTGTGGACTCAGCCTGTATGTTTGTATCTAAAAATTCAATTGAGTAAGGTGCTTGCTCATTAACCAACCGGTTCCGGGTTGAATCCCAGTTTTAGCCGAGAAATTGATTGGGGCTTTCCAGTCTAGTTTCCCCAGCGAAAAAACAGCTTCTAGTCTTTTAAATTTGCACTAAAAAACGGAGGTCCTGTATACTCATTGGTGTGCAAATAACAGAAACCCTTAATAGTCAGAATTCACAGGCAGAAACAATTCACATAAAAAAATATTTTCAGTGCTGAATGTGTGTAGAGATATTATGAATAGCAAATGATATTTGTTAATTATGTGCAAAATGTCCCGAAATGTTTGCCCATATCCGCAAACAAATTTAATGTTTTTGAATAAAGTTGATCAGCCAATTTGAATTAATGTTTAAGTGTATATAGACTATACTAATTAGTTAGAAGATTTGATTGGTTATAATGTTAAAGAATAATTGTTTGTATTTAAATCATGGTAGGTGTATACATTTGTTCTTGTTCCATTTTTTTAAGATTTAAATGTTTAGCCATTCATTAATATGTTGTTCTTTTTTATACCTGTGTTGACCTATGTGTTATATATTATTCCAATGATTGGTAGTAAAACTAGAATCAGGTAGCCCAAAATAAGGCCAGACCAATTTTATTTTGTGTTCTTCGGGAACAACTGTTAAAATTTTACTTTTTATTTCTTCGGGAAAAAGACTAATTTAATTAAAAACCAAAAGTGCTTGATTGAACTTTTCACAAGCAATTAGTACCATTGAAATTTGGTACAAAACATCATACACAAGAATTGAGTTGGGTATTTAATGAACAAGACTCCCGAAGAACTGAACATTAAACTGGTTTGGCCTAATGATTACATTTTGTTAAGGAAAAGTAGATTATGTAAACTCAAGTAAAAGGAAAGTAGAACCAAAGCACTGACTGGAAATAAAAATTGATCAACTGTAGAATTTAGATTGTAATTTTAAAACAAAGTAAATATTGTTAAATTCATAGTTTGTATGCATTAAAAATTTGATTTTTATTAAACTGAGACAATGATAAAAAATTTTCAGATTATCTTTACAAATGATTTGCTAATATGGGATGAACAAAATAGGCAGGAAATACATGTACTCAAAATTCATTCATATTAAGAACAGTTCATGGTGACAAATTATCAAGGTACATGTTTTTATGGTGATAAATTATCATGAAGTTGTCAAGCTTTGTTTTTGATAAAGTCCACATGAATGGAAGCCATTACACTTTTTAATTTCTGGCCTGTGTTTTAACCAACCAGAATATTGATTTAAAAAATCATGAATTCAGTTCATATTGATGTAAACCATTTAATCAAAGGTATTCATTTTATAGATTCTCCGCCTTTATAAGCCTAGTTTGGTGCAGGAAAATTGGACGTTAAACCCTATTCCATATCATTCATTGAATGAGATTTCAGGGTCTGTCTGTAAAATCTGAGTTTAAGTAATGGTCACTTCACATGATCAGTCGCAGTATGATCCAGTTGCTATCCCTTGTGCAAGCTTGTCTCAAACAGTTGCCATGTGCATTATTGGACTGTTGTAGGAGCAGCTTTTGACCTTGATTAATCAATCGGCAGTGATGTTTCCAGTAGTTTACCTACAGTTCCATGCATCGCACGCCAAGAAGTCGCTGTAACAGATGGTTTCATTGGCTAATCCCTCACTTCAACCAAAACGCCGGTAATTTAACAACTCTTCCAGATCCTAGTATAGTAAAAAGACAAGTAGAACGAAATTTTGAAGTATTAAAAAACCGAAATAGGATTGGATGCATTTCTTACCTTGATTGTGTGAAGATGGACTTTAGGCTACTCGAAGTTTTCAGAAATCTAGTTTTGTCATTTATATGAAATAAAGTTATATTATCACCAATTATCGGTTATTGTCTGATTAATAGAATAGTGGGGGGGGGGGCTTGATCAGAAATCCTAATTTAAGGAACGCTACGACCTATTCTTATATCAAATTCCAGCTGCTAAGGGATCTTTTACGTGCACACCAATGTGTACACAAGACGTCAGTTTTTTGTCACATCCAAACGACAGGCCCTAAGCCCTGAAAAGAAATGGTTCCACTAATTAAACTAACCCAAACAAACCACTGGTCTAGTTTTCACTTTCTTGGTCTTCGATATTCTGACGGGATTATGGACTTAATGTTGTGTATTAATTAAAGTCTGGAACCGTATAGGTTTGAATATTAAACCACATTCAGAAAGGCAATTTAGGAACCAACGAGTATCTTAAACATACATCATGCAAGAGCTAAATCTGTTTATTGCAAGTCTTTATTTAGGCTTCAGATGTTATAGAAATTATTAATTAGAACTTTATTTACACGACAAGCTCAAAATCAACTCTGTAGACCCACGGATATACGGAGGGGGTGGGGGGGGGCGCCCATAATGGCATTATTGGTTTGGCACCTTGTAATGACAATATATGATTGTCGGGCCTCACATAATGCGTAATGCCGAGTGAGATTGGTTGGGTGCCCACAACTTGATCAATAGGACGCCCAAAACGGCAGGATTGGTGGGGTGCCACATCCCAGAGGGGCGCCCATAATGCCGAGATTGGTGGACCACCCACGACAAGATCATGGGCACCCATAATGTAATTGGCGGGGAGCCCATAATGCCGAGTGAGATTGATTAGGCCCCCGCCGAATGAATTGGGTGCCCAAAACTGCTTGATTGCCGCCCCTTGAAGGGCTTGTGTTATATGTGCCCGTTACAAAACTATCTGTGCAAGAACAGATTAAAATTGGTTAGGACTTTCTATAAACCCAAACATTCCGGTCTTTTTGAATCCATGTCAAAATATAAATGTTGATAAGGTAGCCAGTGGTTAGCACGCGTGCACTGTATCGTACAGTCTGTCATTGAGTCAACTGGCGTGGTTTCGAATCCCCGGTTGTATGTGACAAGTAGGGTCGCCTGTCCAACCTCGTGGGTTTTTTCCGGGTCTTCCGGTTTCCTCCCATTGGACCATGTGTTAGTCCCGAAATGTCCTGGTTTGTGTCGAGTGGACGTTAAACCCCATTTCTCTCTCTCTCGGTAGCCAGGGGATATGCGCAAACATTGCACGTCCGAGGCGAGAAGTCAAGATTGTGACGAAGCGAGAGTAGGCCAGAAGGCGAGAAATACTCAAAGGCAAGAAGGCGAGGGAGCGAGAACTCAAAGATTTTCAAAGGCGAGGGAGCGAGAACTCAAAGATTTTCAAAGGCGAGAAGTCGGGGGTGAAAGTGTTAGAACGTGAGGACTTTCAAAAGCGAAAAGTCAAGAATTGGACTTGTCGCTCCCCTAACTTCTCGACTTTTCGATCCCTTGCGTAGGCCTACAACCGGCCCCTGGCTAGATCTATTTCTTAAGGCCACCTCCAGATTTCGTCAAGGTCGCTGAGATGTAAATAAGGTTAGGGCACATGATTTTTGACGAGACTGTGCCTGTGGGTTAGGGCTAGGTCCAAGGCTCGGTTTCAGAATTTGGGGGAGAGGTTGAGTCTCCACATAAGCACTGACCTAGGATGATGAAAATGCAGTTAATGATATTTCCTGGTTTTATAAAAATACAAACGATACATTGAATTTTAGATACAAAGTTGTTTTCGCTGTTTTTTGGTGTTGGTGGCGCTGATGGTCTTCCTTAGGTGATGCTTGTGGTATTCTGGTATTTTTGATACTGAAAAAAAGGAATAAATTTGAGGCTCTCATTAGTGTTTTTCCTACTAAGAATTGGATTTTCTAAAACATATGTTTGTTCCACTGTCACCTGGTTAGGGCTAGGGATTCTTACATCTAGTTGATTTTTTTTACTAAGGATTAGGGCTAGGGTTTGATATATTGTTTGTATTGGGTTAAGGTGAGGACTGGTCTTATTTTGTCTAATTTTCTGTACACTAATAAGATGTCGTTCAGATTTTTTTTATTTTTAGAATATGCAATTATAAGTTTCTGTGTGAAGATTTTGGGATGATTTTCTTGGAGATCAGTACAGTGTTTTCTGATGGTTTGGGACGCACTTACTGCTGTTGCGCTAAATGGGGCTACAAAGGGGTCTATGGCGCTAGCCGTATGAATATTAAATCCTAGTGGGCTGTTGTTTTCCATTTGTCAATCGTGACCAGAATTTTTCAGTTTCTTCTGGGGTTTCAAAATCGCTCTTAGTCTTTTCTGTTTACGTGACAATGAGATCAAAAATGTCATGATTTGGTTGGATGAAGTGAATTGAGACCGGTTTATCCTTTTCGGTGACTATGTCTGGCCGGTGACCGTTAATTCTTTCCCTAAGTGCATTTTGGGTCTCCCCAACGTATTGCATGTCACTTTGTCTACAATAGTTTACTAAATTATGTTTGAACTGCTGCATGAAAGTTAGTCTAATATTGGGAATTGTGTGCCAGATGTTTTGTTATGGAACTGATCGGATATGTTTATGATTTTGCGTGTTTGGCATCTGGGATGGCCACAAGTTTTGGTTTTAACTGCTGATTGCATATTGTTTGTTTCTTTGGCGGCAAGTTCTGCTAGAGTATTGTTTTTATACGTTGGAGATCGCGTTTGAAGTATCCCCGTTCTCTTAGTTTGCTAAATACCAGCATACATGCTGCCTTAAAGTCGACCTTCTGAGTACATATCCTATGGAAACGGAGAACCCGAGATTTAATGATGATAGAGAAAGTATGCTTTGGGTAAAAGGAGCTTTTGAAAAGTAATTGATGTGTATCGGTTTCTTTGAAAAATACTCTAGTTTCCAATTGGCTAGTGTTACTGGTGTTCTACTTTTAAAAACGGTGGTGTCAAGAAAATCTATGCTGTTATGACTTTCTTTTGCGGTTGATTTGGCAGATGGATGATGAGTCTTCAGAATGTTGAAAAACGTCCAAAATTTGTCCAATGTGTACGTCCAGACATACGATCCATGTCCAGACTATGAAAACGTCATCTAAAAAACGTCCATAGAAATCTGGTTTTAATGGGCAGATTGGCAAAACTTCCCTTTCCCACTCCGCCATGAAGAGATTTACAGAACTCGGGGCAAATCGTTTCCCATCGCAGTTCCGGAAGACTAGAAGTATACTAGGTCGTGGAATGTGAAGTTATTCCTCCTCAGACAGATGTCGAGTAATTTTTGGATTTCTTCGTCCGATCTGGATGCTTGCGGGTTCCTAAGAAATGCTCTCCTAACTGCTTCAATACCTGTGTTTTTATCGATATTCGTGAACATGCTCTGTACGTTAATGGATATTAGAATGATGTGCCCAGGAACTTTTAACTGATTTTGCGAATAAAATCGTTGGTGTCTTTAAGGTAGGATGCGTGTTGTCATGCTAGGGGTAATAAGAAATGGTCTATATATTGTGATACGTTATATGATTCGCTGCCATAGTCGGATATTATTAGGCGTCACTAGGGTAATTTATTAGGTAAAAACCATTCTGTTTCTGGCTAGGTCCAGGGCTAGGGTTAGGGTTGGTTTAGCGCTAGCCCTGTTCACATCTCGTGATCTTAGACCAAATCGGCCCACCAGTCCGGCACTGTCACAGATATGTACGTAGTTAAAGCGAGATCAAGCCTTCTATTGAAGATGGATATACTATGAAGAGTAGTGTCATGTGCAGTAAGAGAGAGGAGAGAGAGAGTGTGTTTAACGTCTACTCGACACAAACTAGGTCATTTCGGGACTAACATATGGTTTAATTTTATTCCAATAATTCGCTTGTGCTTAGGGGATCTTTAGCAGTGGGGGGAAACCGGAGAAAACCCACGAGGTTAGATAGGCGACCCTACTCCTTGTCACGTACAACCGATGAATCGAAACCACGCCAGTTGACTCATTGAAAGACGTTATGATACAGCGCGCACGTGCTGAACCGTGCTGAATTATTTGTGTATATGCTTGATAACGACTTGTGAAATCTTGTTGAAACGTCGCAGTGAAATACACCATAGTATTGTTATTTCATAAAAGTGTGTTATTTGATTATGTTTCAATTACTAAATGCCATTCAAAGATTAGAAAATAGGAGCGTTTTTCTTTAAATAACAACATTAAATTTCTTTACGGCACAGTACACAAACAGACAATAATATGCAGTATTGAATCAAAGGTTAACAGGTAAGCTTTCGTCAACTTTCATTTTAATTCAGATTATTTTTTTCTCATTTTATTCAAAGTTACTCTATTTTCGTCATTTGGTTGAACATTAACAAAGGCGGTTGTTGTCAGTAATGTTACGATGACATTAGATAGACCTACAAAAAAACAGAAGAATGTGTTTACGATGTTTACGCTTACTTGGCCCACAAAAAATAGACTCAGTCGGTAGGTCGGTCGGTTGGAAAATCTTTTTATTAAGCTTTCATATTACATATGAAAGCTTATTGTTTCTGTTAAGATTATTATTGTTATTTTTTTTTTTGTGTTTTGTCCACAAATCGGATTTCTCAGAATCTAACCATAGGATCGTTCTGAAACTTTTACCTATCCCCCCAAAAATGGGTGGTGGCTGTTGATTAAATATATTTTCAAAACGTTTTACGAATCCGAAATCACCGAATTTTACGAAGGAATGCATTTGACCTACAATGCTGTAACTTTGTGACTATTTGACCTATTTTACTAATTCTTTTTTCTTTGAGTATCTTGAAACATTTACTTCAAATCTGCAATTTCGGATTTTGGCATTTCGAAAATTCGTCGCTGTCATTTCGAACCGGAAGTTATTACCAATTTGACAACTTCTTTAATAGTTGTGCGATTTTCGTGAAATTTAGAATGTTAGTAGATCTTGCCAATGCGACTTCAATGATGTCCTTGGAAATTTTCTAAATTATCTCCCCTTGGTGAAATTAAGGATCAAAGTTTTCAAAAAAATCGTCGAAATATAGGTCAGAATGACCTAAAAAAAAAATTCGATACTAGACAAGTAATTACTGATTCGTACACAAAATATGGAGTTTGTCGATCGAACCGGAAGTGCCACCATCTTTAAACGTGAAAAATCAAAAAGGCTTTTTTGCTATTTTACTTACAGACTCGGGCGTCATATTTTCGGAATCCTGGAAGGAATGCCTAAAAATCTATCGGATCAGAATTTTGATTTCGGTCACGTGATGGTCACCATTTTGAATTGAAAATGAAAAATAGAAGCAATTTGAAGGGCCGGGACTTTGGAACACAAGAACTCTCCTTCTAATTAAGCTAGACTGTTCAAACTTGGTGTAGGCGTTCACTAGGTCAATGTCATGATTGAGTTCAAAGTTGAGCATTTTTTGCCTAGGGTAAGCAGAGATAAGCAAGCTGATTTGTTGATTCTTTAGGGCACGATGACATTGGTTATAATGAATGGAGGGCGATGAAACTCTTGTCAATCGAGAGGCTAATAGCTGGCCTGTTGTGTGAAATCATTGTATCATTTTTTGAAAATGTCCGGGGTAGCCGAAAAAAGGAGATCGAAATCCAAAAAGTCGTATTTTTACGATTTGGGGCATTTTTAGAGGTCGTGTAAAGTAAAATAAAGCATGCATATACATATATTATTGATATTAAATATATCATATAAAAAACTAAACAATGAATCAGCTGTCATTGACAGATTTTATATTATAAGCATGGTCAGTGGAAGGTCAGCGTATTGTCTAACTTGAACTCACTGACTCCGTAACATTATTGTGGGTATGGTATAAGCTGAATTTGATGAGATGCACATATCGCGTATGACTATTTGGTACTTACAGTGTTAGACTTTGTCGTAACGTTACGGTCTCCATTCATCAAATCGTCGTTGGGGCTATAATACGATTTTGAATCAAGTTATTTATCACTGAGGGACTCAAAATTAGGTTTGATGTAGCTCTGCTCATTTACAGTGGCGAATTTAACGGGCTCATGGGTTCCAGCTCCCTCCTCTAGAAATTTCACAGCACCCGCATGGATTGTGGCTAATTTTGTGGCAGAATTTTATTTTTCTGGGGGAGGTATTTCTAAATGGCTCCGACACAAGTGCCTGAAATGCCATGAAATCACGTTTTCGGCCTCCAATTAAAATTTCTTAGCGGGAGAACCCCCTGACCCGACCCCCTTGCGGGGCTTCACGGTCGGTATCAGCCCCCCTCCCCACCACCATGTACAAGTTCATTGCCTCATTGTCAAAGATCCCACTTTTCTACCCCAGTTCGGGTAATGAGGTCGAGCGTATATTGTATAGGGGATATTAAACAAGCAAACAGTATGGCTGATGTCTCCCGCCAAAACCCCAAAGTAAAAGATGACACATTAATTAATCGCACTTTCATATTTTTTTCAAAAGTATCGAGCAATCAAACTATACTGTAAATTTCATCACTCTCTGTCAAATAGAAATCAAGGTTATCTTGTCCCAAAGCATCGACCAATGAAATTGCCAAGCTGTAGCTCAAAATGTTCAGTCAAGACCTGATGAACATCTACACCAAGTTTAAACATTCTAGCTCAATTAAAAGCTGGGTTGTTATGTTCCAGTACTTCATTATAACCAAAGTTATCATACCCCAAAGCATCAACCAATTCAAAGTCCCGGCCAATCAAGTTGCTTTGCTTATCCTGACTAAGAGAATGCTCATTGTCGAACTTGGTCAAGGTAATATGGTCAAGGTACTAATGTAATGAAACTATACACAACGTTTCATCAAATTGCTTATCTCTGCTTACCCATTTTAATAGTCCCCTGCCAATCGAAAAGCCCCCCGACCCACCCACTCCACTCCCGTGTAATACATTAGGTTATAATTGTGTTACAAACGTATCACAAGGAGCATTTGAATATTCTCTCTGAGGCATCTGATACCACTTGTCATTGAGGTGTTCACACAGCCAACTCATTTTTGTTTGTTTGTGTTATCTTTATTCAGTATAAATCAACTAATACAAATGAAAAAAAGTACTTGGTTTAATGAGATTATCTTTTGAGAGTTGGTCATACAGGTATCACTAATCATAATTGCTCTTAACTTCAAATATATACACGATTATGTGTATTCTAAATATCAAATAAAACAATGATGATTTCTTTACAATAGCAGTACAACAAATTTATTCGCAATATTTTCCTTTGATCAGTTGATCAAAAACCTGATTATATTTACAATATATTCTAGGTCTTTGCTCTTTATTCCATTGGTTCAAAATATGATAAAAGAGGCTTATCAAAAAGTTTATATCATGTAGTCTTATATAACAAATAGAACAATGACATACAAGATGTTTCAAATCATAATCTATTTGCATTATTTATTTCAATAATTTGACCTGTGATATTCATGTATAAAGCAAAATAGTAAACATTGAATTTCATTCACTTTTATGTATAATATAGTATTAAACCGGTTAATTATTGTATACAACATTTATTTAATTTCATAGCAACATTTTATACTATTGTATTCATTGTAGTTTTTTGTCATTATTAGCCCAGTCCGTGCATAGCATTATGATGTGAAATCCCATTTCATTTCAATTATAATAGTCTTCATCTAGAAACAATATTACTATTTATATTGGTATGTTACTACCAAGATATAACAATAAAATTAGCAAAAGTATGTATAAATTAATAAAGTTCTCTTTAGTATCTTTCATGAATAGTCAATTGTTCAATACCATTATTTCTCTTCACCTCATGCAAATAAATTGAAATGGGATTTAATGTTCAACTGTTTTACTTCACAACTTACATAAATCATTTGGTGATAAAGAAACATACATTTCTAGTATTTTTTTAACATAGTGTACTATACTATGCATCATTATATAGAAGACATATGAATGAATAAACAAAAATATGGCAAAATGAACAACATGAGAATGATTGTAGAAGTATAAGAACAAAGCAATTGTTTAATATTAAAAATATTTGATTTTCTTCTATTTTAAAGTTACATCCTTTACATTTGTATTTATACATTGTATGCAAAACATAATTAGAGAGAAATGGGTTTAACGTCCACTCAACACAAACAAGGTCATTTCGGGACTAACATATGGTTTAATAGTTCACAGCTACATGTACAGTTGTAAAAATACTGTAGTGGCTAATTGAAAGGGAACATGTATGTGGGTTTAGAATGTTTATCTTAGTGGAAAAAAATCATGTGGTTCAATGCTTATAAAGTGCTACTGATCTCCATTATTTCAAAAGCATATCACTCAACTACTGTCAAACATATCCCCTGGCTAGAATATGCTACAAATCGACTCTAGCATGTTCCATACAAGCGATAATTTCTGAGCAAACATCCAACAACCAACCCTAACAGGCCCTTGAGATCCAACAAACAAAATAATTATTGGGCTTGTTTGCCCACACCTGGTCTTATGATTCATACAAGACCTGATAGTCTATCAATTACAGGCATTTGACAGAAAGGGAGATAATTCTTTTTTACCGTTAATGGATTTCCACAATTCTTTATTCACCCATGACATTTGTGTTTTGAGCATTTTTATTTACATCAAAATCTGTCCAATAAACTGTTCATTGCCAAGGATGAAGGCATGAGGTGTTTTACCAACTATTTAATTTTATGTCAACTTCAGAATTGTTAGTACACAAATAGCATTTATTTGACAATTTTGACGAATTTCATCTGGCCCTAAATCAATAAATTGCAAACATTTTGCTTGGAACTCCCAGATTTTGTCTTCCTGGCATCATAAGCTTTCCAAAAATGTATAGTTTTTCTTTTATGGAAGACCGTGTAGCGGAGTTGTGTTTCTAAGCTAGCTAGAAATTTTGGCTGCAGGCCTACACCTCCCAAGCTAAATTTCCCTCATGTCATCCTGTATAGCAAAGGCATATGCCTGTCTTAATTAACCCAGTACTAAACACAATTTACTTGTTTAATTTTTCCAGCATTTTTCAGGATAGCTGATGGGATGCGGGTCAAGTTATGCCACTTGTCTATTTAATTATTTACCAGTGAAAAATCGAATTAACTTCACCAAATTTTTACTCATTATAATGATTTTTTTTTTTCTGTTCATATTATTTCTATGACATGTGACAGTGACTGTGAATATGAAAGCTTTAATATCTGCTTAGCAGATCTAGTTTTATTTTATTTTATTTTTTTTATTTTCCCGGGGGTTTTATTATCTATTTCCTAGTATTACTAGCTTAATTACTGAGTAGAGTTCTGGAAAATAATACCAAAATTGAAATGTTGGAATTTGTCGACAGAAAATCACGCCCTGGAAAATGAGAGAAAAAAGGTTATAGTCAGAGATTTCGGCTAAAAAAACCCCCCAAAACACGGTCCTGGCAAGGGTTAACGTGTAGTAGTTTGGATTGGACGAAAAACCGAGGTCCCGTGTACACACTGGCGTGCATGTAAAAGAACCCTCGGCAGTTGAAATTCGAAATAAGAATAGGGGTGCCGCTGTAGGACTTTAAAACCCATTTTGTTTCATTTGAGTTTTGACAAATGTAGGGTGTTAAAGCCATTTTATTTCATTTCATTTCATTTGAGTTTTGACATTTATACTGTCTGACTAGATCCGGTTTGGTTATGGTGTATTAGCAATGGACGCCACCGAGTAATATCTAACCTCATAGAATGCTGTTCGTTTCGTGATATGACTATATCACCGTGGAATGCCATTCAGTTTAGTGTGATAGGATGTGAGGACATGTTGAAGGTACGTGACAAACTTAGAAATATTGATATTAATTCAAATCATTTAATCTAGTTTTGTAAATATAAGTAGGTCTAATACTTTTTGTTTCTCAATTTTAACAAAAAGTATGTCATGTTACTTTCTTGACTTTGTAGTTTGTTTGCTAAAATGAAATGGGGTTTAACGTCCCTGGGTTCTGCTCCGACTGGAGTAATGAAGACGGGCATACGTCATACAGTGTACAATGCGGGAAATTTCGCCAACACTGCTGCGCTTACTCTAAAATCGAATTCCAACTGCCAAGGGTTCTTTTATGTGCATGTCAACTGTGACAAAGTGTTGGTATTTATATATATATATTAGCTTGTGTCATTATGATATCGTCATATCAAATTATAGCTGCCTCACTATCCCCAGACCCTACGGATATCATGTCAAATTACATGTTCCTGAAGCAAAGACTGCGAGTTTTAAAACATCTAGCTGTTGCTAGATTAGTCTGAAATTCTTAAACTTTTAGGTAGTTACCCTTACGTGATACAAACACAGTCATAAATGAATAGATTCGTTTACAGTCGTTGAAAGCTTTTTTTTTAATTGAAAAACTCACGGAAAACCAAAACGAAAAGTAAATTAGAAAAGTTTGGACTAAGATCTGAGGTGGCTTATAGCATAATCATAGCCGAAAGCGCGCGACTTGGTATTTGCGAAGATATTTTCTATCGAGGAATCAGGGAGGTCCCCTGCTGGGTCAGGAACCAATCGAAATTCGTGCCGAAAAATGCTGGGTATTACGTGAAGGGCTTGGTAAGATGTACGGAGTTAAAACGAGATCAAGTCTTCTATTAAAGTAGCTAAGTCTCTAACTCAATATCATCAAAACTCTTCAACATTGAAAACACGATTTATTTGTCAAATTAAATCAACATTCATGTTGTGATCTTACCGGAAAAAGATGGGCTTTTGATATCCAATATTTAAGACAAAATAAACATTTTACCATTGGTACACGAATCGTGTACCATAATGCGCTTCAGACCCAGTTGTATCAAGAGACTCGAGGGACGACACTAGATACATTGCACCAAATCAAACGGCGTATGTAGACTGGAATAACCAGACGCTAGAAATTTGCACTCGCTTGAGACTGCTGGCTTATTTCGCCGAACATAACTGATTTGAAATTGGAGTAAAAACGGAAACCATTGAATGTAAATCAGTTTATATACATTCATATTACAGTATTATATGCGTTGCGACCCACTTTTGTCAATTTCTAGGTCCCAAATGTTAGCGATTTAGCTCCTTTAAAGATCTTTTAGAGGCATTTAGTAACTGGATAGAGCAAGTCTTCTATTAAAGATGATCAAATTATAGCTGTCTCACTGTCACCACGGATACTATCATGTCAATCTATAGCTGACTTACTAACTCTACGGATACCATCACATCAAACTTTGCTAGAACTGAATCAATGTCTCTAGACCCCAGGCCAATATGCCAATCAGCTAGTTGGCCAATTGCCCAATGTGGCCGAATTGTCTACTAATTTTACCAAAAGATAAAACCAGTTAAAAAGAATATCGCAAACTCGGGATTCATAAGGTAATCATTTGGCCAAATATCTGGTTTTACAGATTGACTATAACATTAATATGGACAGTAGAGTGCACGTTTATATATGGACTGTATACTGTACAAGTGTATGTATTGTATATTGTTTAATGGTCGAGAGCGTTTTTACAATATACATGTATTACGTAATGTCTTAAGCTCGAGACCATTAAACGACTAATAATACAGACACTCCGCACGTGCTTTTACAGTGAAATACGTCACGCGAGTCCAATATTTCACTAGTATAAATAATGTACGATTGGCAAGTTGCCCGTACGATTATTTCAAATAATGGTACGCCAACATGAAAGGGTAGTGGCACATCTGTATTTTAAAATATTATATAGTACAAGCTTATATATGGACAACATACAATGCAAGTGTACAGTGAATCGACAATACAAGAGAATATTTCGACTGCATACAGTACACGGGTATATTTGGATAGTAGGCTATAAGTGTACATATACAATATAAAATACAGGTGTATAAATAGACAGTACATTATGTGTATAGGGGCTTACAATGCAAGTGTATGAACAGTACAAGTGTATATATATGGACAGTACAGGTGTATATGTACTGTATACAGTATCGGTGTTTAGAAGGGCCATGATAAAGAACAATGTTATAATACATACGACTCGTACATAATCTTAAAACTTTTGCATGAAAGCTATGGATTGTCAAATTAAAAATTATATTCTTACCGACAAGCGAAAAAGTGTTCTAATGTCTCTTTAAATCTAAAAGTACAATATGGTGTTAAGTTGTACATGTGATACAGTAATATAATAATATAGAGTATGTTGACATTGACGATATCACCTTGTGTTTGTTTATCAACACTCTAATCTAAATACCAACTCAATAACACTGATTCCGTATATCAACTAGTAATGAATGAAATTAGGTTCAACGTCCCATTTTCTGCACCAACGGGGTTTATGAAATGAAATGGGGTTTAAGGTCCTACTTTTCTGCTCTGACTGGACTAAAGAAGACGCGCGCACACCATACATTTTGCCCGGACTGCAATTGAATTTCAGCCAACTACGACTCTTTTACGTGGACGCCTAGCTTTTTAGTCCCATCCGCACGATTAGACGCTGTTCCTTGCCAGTCCGTCCGTCCTTCACCACCGATAAGGTGGATCCATGCTTGAAAATACCTGGAAATGTTCTTGGCCAAGATCTGGAACAAACCCCTGACCGCGGGATTAGTGACCAGCGCCGTATTCTCTGAAGGTATCAAATATTCAACATGCATTATGCAAAAGCTAAATCTGCCTATTGCCTTTCTTTTCTTAGGCCTTAAATGTTATCGTAATTATAAATAAGACATTAATTAACTTATCAAGACCATAATCAGCTCTCGATGCCATCGTTAGCCTGCAATATTTAGTGGATTTGAATACATTTTGTTACGGGTGTTTTAACGTAAAAATGGATAATCGAGACTTTGTTTATTATCGTACCAACGGTAGTGAGTGAAGCAATTTGACTGGAATATTCTACATATTCTGTTTTCTTCATTATATATTTATATTGTTTAGAGTGTACTGTAAACCAAAAACCCAATCAACCTTAAAGGGACTATCCCTTATTTGAACAGAGTCTCAAAAATAAAAGTCTGAGTATGTATGAAATTTAAACGCCAAAATATAGAGGAATGATGTATTTACCTTATCTCAAAATTTCAGCTCAAAATATTGAGTCGTTTGGACGTGACCGTCAAAACTGCTTATCCGGACACGTAACCCTTTTAAGATTTCGGGTCAATTTTTTAGTTGGGTGACCTGGTAATCGATTCCCGTTCATTGAGAGGTCTATACAGTGAATGACCCGAATGCTGTTCTTGATAACGAAAGGTAAATTTTACCTACATATTATTTTTATACCAAAAATGTCTGGTTTTATCTAGACACCACATAATACAACTTGGGACAACAGTCCCCATTTCCAGATGAAGACTGACGGGTTTCAGTTATTTGAAAACTTATCACAAATATTGAGTTAGTTGCTCGGCCCTTAGGTAGAGGATCTTAAAACAAAATTAGACAGTTTTATTCTCCAAAAAATTATCAGGATTAGCCCTTTAAAACTGTTGTTTGGTTAAACACTAAATCTAAGAGTTCTACTTATAGATATAATGAATTCTAGTGTTGTCTCCCACAGCAAACATACATTTATACTAGAAATGAAATGCACATATAGTAATAGTGGCCGATCATGTAAGGTGAACGCGCTAAAGGTTTCAGTTGTCTTCTGATATAGTTTGAACTTGGATTTCAGAAGCTGAAGTTGCTTGTTAGAAGGTAACCTCTGTACAATGAACATTTGTATATGAATGAAGATTGCTGTTTTTATTTATGCCGTATAAGGATAGTAATATTGTAGTAAAACTATAAGGATAGTAATATCGTAGTAAAAATATAAGGATAGTAATATCGTAATAAAACTATGGTGGTGGTAACATCGTAATAAACCTACAAGGATCTATTATCGTAATACAACTAGAAGATTGACTATAAGGATATTAATATCGTAATAAATCTATAAAGATAGTAATATCATAATAAAACTAAAAGGATAGTAATATAGTAATATAACTATAAGGATAGTAATATCGTAATAAAACTATAATAGAGTTATATCGTAAGGATATTAAGGATAGTAATATCGTAATAAAACTATAAGGATAGTAATATAGTAATATAACTATAAGGATAGTAATATAGTAATATAACTATTAGGATAGAAATATCGTAATAAAACTATAATAGAGTTATATCGTAAGGATAGCAATATCGTAATAAAACTAAAAAGATAGTAATATTGTAAAAAGACAATAAGGATAGTAATATTGTAATAAGACAATAAGGATAGTAATTTTGTAATAACACTAGAAAGATAGTAATATATTAATACAACCATTGTCTGTTTACATAAATTCCAGGACAATAACCAGAACGCACAGGCATGAAATTTGACGATATTCTTCACCATGTTGGTGAATTTGGACCGTACCAACGACGATTATACTTTTTGGTTTGTTTACCTGCCATTACCATCGCCTTCCATGGTATGATGCCTATATTTATATTAGATATACCTGATTATAGGTAAGATATTTATATTAGATATAAACTGTTATCTCTTTATATATATTTATTGTCACGCAATTAGTTTTTCTGCAATATTCTGCTATGCACTGGTTAATTGGGCATACTCAAATCGTGAGTCATGACGTAACGTTATGTAAACATATTTGGACCAATTTGGAGCTCAGTTTAAGGCGTAATGATATTATTACGCAGTTAGCTATTGGTTGTTAATCGGACTATTGACCAGTCATAATTTGGAACAGAAATTTGCTTCCTTTTAAGCAGTGTTAAGTGGGTTTAGGTATAATCAAACGAAACACTGCAAGGAGTATGCCTCTGACTCAATGTGTCGTTTTTTGTACTGATATTGATGTACTGAGCTGAAAGGTTGGGTAACAAAATGGCGGTCATGGTCCGAGTCATCCTCGGTATCCCCAGTGTTCTCATTCCGTTCTACTCCACTATGCCATAAGGTTTCCACGATTTCAAATTATCTGCCTTGGCCTTTATTGTAGATCAGGTCTACGAACTAATCAAAAATCAGTTTACAACCCAGTCGTTTTGCCTTCGATTTATTAAGGGTAGATAACCATATTCATGTCCATTTACTGAATGATTTATGTAAATAATGTATATATATTGTATTATCAAAATCTCTAGTATGTTTCGCTGATTTCAAATGTGTATAACATCTATATGTTTGACATTTGTTATTATTATTACTACAGTGTATTCGTTCTTTGTCTGAAATATTTCATTCTTTTATGTTTATTATTATTGAACTCACACTTGTCTACGATATCACCTGGACGTAAAACGGGAAAGAACGAACGAACGAACGAAAGTTTCTCAATAAAACTCTTGGTCCTACATAGAAAAAATAGCCCGGTCTTCATTAATATAATTTGTTGATAAAAAAATACGCAATTAGAATAATTTGGACTTCTCTCATTTAAGCTATCTCCTAACCTTGTCCGGTGACAGTTACTTCCCTTTGCCAACGTCATTTTCAATTAACGATGTATGGAATTGGTCGATAAAAATAGCACAATCATCAAGGGCGGATAATTTGAAAACGTGCCTTCCTCATAGATTAACCAAGGGGTTAGTGGAGTAGAACGGAATGAAATCACTGGGGATACTGAGGATGGGTCCGAGTTGTCCCGAGTCTCTTTATATATAGCTTTGTTTATACCATCTGTGAATCTTTCTCTAAAATGATCGTCCCGACGCCCCCTCCCGCCAACACACACCCTAGCCTATGTCACCCCACACCCCCAGCCTAAGTTCAGTTCCCTTTGCAAACCCCAATGCCGGCATTGGTACACATTGGTCTATTTGAATATGTTGCTGTAATAACATCGGTTTTACAGATCAGGTTGTGATGGAATAAATTATGTTGTAATCACTTCCGGGAATTTAAGATTTTTGTTTTTATTTGAAAGATGTGCGATTCCTGGTCTAAAGAATGACAGTTATGGGTCAGGTGGTATTTGGCATCAAGAATTGTTAAATGATTCTATACCGTATAAAGATGGCAAACTATCGCAATGTTTGGTATATGACAATACAACAGGTCATCATGACGCCAATAGCAGCGTCAAACAATGTGATCAATGGGTTTATGATGAGTCTGTATATGAGAATACCGCAGTAACACAGGTAAGTAACAGAACTACAAACGTTTTATTTCACCCTCCTCATTGTTGATATGTAAGAAACTGTCTTCCCACTCGCCAACACTCGAAATAATCTACAAACTCTCCCTACTTCTCAACTGTCACCCTTTGACTTCTTTTCCAGATAACAAATATTGGAAAATAATGTCAACTCCTTCCCGAAATATAATTAGTGCTAGGATTTAGAATTGTTGGTCAACTAGATCAGTGTGTTCCCAAGTGGAGCTAATGGTAGACAGACAGCATAAGTTTAGTATGCGTAGTCAGGTGTGCACATCATTGAACTAGTCCTCTCTGACAACTTATAACCATCTTCACTCAAACTAGATGCATGTGCAAAAATTTCAAATTATTTTAGATATGAGTAGCAAAATGAAACTGACAATGGTATAATATTTGTAAAACTCCACCTCATCGCATCTACCCCAGTCTGTATTTGATTCAAACAAAACGTCAAAATAGCAATGAATTTTATATGATTTAGAATATACATGTAATTTATAATATAATTTATAATATAATTTATTTTAATATAATTATTATATAATTTATTTAAGTTACAATATAAATTATAATATAAATTATAATATAATTTATTACCTAATTTATTATATAATCTGTAACATAATTTATTACATAATTTGTAATATAATTTATTATATAATTTATGATATAATTTGTTGTATAATTTATTATATAATTTCAGTTGAATTTAGTGTGTGGTAAAGAAATAGATAGATCCCATCTCAATATGATAAATATGGCCGGAAATCTGGTCGGTTCGTTAGGATTTGGACTTTTATCTGATATGTAAGTTTTAGAAATTTGGTGTAATTCACGTCTCTTATCAATCACCACTAACTAGGTCATTTTGGGACTAACATATGGTTTAATTTTATTTCAATAAATCTTTAGCAGTAGAAGCAAATCGGAGGACCCGGAGAAAACCACACCACTTCACTCAGTGACATTAGCAAACCTTATGAACTAAAGTCCGCGTATTGTACATTCAACCATACAACCCCCCACTATGATACTAGACTTGGTCACCTAGAATCTCCTAGTCTTCAACGTACGGAGGGTCTGGGTCGGTTGTCAACATCAATTTGGCGAAATTTACTGGATAATCAACCACATTAAAAAACAAACTCCCGGTGACACATGGACAATGGAACATTTTAGCTAAAGTCATGGTTACGGCGAACTGGGATTAATAAAAAAAACCCATAGACATTGTCCTTGAACAGGAAAATTTACAATGTTGAACGGGCAATGCAAATATAGACTACTATAATACAGGACATGACATGGTCATAACTTAATCCGATAAAATGGTCTTCAATAACCCCTACAAATTTTATTGTCCCCCGCCTTTCGAAGAAAGCAGGGGACTATTAAAATGGGTTCGTCCGTCTGTCTGTCCGTCACACTTTTTGGGACACAATAACTCTCTTCCTAATTGAGCTAGAATGTTCAAACTTGGTGTATGTGTTTATTAGGTCAATGCCTTGATGGAGTTCGAAGATGAGCATTTTCCGCTTAGGGTAAGCAGAGATAAGCGATTTGATTGGTTGATGCTTTGGGACACGATAACTCTCTTCCTAATTGGGCTAGAATGTTCAAACTTGGTGTATGTGTTGATTAGGTCAATGCCTTGATGGAGTTCGAAGATGAGCATTTTCCGCTTAGGGTAAGCAGAGATAAGCAATTTGATTGGTTGATGCTTTGGGACACGATAACTTTTAATTGAGCTAGAATGTTCAAACTTGGTGTATGTGTTTATTAGGTCAATGCCTTGATGGAGTTCGAAGATGAGCATTTTCCGCTTAGGGTAAGCAGAGATAAGCAATTTGATTGGTTGATACTTTGGGACACGATAACTCTCTTCCTAATTGAATGTTCAAACTTGGTGTATGTGTTGATTAGGTCAATGCCTTGACGGAGTTCGAAGATGAGCATTTTCCGCTTAGGGTAAGCAGAGATAAGCAATTTGATTGGTTGATGCTTTGGGACACGATAACTTTAGTTGTCCCCCGCCTTTTGAAGAAAGCAGGGGACTATTAAAATGGGTTCGTCCGTCTGTCTGTCTGTCCGCCTGCCTGTCCGTCCGTCTGTCTGTCCGTCACACTTTTTGGGACACAATAACTCTCCTTCTAATTGACCTAGAATGTTCAAACTTGGTGTGGGTGTATATTAGGTCAATGCTTTGATGGAGTTCGAAGATGAGCATTTTCTGCTTAGTGTAAGCAGAGATAAGCAATTTGATTGGTTGATGCTTTGGGACACGATAACTTTAGTTCTAATTAAGTGAGAGTGATGAAACTTGGTGTATAGTTTTATTACATCAGTACCTTGACTAAGTTCGATGATGAGCATTTTCTGCTCAGGGTAAGCAGAGCGATAAGCAATTTGATTGGCCGAGACTTCGGAACACAATAACTCTCCTTCTAATTCAGCTAAAATGTTCACACTGCTTCTAATTGAGGTAGAATGTTTAAACTTGATGTAGATGTTCGTCTTGACTGAGTTCAATGATTAACATATCGATCTCAAGCTAAGCAGAGATAAGCAATTTCCTTGGTCGATGCTTTGGGACAATATAACTTTGATTCTGTCTGATAGAGAGTGATGAAATTTAGTGTATAGTTGATAATCAGTTTGATTGCTCGATACTTTTGAAAAAAATAGATGTGCGATTAATTAATATGTGGCATCTATTTATTTGCGGATTTCGGCGGGGGACATCAGCCTCACTGTTGGCTTGTTTTATTTCTATGCACATTATGTTTATGTGAGTGTGTGGTTTTTTTTTTAAATTTTTTTCAAGACTTGGGCGGAAGAAAGTGATGATGATTAATATAATAATACATATTACAGCTGGTATAGGAACCGCTTTTATAACAGATTTTACAGGCTTAGCGATACTCAGGTTCATGGATGGCACGTCTAATTCTGGTCTATTTCTCATGGTCTTTGGTATAGGTAAGATATATTTTATGAACATCAGGCATTTATCGAGATTTTTTTGAATTGATAAACGTCGTCGTTCGGATGGGACGAAATTCCGATTTTGACGTGGTGCGTTATTCTTAAGATTATGAAATAACTGATCCGTTATGTATATTAGTATGACGTAAGTAGCCTGTTTTACATAGAATTTTGACGTTAATGGCTCGTCGTGCATACGGTTAGCACGTGCGCGCTGTATCATAAAGTCTGTCATTCAACTGGCGTGGTTTCGATACCCCGGTTGTACGTGACAAGGAGTAGGGTCGCCTGTCCAACCTCATGGGTTTTCTCCGGGTCCTCCGGTTTCCTCCCACTACTAAAGACCCCTACGCGCAGGCGAATTATTGAAATAAAATTAAACCATATGTTAGTCCCGAAATGACCTAGTTTGTGTCGAGTGGACGTTAAACACAATTTCTCTCCCTCTCTCTCGCCGTGCATACAATTATGACGTTATTGGTTCATTGTACTTATGATCTTGGCGTTATTAGTCAATTGTGCTTATTAATATGATCATGCCATTATTAGTTCATAATGATCACGAGGTTCATTATGCATATAATTGTGACGTCAATGGTTGATTATGCATATAAATATGACGTTAAATATTACAGGCATGGAACTTGTGGGTCCTTCAAAAAGAACATTTTGTGGAATTGTCATAGACTTTTTTTGGATTCTTGGATTATTTGGTCTTGGTGGTTTAGCGTACTGGTTAAGAGACTGGCGACATTTAACTTTAGCCTGTTCTATACCTGCCGTGGTCTTTCTGTCTTATGGCTGGTAAATATATTTTGAATATTAGGTATAGACGGGGATTCTATCCATCAATAGGCGTAACGGATGTTTTATAGAGCGGACAGAGTTATTATGACCTAAAAGTAGACCAAACTGAATGAATCGTTGATATTGTATAACTGGGTGAATCGCTATTATTGTGTGAACTGAATATTATGTTTCACAACAAGCCAGATCATTTACATATATTAAATGCAAAATTTGTACCATTTTAATGTAAAGGCAGTAGTTGTTAAGCATTTTCTGGTATACAAAGACATTCATATCATTGCTATATTAATTTGTCTAAAAGAAGAGAAACAATATAAACCAATGTAAACCTAAAATAACTATAAATAAGTTAGATTTGGTCGATGCGTGTAATTGTGGACCAATCAGAGCTATGACATCCTACTTTTGTTTTATGTGGATTATTATTATTAGTAATGATGTAATTAGTAATATATATTTATAAGGCCCCCTATAATGCAACGGATTCTATATAGTCTGATTGTCTTGGACTTGAAGATGAATCATGTAAGAGCTAAATCTGTCTATTGTAGTTTTTTCTTTTGCCTTCAAATGTTATGTAAATTATTATTTAGACATTTATTCACGAGGCAAGCCTATAATCAACTTTCTAGGTCATCGGATGACCGAGATTTAAATGGATTTGATCACCTGCGCGATTTAAAAATGTAATGATCAAATGGATAATGAAGACTTAGTCTCGGTTGTCAAGTACCGTTATTACGATAATAAACAATTTACGCCACTTTTTTAAACAGTAATAACTTCGCTCAGAATAAAGTAATTTGAATGAAATTTTCAATATATTCAATGTTCATCATCTACTTTTGAACTATTATAACAAGAACTGTCATCTCTTTATCTAAATCCTACATTATTCATATTCAATACACTGACAACACCCTATTTTACAATCGTACAGACATTTCCTACTTTGCAGCAGTGACACACGTGGGACTGACAAAGGTGTGGTTCAAACCATGTGTAAACAAATCATTCGAATGGCACGAAAGCCCCAATTCCGATGTACCTCAGATATTTTTTACTATTTTTAATGTGAAGAAAAGCATTACAAAAACCAAGTGACCTAAACATATTATTGAACCAGCTGTCATTCTTACAATCTCCTTCTAGGCTAGTTCCTGAGTCTCCAAGATGGCTTCTATCAAGGGGACGCAACGACGAAGCAGAAGCCATTATCAAAAAAGTGGCCGAATCTAATAAAAGGGTTGTACCATCGAATATGTTTGGAGATGACACGCTAGACGAAGGCCCTAAATCAAAACTATCAGAAATGTTTACAACCCCACGATTGGTTATAACATCAGTTATACTGTTTTATAATTGGTAAGATTAAAGATATAACATATTTATACAGAAAACAATCACAATTGTACTTACTTTTCATATAACTGTCCTTTGTCGTATCCTATATATGTGTCAACAATTAAATTCCTTTAAAAGAGGGACTTGGTAATACCCGTTACGAAAAAATTATGTACATATCAAAGAAAGACAACAGAAACACCACACTGATCCGCAGTGAATATCTGCTAGGCCGCTACAATCACTGATAAGGATGACATCGATGCGGCTTAATGAGCCAGAAATATTAACTTTTTTCCTGCGACAAATTAAATTCTAAAACATTTTTTTTATGTATTGGAAAAATAAATAAAGGCGTTTGACGTATTTGTAGGTAAAAATTATTTCCTATTTAGTGTAAATGGGTATTAAAATGACTAAAATGCAGCATTCTCTCCTAAGCAGTAACGTCTTATGTAAACAATGCACACGCCATTCAGCCAATGATTGACGCCGCGTGCTGTGACAGCACGTGTTAAGTCAGTCATCTTTGACAGAGATATATCATTAGACTCGTAATGATCTGTGAAACAGATTGCAGAAACACAACCCAAGTCTTCTGCCGTTTCGTTTGGAGCAGTGCTTCTCAACCGGGGGCCATGTGCACCCCCAGGGGTGAATTCGAAATGCTCGGGGGTGAATTTTGGAAAAAGGGGGAATTGGGGGTGAATTATACACAAAGGGGTGAATTTTGTGAATAGGGGCCAATAGCAGATGGACGAATTGACAGTCCGCAGAAGTGAAGCGTTGCTACTCGCTTATGTGCGATATGTAGAGAACGGACAATTCAGAGACGAGATGTTCTTTTGCGAACAACTGAAAACAACCACAACTGCGGCAGATATCTACACAATATATACCAAATACATGCTAGAATCACGTATTCCACTACAAAACGTAATATCATGCGCAGCAGACGGTGCTCCAGCTATGATGGGTAGACGGCAGGGAGTTCTGAAGCTGATGAAGGATGACAATCCTTGCGTGTTGACTGTGCACTGTGTCACCAGAATTAAACACTGTCATGAAAGCAGTTATTAAGTGTATCAACCTAATGAAGTCAAATGCTAAACAAGAACGCCTTTTCAAAGACTTCTGTTCGCAAATGGAAGAAACTAATATTTGAATACAGAAGTGCGCTGGCTGTCCAAGGGTAACTGTTTGGATCGGTTTATCGAGTTGTATGATGCTATGGATGAGTTTATGGCTGATAAAGACGAAATGGCTGTCTTATGAGGGGCCGAAGCAAAAGCACAAGTCTGTTATCTTGAATGCGGAGTTGCAGGGTGCAAACAAGACGCTTCTGGATTCAAAAACGAAAATATTCGGTTTTGTTACCGTCAATACAGAATGGAAATAGCCAGGCGGGAGTTTGTGAACTTCATTCGTTTGAGTTCTTGTGATGATGTTTCAGATCGGGTCTTGACTGTGATCACGCGTCACCTACAAAATATAATGACAGAGTTCACACAGAGATTCGTCGACTTGAGTGAGACTTTCCTGGGTGGCTTATCTATATATATATTTGTGACTGTCGTTTGTCTGTCTGTCTGTCTGTCTGTCTGTTCGGGGTTGGCGGCTATACTAGGTCTGCCCCGAGTCTGAAATTTGGGGTATAGGGCTAGCCCGGACCGGGGAGTAACATAGGCTAGGTGGCGTTAGTCTACCACTTCCGGTTTCGGAGTTATGACCCCCGAGCGAAGCCGGTCTGTTCGGGGTTGGCGGCTACACTAGGTCTGCCCCGAGTCTGAAATTTTGGGTATAGGGGTAGCTCGGACCGGGGAGTAACATAGGACAGGTGGCGTTAGTCTACCACTTCCGGTTTCGGAGTTATGACCCCCGAGCGAAGTCTGTCTATTCGGGGTTGGCGGCTACACTAGGTCTGCCCCGAGTCTGAAATTTGGGGTATAGGGGTAGCTCGGACCGGGGAGTAACATAGGCCAGGTGGCGTTAATCTACCACTTCCGGTTTCGGAGTTATGACCCGCGAGCGAAGAAGGTCTGTTCGGGGTTGGCGGCTACACTAGGTCTGCCTCGAGTCTAGAATTTGGGGTATAGGGGTAGCTCAGACCGGGGGGGGGGGTAACATAGGCCAGGTGGCGTTATTCTACCACTTCCGGTTTCGGAGTTATGACCCCCGAGCGAAGCCGGGTATCTTGCTAGTTCAATATAAATTGGTCGATCTCGGTGACGTTAAGCAACAGTTCAAAGATGAACTTGCTGATCTTCAGAACGACCCATCAGCTGAACTTATCCACAGAGCAAAGCGCCAGTTCATGTGGCTTGACGAAGCAATCGTTGGAAACTATCCAAATTTGAGTACAAGAGCACAGAACTTGCTATTACCTTTCCCCACTTCGTATCTCGTGGAGTTTGCATTCAGCGCCGTAGCGGATTTATTGACAAAAAACGAGACAGTCTGAACATTACTGAACGCGGCGATCTACGCCTGAAGTTAACAAAGTTAGTTCCGGATGTTAAGACCCTTGTTCAAAAACACCAATCACAAGGTGCTCACTAAACAAGGGTCATGACATCTCCATTGTGCTTTTAATGTGTAAATCCATGGCATCTGTTCATTAAATATGTGTTTGAAATAGCTAATTAGCATGTTTCAGTTTTTAGTTTTTAGTAATTTGATGTTTTATAGTGCCAGGGGTGAATAGCGGAGAAAATATTTCTCACGTGGGGAATTGTATCATAAAGGTTGAGAAGCACTGGTTTGGAGATTTGGATTTCCTCTAGATTCTGTTTTGGGGCTAGTAGGCTACTTTATATATCGTCATTTAGCGAAACTACGGTTTGCATACACTAGTAATTTTATAAATATCTATTTTTAGAGAACTTTAAAAATTTGAAAAATATAATATTATATTTATTTCATTTAACGAAACGACGTTTTCCATATACATGTACGAGTATTTTGTAAATATCCATTCGTAGAGAACTTAAAAAAGTAAAAAGTATAATGTCTTTAATTCATCGGTTCAATGTAAATGAAATTAGGTTTAAGGTCCTATACCGTTCTGCTCCGACTGGGCTAATAAGACGAAAATACGTCATACAATGTGTTATGAGGGAAATTTTACCCGGTCAGTATCGCTATGGACTAGTCTTACAACTGGCGGGGGTGGGGGGGGGTCAGAGGATCTATTACAAAGGACCTATGTTTTTCGTCCCACCCGAACGGCTATTAGTGTATAACTTAATTTAGATTCTGCATGTTTATTACAGGTTTGTGGTAAATCTTGTGTATTATGGATTGAGCTTAAATATTGGTAATCTAAGTGGTGACATCTATCTAAATTATACCTTATCTAATATAGCAGAATGTGTGGCTTATATTGGTTGTATTTTGTTGTTGGATAAAGTCGGAAGAAAATTTTTATTAACTACTTGTTTTATTGTTGGAGGACTTGGATGCGTTTCTATTTTATTTCCTGTTATATATGGAAGTTCATGTAAGTAAAACTGTATCTACTAAAGTTTACCCCTTCTATGCATATGCAGTGGTCACAGTGATTTGGTTTTTATTCGTTACGTTTTACATAATAAACGAGATTTTCTTGTCCTTACCCACAAATCTGTAAATAGTAAAGATTATACAGCTACATTTTGCCCTTTAAGGGCCAATAGAAGAACCATATACTTGGGTGTGTGCGTAGAAATCTATACAAACAACTGTTAAAGATAGAAATAATATACCAAGTTCTTTTCATGGGAAACAAAGCTGCTAAATATGATGTAGCGGTATTATTATGTATTTAAACGTCTCTTACTTTTTTAATATTTACAGCTCAGGCCTGGATAACCATAATGATCACTATGATTGGTAGACTGGGTTGTTCCGGTTCCTATGCTATCATGTTCGTTTACTCGGCTGAAATCTTTCCAACTGTTGTCAGAAGCTCTGGAATGGGCGTCTGTGCGGTTTTTTCCCGTATTGGGGGAGTTGTCGCCCCTTACATAGCAGATTTGGTAGGCTATGTTATCATCACATTATAATGAGAGGAGTGGGTCTTAAAGCGGAGAGAGAGAGAGATGGGGTTTAACTTCCACTCGACACAAACTAGGTCATTTCGGGACTAACACATAGTTTAATTTTATTTCAATAATTCGCTTGCGCGTAGGGGTCTTTAGCAGTGGGAGGAAACCGGAGGACCCGGAGAAAACCCACGAGGCTGGACAGGCGACCCTACTCCTTGTCACGTACAACCGGGGATTCGAAACCATGCCAGTTGACTCAATGACAGGCCTTGTGATACAGCAAGCACGTGCTAACCATTCGGCCATCCAACCAGGGCGTCTTTCACATACTAGGTCATCATCACATTATTCATTAATATGTTGCTGATGTGAGAAAATATTATTGTTCTGTATTTTTGTTTAAATCAGCCCAGCCAAGCGGTCATTTTTTTAGACAAGGGTCCCAGCCAAAAGGTCATTTATTTTAGACAAGGGCCCAGCCAAGTAGTCATTGTTTTAAACCAGGTCATAGCCAAGCGGTCATTGTTTTAGACAAGGTGCCAGCTAATCAGGTCATTGGACATTGTCCAAATGTCTGTACCAGTCAACCCTAGTATTAATATCTTGTTTCATGGTTTATCGTTGTGATTTATCAAGTATCGAGTTATTGTAATGACAGGTTTTAACATGGTCATTACAATGACAAACCTTGTCATTGCAATGACAGTTTTATCATTGTAATGATAGGTTTGTCAATGTAATTACAGGGGTTCGTTGTAATGACAAGGTGTATCACTTAATTACAAGGTGCATCATTGCATTGTCAAGTTGTATCATTTTAATGGCAGGTTTATCATTGTAATGACAGGTTTTGTCAGTGTAATGCGGGTTCACCGTTGTAGTGACATGGGTGTATTGACAAAGTTTTGAATTGTAATGAATGGGGTTATTGCAATTATAGGTTTTCTAATTGTCATTTCAGGGTATTATATAATTTGTTGTTATTGTAATTTCAGGGTTTATTAACAGGTGGAGACTTAAAGACAGCTCTACCTCTACTGGTATTTGGGGTAACGTCTCTTTTGGCGGGAATCTTGACTCTTGTTTTACCAGAAACTTTAAATAAACAACTACCAGAAACAATTGATGATGCTAAAATATTGACCAAGTAAATAACTTCTTTCATCCATCCATAATAACACGAGCTAAATGGGAGCCATGGTGGCTCACTGAGTAAGACGCTGGCTCGCGTACGGCGTTGGGTGAAAAAGTTCCTCCGAATTTTTCGACGAGGCTTCCCCATGTCTGTGGTGGCGGGACAGAGGACCTGGCAAAGAGAGTGTCTAGTCATTCGGACATTGGCGTGCACGTAAAAGAATCCTTGACAGTGTGAATTCGAAATAAGAGAAGGCCGTAGCGCCGCTGTCGGGGCAAAAATTCCCTCAGCACATTCAATAGCCCAGTTGGTGCAGAAAAGTAGGAAGTTAAACCTGATTTTATTTCATTTACATTTAAACACAAATTTAATGATTGACATAACGGAAGACGAAACTTAAACTAGCCATTGCTAGTTAGAAAGGGTAACAACACGACTTACAATTAACTTTTTAATAACATTGCTCTATGATATAATACAAAACATCGCTATTTTGAATTAGGCGGATTGGGGCGGTGGGGGGGGGGGGCATATTGCAGTTTATGTTTGCAGTAGTACTTGACAAAGAGCGGTTCTCTCAAGGTACTCCGGATTCATCCCATAGATACAGACCCCTCCAGAAGATCCCTCCCATATATACAGACCCATGCGGACAAACGAATTATTGACATAACAAAAATACATTTTATTTTTAGAGGTGGTATAAGCTGTGGAAGAAAAAAACATTATGAGATGAATGATAAACATCAACATAAAAATAGTGGACTTGATAACTATGGTTACCTGGAGAAATAGCCGTAAAATATACGGGGTGGGGACGAACAATATCATTACTAGAGGACAATATAAATGCTATAATGGGGGGAAGGGGTGGGGAGCAATGTAAATACTATAGTTGGGGACAGGGAGGGAGCAATGTAAATACTATACTGAGGGACAGGGAGGGAGCAATACACTACTATACTGGGGGACAGGGAGGGAGCAATATAAATACTATACTGGTGAATGGGGAGAGGGCAATATAAATTATATGTTGGGGGACGGCGAGGGGGCAATATAAATACTTGGGGACGGGGAGAGGGCAATATAAATACTATTTTGGGAGACAGAGAGGTATCAAAATAAATACTATACTGGAAGACAGCAGTGGTCATTATATTAAGATTATATGTAATTTTGACGGGGAGCAGAACACTTTCACTTCATACTCATTCGTTTATTTTAACCGTACTTTTTTTAAGTTAAATATAATGTATAAAACAGTAAACAAAAGATATTGATTGAACCATTAGAAAATATGGGTGCCACGGTGACTTAGTGAGTAAGACGTTGGTTCGCTAAACTGCGGGTCCTATGTTCGATCCCTATGTTGACCCAAAAAGTTCATCGGTATTTTCCGGCGTGAAACCCCATTGTCAATGGTGCAGGATGGAATGTCTGGCAAAGGATAACAGGTAGTCTAGTCATCCGGGTGAGTCCAAAAATCAAGGTCCTGTGTACACATTGAAGTGCACGTAAAAGAGCCCTTGATATAAGAAAGTTCCATATCGCCACTGTCCGGGAAAAATTTTCCTCATAGCACACTATGTGGATGTCCATCTTCATTAGCTCAGTCGGAGCAGAACAGAAGGATGTTAAATCCCATTACATTTCATTTCATTTCACTTTGTTAATCGTAGATATCGATTAAAACATAGCAACCTTGGTCTATATTATGGAACAAAGTTATATGTATGATAACCTTGCTTGTAGTCGTGTTTACCGGTTTGAGATTTGTAACAAAGTTCTTCTAAGGAGCTCGTAAACAACTAAATTTATTTAAATTTGTCCATGTACATTTTGCACTATCATCGATAAGTTGACGGTATATATTTCTGGGGATCACGTGACTAAGTGGGTAAGACGCTGGCTCGCTAGCTTGGAGGTCGGGTGTTCGATCCCTGCATTGGCCGATAAAGTTCATCCAGATTTTCCAGCTTGGTTTCCTCTTGTCAGTGATGCAGGACGGAGGGCCTGACAAGGACAGTTGTCTAGTCGTTCGGATGGGACGAAAAACCGAGGTCTCGTGTACACATTGGCGTGCACGTAAAACATCAGTTGGCAGTTGGAATTCTATATAAGAGTAGACCGTAGTGCCGCTGCCCGGGCAATATTTCCCTCATAGCACACTGTATGGCGTATGCCCGTCTTCATTAGCCCAGTTTAGGAGCAGAACAGTAGGACGTTAAACCCCCATTTCATTTCATTTTCTGTATAATATATTTCTTCACTGTACTATAGTTGTCTTTCGTATACACTCGTAGCTTATCAAAACGAGATATCCCTCGTCCAAACGTCACCAGAAATAAACTGTTAAACAGGCATTATTTAGGGATCTGTTTTCGACAAAATCATACACAATTTAAGTGATGTCACACTCCGCGGCCATGAAAGTCCAATTTTGTCACAAATAAATTGTAAATTTTAAAATAAAATTGACATTTTTGACAGCGAATGAAACGTTCAAATATCGAAACATTGTAGTAATTAATGTGATGCGAGTTTGGGTGAATTTGGGTAAATCGTGCAACATTATTTGGCTGAATTTGCGTCGCTGCAAATATTCGATTCCCCAAATGCTCGATAGAGGCCGCAAAACGAGTCACATTTCGTATTCGCCTCTGAAATACGCGCTTCTTCGGTTAAATTGTGCAACTAATAATCATATTAATGTGAACATTTGTATAACGCTATTCCACACTGACTGTATAATCGTATCGCATTCAAAGAGTTCAGTTTTCTACAATTCGAGCAACATTTACAACACAATACTAAACATAGCATCGGAAGAGTTAAGTCTTCAGTGATGATTTGAGAGTTGATAGGGATGGACACTGTTTCAAATAAGTAGGGAGATTATTCCAGTGTGAAGCTGCCAGATATGAAAATGGTTTTGCTCCAAAAGGTTTTAAATTGTAAGTTGGTAACAGTAGCTGAAAGTTATTTTTTGATCTAAGGTTCCTAGAGGGTAAATGTTCCTGAACACGTTCCTGGAGATACACAGGTGCTATATTATGTTGTAAACTGCCTGATATGTTAAACATAGTAATTTGAATTCAATATGTTGATTGGTACGAGGTCAATGCAGAGAGTTTAAAACCGGTGAAATTTGGTCACGAACTTTTTGATTCTTATATATCAAACTGTGTTTGTCCAGGTGTTCCATAATTGGATCTAACAACTTTTTCTAAAATTTTCGACAGAAGGGTAAATTTGAAACTGGACCGACGGTAGTTTTTTAAAACTTATGACAGCTGTTAAAAAAGGGTAGGAGAGGATCTAAGATTAATAGCACAAGCCAACAGTGAGGCTGATGTCCCCCGCCGAAATAGGAAAATAATTAGAGGACACATATAAATTTATCACAAATTATCTTTTACAAAGTATTGAACAATCAAACAGTATATCTTTACTTATAGTCTAACACTCAAAGTAGGAGAGTTATTGTTTTCCAAAGTCTCGACCAATCAAATTGCGTATCGCTCTGCTTACCCTGAGCAGAAAATGCTCATTATCAAACTTAGTCAAGGTATTACTGTAATGAAACTATACACCAAGTTTCATCAATCTCACTTAATTAGAACTAAAGTTATCGTGTCCCAAAGCATCAACCAATCAAATTGCTTATCTCTGCTTACCCTAAGCGGAAAATGCTCATCTTCGAACTCCATCAAGGCATTGACCTAATCAACACATACACCAAGTTTGAACATTCTAGCTCAATTAGGAAGAGAGTTATCGTGCCCCAAAGTATCAACCAATCAAATTGCTTATCTCTGCTTACCCTAAGCGGAAAATGCTCATCTTTGAACTCCATCAAGGCATTGACCTAATAAACACATACACCAAGTTTGAACATTCTAGCTCAATTAAAAGTTATCGTGTCCCAAAGCATCAACCAATCAAATTGCTTATCTCTGCTTACCCTAAGCGGAAAATGCTCATCTTCGAACTCCATCAAGGCATTGACCTAATCAACACATACACCAAGTTTGAACATTCTAGCTCAATTAGGAAGAGAGTTATCGTGCCCCAAAGTATCAACCAATCAAATTGCTTATCTCTGCTTACCCTAAGCGGAAAATGCTCATCTTTGAACTCCATCAAGGCATTGACCTAATAAACACATACACCAAGTTTGAACATTCTAGCTCAATTAAAAGTTATCGTGTCCCAAAGCATCAACCAATCAAATTGCTTATCTCTGCTTACCCTAAGCGGAAAATGCTCATCTTCGAACTCCATCAAGGCATTGACCTAATCAACACATACACCAAGTTTGAACATTCTAGCCCAATTAGGAAGAGAGTTATCGTGTCCCAAAGCATCAACCAATCAAATTGCTTATCTCTGCTTACCCTAAGCGGAAAATGCTCATCTTCGAACTCCATCAAGGCATTGACCTAATAAACACATACACCAAGTTTGAACATTCTAGCTCAATTAGGAAGAGAGTTATTGTGTCCCAAAAAGTGTGACGGACAGACAGACGGACGGACGGACGGACGGACGGACGGACGGACAGACAGACGGACGAACCCATTTTAATAGTCCCCTGCTTTCTTCGAAAGGCGGGGGACAATAAAACTATAGTTGGAAGTGAGAGAGAGAGAGAGAGAAATGGGGTTTAACGTCCACTCGACACAAACTAGGTCATTTCGGGACTAACATATGGTTTAATTTTATTTACATAATTCGCTTGCGCGTAGGGGTCTTTAGCAGTGGGAGGAAACCGGAGGACCCGGAGAAAACCCACGAGGTTGGACAAGCGACCCTACTCCTTGTCACGTACAACCGGGGATTCGAAACCACGCCAGTCGACTCAATGACAGACTTTATGATACAGCGCGCGCAAGCTAACCATTCAGCCATCCAACCCCCCATAGTTGGAAGTGAATCGAAATAACAATAGGGTATTTTTTTTATAAAGTTCATCTTCCGTCATGTTGATATTTTTTTTTACAGATATGGAAGCCAGCCATATATATATATATATATATATATATATATATGACATATAATGACATTATTTATGAATAGTCCCAAGACGGACGAAAGGTACTTTAAAATGTTTAAATGTTACTAAACCAGTGTTGAAATCAGTTTGTGCCGGCATACCTTTTTTTTTTATCTTTTCATCATTTACCGCGAAACAAAGTATTGCAGCTTTGCGGTTGTGCCAATAATTTTGGATATATATATATACTCTTAAAAAAACAAGTAGGGGATATTTAGAAACAATACAAAACTGCGACAATGCACTGCTGTTTTTAATTAGAGGTAACCAGTGTATGTTAGTAACAAGCCAATTGCCTACACATGAACATAAACAGTTCAAATGGGCGGCTTATCTGACGGCCCCATTTCACTCGCAATTTAAGCAACACTGTCAAAAGTGAAAATGGACGTTTTTGATTTTTGTCTTAATAATGAGTAATTGATTATTGCTCCACCAATCCTCAGACATTCAGCAATTCGTCGTGGCATGCTCCTAATCAACCGTCCAATCACGATTTGGGGCAATCTGATACACTTCTCTTGCAGTGCCACGGCCAATTCTTACAGTGTTGTAGGTTGACGTCGACGAACACGTCTCCCGATCATGTCCCAGACAGGCTCTATAGGGGAAAGGTCAGGACTCATGTCTGGCCAAGGCATATGGACAATATGGTGACGCTTGAGGTAGTCATTCACGACACGAGCGCGGTGGACACGGCCATTATCATCTTGAAAGATGAAACGTCGACCTGCACTTTGAGCAAAGGGCAGAACTATCGGTGCCTGGATGTGGTCACGGCAGTACACATCAGTGACCCTTCCTTGAACAATATGCAAGTCCGTTCTGCCAG